CGGACATGTTTTTGTAGAAGTAGTCGGTCGATAAATCATAATCACAAATCAATGTTTTTGTAGGTGTAACCATTGTGTTTTTTCTTAGGAATGTTTGCAAGTTTTTAATATCGATCTTCTGGCAGCCCAGATCCGAGTCCTCAGCTATTTCCCAATGTGTTGTCCCGTAGGATACTCGTAACGTCACGTACATGTACATGTGGTTACAGAGTGAACAGTTTTTGAAGATCGTCTAGCCTAGAAACACTAGATGGTCAACATGACGTCTTTTACCAACTCACTATCCACGTCTAAACGTCGGCAACGTCCCCTTATTGCATGTTGTCGCATTTAGAATATACGAAGTGTCGCTACGAAGTATACAAATGTTTCCCTTCGAGTGTCTTGAATGATCTAGAGAAATGTCGCAACTGCACATGTTTTGTCAGAACTAATATCCATTACACTATTTGTCCAGGTGGCTTTTGGTACTTATTAGGCTCACTAACAGTCCAAATGTCAGCCCTAACGTCAGGCGATGTCTTAATTATGAGGTCACGAAGCTCTCTACACGTATTAAGACTTATTTGTAGTTCTCTGACCTCTATGTTGGTGTTGATGTCTTTTATGGAGGCTTGACTACATCCTGCCATTTTACATCCTGCCGGGTTTACTCTTTTCGTCTTATTAACAAAACAATTTTTTTTTGCGAATTCTCTGGCTTTGTGGCCTGGTTTTAACGTTCCGTTTAGAGCAACTGATTGATGGTCCTCCCCAGAATCTGCAGAACCTGTCTTAACGATAAGTGTAGACAATTGAGGTACACATAATATTATTTTCGTTCATAATGTTACACAGCTGCCTCTTTACAGGTAGAGGGGATGCATTAGTAGATGTTTTCTTGATTCAAATTTTATGGAAGTTGGAACCTATTAATTACATCCAAATCGTTGGATTTTAAAACTAATACTGTGAAATCGTAAGAAATAATTAGAGATTAAATCTTTTATTAGCTAATAAATTGTGTAAATAATAAAATTTGCATTAATTAAAAAAAATACAAGTTAATATAAATTAAAATGTTTAAAAAAATATTCATTTAGTAGTTTATATGAAAAAACGTATTATTGACTGATTTTCGAGTAAGTTGAATTTCCGATAACCAATATAAAATTCTTTATCGTAATAAAATGTGAACTGTTCACTACTTCATCTAAAACAACTCTAATATATACAATTAATATAACATATATTTTTGTAATGTGCTGTTTAGAATTTGGTATATTTATAGTATAATACTTGCATTTCTGCATGTTTGTGACACCAACTTAATTATAATAAGCAAGTTAAATTTAGATTGCCGTCAGCAATTTATGTACGCCACATAATATGTAATAATATATTATAAATATAATTATGTTGGCCATTCTAATGAAATTTTTTTTAGTTAACTCAGTGCGCTAAGCAATTTCTAGGCGAATTGTTTTTCTATTTTTTAGGTCTTTATAAATATGTTAAAATATATAGTAATTGGGAAAATTTGTATTTTCAAATTGTCTGGTAGCTACCAAACATATTAAGCAAATTAAAATTATTTATTCGATAAATTCATTGACGTTAAAAACACATTAATTTTTGCACGCAACTGTTTTTGATTTGACTTAGGTGACGATATATAAAAAAAGTTTTGGAAGAAATTAATTGAAGTTAATGGACTGCTGGCGTGAAGAGTTCTCGCATTTAATACATAATTTAACTATGGCCAGTGTTGGGAATAATAATAAAATTAACACTTGTAAAAACGTAAGTAATACACTTTGATTAGAACCGGTCCATCATGCATGCTATTTATTTTGAAGAGGTGTAGTACGTTTAATACAGTTGCAGTTGTTGTTCTTACATAATCCATTTGTATATTGTTCGTTCATATTGTGTTTTAAAAGCTTTTATTTTTAAATATTAAACTTGCCGTTTGTAGTTTAAAAAGTGTGCGTCACGGATGTTTTAGAAAACTGGATGTACGTCATTTTAACGCTAAATAGTAAGGTAACAGTGTAACCCTTATGAAATAAATGTGTGCCAAATTGCAGACTTTGCAACTAAATTTCAAATTGTATTTGAAATCGTGTTTTAGCAGTTTTTCCTCATAAAAAGAGATACTACAGATATTATTAGAAAATTAGTAGGAATGAAAGTTTTTCATAATTGTTAGTTATTTTTGCCTATCCTAAAATTATTTGATTGTAAATAAGGTTAAAAATTACTATTTAAGGATTATTGAATACTAAAAAAGTAAAAGAATTTATTCGAATTACTATTTTTTAATCTGCTGAAATGAATAATAAACATTGTTAAACCCCGTACGACTAATTATTGAGAATTATTTAATTCTCAAATATATGTTCCGTTTCCACTATGCCCCCACTTCACTGTACTGACTTTTGTTTTTACAATGATGTGTTTTTATTTTTTGTGTCTGGACCCACAATATCTCGTAAACCGCTAAACCGATTTCTTTGTGTAGCAACTCTATAGATCAGAAAACATACCTGGAAGGTACTTTATTGGGCTAAAAGTTAAAAAAAAAGTCACCCATCAAAATCGAGAAAAACGACCAAAAAATGTACACATTTTTCAACTTAAAAATAACGATGCTCTATAACTTTTTTAAAAATAGTCGAAAAAGTTTCAAATTTATACGAATTGTTTTTCAAAGATATTACCATCGATAAACATTAACAAAGCAAAAAAATATCATAAACCCTTTCCCCTAGAAGGGATAGAATTTTTTTCTTTATTTCCCTTTTTCAAGCAAAGTTTTAGAGATTTAGATCTGAAAAATAGACCGAAGTTAGATTTAAAATGGAACTATAACATTTACAATTTTCTCAGAAATCTGTAGTATAATTTTTTTTTATTAAAGAAAAACACCAAAAATAGGGTAAATTTACACTTTGGCCGTAGTCAGTTTCTAGGTTGCTATGTGTGAGTGAATCAACAGTCAACAGGTAATGAAAATATTTTATTTATATTGTTAATTACGATAAATGGGTAACTATGACAGTACATTTTTATAGATAGACGATCAACCCTTTTTTATATTTTATTTATTTGTTTATTAGTGGTTATTAATTTTTAGGTAGACTCTGTTTTAAAGTTTCTGTACATGCAGTATTTATTTTTCATCTTTCTTGTTAAATCCTTTGTCTATAAATTTCTAATTTGTCCTACTAAATTTTGCGTATTTATTATAATGTTACTATAACAAATCAAATAACAGGTATAACAAAGTATCTAAATTAGCTTTACATTATTGATTAAGTAAAAAGTCGACTAGAACAAAGAATTGTCATTTCTGTCTATCTTTAATACTAATTTATTTATAAAAATGATATAACTGTGAGTATATTGTGTATAACACAATCTTCCAGTAGGATTCATAAATAGAGTTCTTAAACTTAATATAGTTTTTTGTTAAAAGCAAAGACAAGAAGAAAATAATAACTATTTCTGTGTTTTAATGGTAATAAATAATTAATCGTAAAAGAACTTGTACGCAAAATATACAAAACTATTTTATTTAAAAATTTCATCAAATTTACAAATCGAAAATAACTACATTGTCTTTGCTTGTTAAAAATTGAAACCATTAAGAAAAAAGATTAGTGACTTAAGCCAAAGAACTAACGATAATCGCTCTTATACAATAAGAAACAGAGAACAGTATCGGTAATCGAGAACCGCGTGTTTCCCAAAGGTAAGAGGGAACGTTTCTTTTCGGGTAATCATTAAAGTTATAAACTCTTTCGTTCAGTATAGACCTCCCACTGCGTTGTAAAATCGTGTGTAAGTACTCTTATGCTCGGGGAGCAGCAGCAGTGTCCGAGAACTAAGCACGCGGGTGCGATAAACTCCTGAGTCGTTCACCATAATAGTAGGTTTAGGCACTATCATAGTTGTGATTTCCAGAGCGTGCGGTTTTCTTTGTGCATGTGGAAATCAACCTTGTTGTTCAGAACGAGGTTAGCAAACTGTGGCCCTTTTTGTCTTTAATTGTTTAGGTGAACCCAATCTGTTTAGTTTGACTTTAAACAAAATAAATATTATAAATGCTTAAAGGGTAATTTCTAATTTTTATTGATACTTTTTGTTCAACTACTTGTATGTATGCCTCTAAGATGCACTCAATATTTTACATTATCATGTAACCTATTCAATTTGAACCTAATCCACCGATTAAAGTTTATGACATTGTGTGTTGGTCATATTTTTTGAACGAACTTGTTCGTCTGTTATCCCGTTATAAATTAACTTTTTTACAAACATAATATAATTTTTTTAAACTGCGTTATTAACATTCGATAAAATCGATTCATTTAAATGAGCCGGTATTCGAGACTCTAATGTTTAAATAGAACTATATGTCTATATCACTATCGCTGTGAATGAATTTACCTGATCCCGTTTCGTATGGAAATGAGCGATCGACGCGTTGGTGGAGGCGTGCAAGCGCATTCCGTAAATGGGTTCGGGTCACTTTGAAAATTTGCATGACAAAAAAAATAGAAATCTCATGAAAGAACCTAAACGGGAAGAGAGTTTACCGGTAATGTCTTCGGCGATCGTGTCCTTGCTCCGGTGCGATTACGCGTTACACGAGTCTTTCAAGGACTGCCGGTCGCATTCCACGGCGGTTCATTTGCCCAAAACGATCCGTCGCTCCGGTCATTATATACGCCTTAAGAGATGAATGCTACACCGGCTATTACAATATCATTATTATACGGGTTTTCTTTTTACAACCGTGCCCGTGGGTCAGCCCACCGCCTGAAAGACCCGGCCGGCTGCATCTGCACACCATGCGCTCTTCTTCCGTATCAGTTCGGTCGAGATCTCCACGAGCATCGCCCACGCCTGTCGATCTTATATAATAATAATAACAGTTAACATTATTCGAAATATAATTTCAAATAGCTGTTCGATGTCTGTGTGTTCGGTGATGTAATATCGCGTTTGAAATTCGCCACTGAAAAAAAAATGCTCGTCGAGACGGTGTCAGATGCACACGTGCACTTCCATTATTCCGCCAGGAGGTTCAGGGACGTGCTACTGGCCAACATATTGGCGAGCCAAAACAAAAAAGATCAGGTACTAAGTTATTTTTATCCTGCATTTTACGCGTGTGCTCTTCATACTTCACCGTCGGTCCGAGCAGTCCCAGAGCTGAAGACTGCTACAAAAAAAAATCTGAAATTAACAATTTTTTTTTTAATAAAAAAAATACTTTTATTTAGATATTTATACAATCTGTACTAAAGTACAATAATCAAATGTTTTTACACAGATAAATAACTGTAACAGTGACAATTATCAACATTTAACATACAAAAAAACACTTAAATTTAGCCAAAGTTTCCGAAGACTCTCAGATTTCAAGATGATACTATAATTCAGAACTTGACATTCAGACTTATATTTAATTTTGATATATATTAATTTTCACAATAAAATCAAAAGTAGTGAAGAGATTTGTTTGCTGGTTGTATAAATATTTAATGCAGTTAAATTTAGTAGGATAAGTACTTATCTTCTTTTAAGTTGCTTACTTAAATTTCAATGTTTGACATCGGGTTAAAAACTAAAATGCTTACTTATTAGTTATTTTGGTTCTACATATTTTTTAGTAGTTATTTATTATTATTTGGAAAATTTTCTCTTAACATTTTTTAATATCTTAATTTCTCTTAAACTTTGGCATTTGAAAGTATTTTAAAAAAAGGTCATTACGTTTGCAACAACAATACACGAGTTATGTTAGTAAAGGTTTTCGGTTCTATTTATCTAGACAGATTTTAATTTTGTTTAAATAATTTATTACCTCTATTTGATTTAAAACTAAATTTGCTTATAATCTATATCTAGTATTCTACGAATAGTCCTAGAAAAATATTATTTTAAATATAGGTTTTAATAAGTTGCTTTAATACAAACGGAGACAAAAAACTTATTTGAATTACCTTTCGCTAATTAGTATGCACTATGAAGTATTTAAAAAAAAATGAAGAAATGGTTATTGTGACAACTATTTTATGATTTCTATGTTTTCAAGTTTCATTTTACTTTGTACAATTGATGTGCAAGTATTTATGCATTCAACAAAACTATTTACAAATGTGAACCTTTTAACTAATGACGTTATTGTTAGAAAACATTGGATTTTTGAATTCCGCACCACTATAAACTGAAAAAGTACACTATATTTGGGTTAATAGTATTTATTATTTTGCATTTTTATTGACGATTTAGAAAATCTGTAAGAATCAAACAGTTGAACATTTTTTGTATTAAATTATCAACATATTAGTTTTCACCCAAGCGCTTTTAAATTTTGAAATCCCTATGTAATTCTGTAGTTTAATTAGGTTTTTAACAAAAACAGTGTCCTCATTATATTAACTAGTCTAGAATAATGTACACTAGCATTTTGGGAGGGTAGATTTAGTGCATTATATAAATGAAAATATACTTCCAAAATAATTATGTTTCAATATACTATGTAGCGGATGCATTTTTTGTTTCTATTGCATATGCATCATAAGTTCCATTCTATTACGTTAACTGTCATAATATTATTATAGGTATGTATATAGGGAATGGGCGTCTCCGGGAATCTGTCTAATGTCACAATAATAATAAACGTGATATCCGAATATAATGGTAGAATACTATAGTGGCATACTTTTAGTTCTGTTCCATCTTTGTCAACGAGTAATAATAAAATATCAAACATATATTTATATATATATATATATATATATATAAGTATATAATACAAGTTGGTCAGCCGTGTTTCGAATTAACTGTATTTTTTATTCCATTGTTGTACGATTCGGTTACCTCATCTATCAAAATACATCCGCAAACGGAATCTAGGCCGATCGTCGTTATACTGCATTCATCGGATCCAAAGGCGCGAAAATTCACTATGCTCAAATTTCGGAATAAAAAAGAACATTGTAGAGTGCATTGGGTATTGTAACGTTATTTTTGATTGTTAATAAATAATATTAAATTTAAAAAAAAAATGTCTTGGTTTACCGTATTTAGCCAATCGTTATTTAACTACTAAAATGTAAAATATAGGCAGGGTAAAATGCTTATAAAATTAAAACTTACTGTAAGCTAAAATCACCATTGCCTGAGTACTGGACGGTTTATACTTAAATGTCCAGATACCACTAACCGCTATCGGCTATTAAATACCAATATTTTACTGAGTATTATTTACTACAGCTTTTTTTTTTGAAAAAGGTATTTTTCGTTTATTCCTAAATGTGGCGTGACCTCAGTCGATTATTGGTTATGTATAATAATACTATGAATAGTGTAAATAAAGTCAGGCCTCCGAAACATTGTGTTGAAAAGATATTGATTGGTCCTATAGGCCATTAGACGAAGTTACACAGTGGAATCAGTTCAAGTTCGGTGCTAACGTTACGGCTAATAAAAACTATTCAAACTGTTTCACGATTCGAAATCGTTTATTATATCATAGTGAATGGAAACATATATCAATAGAATAACACAGTTTTTAATATTACAGGTAAACAGTGAAGGAAAAGCGGACAAAGCCGGAATCCAAGAAGGATGTCTCATCAACACTATAAATTCGGCACCCGTCGATCATCTCACTTCTAGCGAAGCTCAAGCTCTCGTCAGAAATTCTAGTAGTACCTTGGCACTTGGAATTAATAGGTTTGTGACTAAACACTATTATTTAGTGTTTATATTTTAAAACATAAATATTCTATTGAGGAATAATTACGTTTTATTATGTTTTACATAATATCTTGTAATAGTGCTAGCGTTTTTTCCTGTACACAGTCTACACCGGCATGAAGCGGTATAGACTTATAGTATCTTGTGTTTTTGTACACCATATTATCCATATAATCGTAAAATTACCTATATTGTCTTGAACTAGAGCCTAGTTACATTATTAAAACTAAATGCAAAAAAAAGTTCTTGATTGATTATTGTTAAAATACAATAAATTAGTACTATGATATAATGCATGTACAGTGTATTCGTAATAATATTGAATATAGACTTAGGCACACGGCATACGGAGTATATAGTTGTAAGCTATAAGACACACAGGAAGGAAAGCTTCCGATGGTTAAATGGAAGACCCAAAAAGTAATAGAGAATCCGAATTTGCTTATAAATAATCAGTGTTTAAAATCTATGGAAACCGAATAGGAGGCTTTTGCAATTGTTCTTTATTTATTAACATGTCTTCATGGGGTGTTGGCATTTTAAAGAAAATGTTTCATGACTTAAATATACTATATTATTGCAGATATACTTTCATTTTGTCGTCATAAATTCAAATTTAAAATGGCTGTAAATGCTTCCACTTTATTTTTCGAATGCTAACAAATTATGTATTTGGTACGGAAAACGTAGGTAAGGATTAAGTTAGGGTAGGTATTCTTACAATAATATTTAATGTAAAGAAATATTTTACTGACAGTCATTTTTCTTATAAGCGTTAAGCTACACCATTGATTGTTTAAGTAAACAATTCAGTCATGAGAAGAAGGTTAGGAAAACACTACGTAAAAAACTAAAATATTGATGTACAATTTAGCGCCTAAAAAATGTTAAACGCAACACATTGCACATGTAAAAGGACACCCTGCGCCGTATTTCAATTTTAGAACGGTTTTATGAAAACTATCTAATAGTAAAAATACTAGATCCTACAAAACTATAATAAATTGTGATTGTTTTTTTAAGTTTAGCTCTTATATCAACATTGGTAAATTTTTCAGAAAGAGGTTTCATAAAGAGAGTTCGTTTAAATTCAGTATATGATAAGTATTTTGTAATGTAAATTAATTTAGTCTTTACAACTACAGTTTGAAATCTCATATTTCAGTTTTAAATTGTATATTTGTTTTACGTGGATTCATATTATAGTGGGAACCATCATGTACAATTTTTGTTCGTTAAATTAAACTATATTGAACTCTTATCTTGTTTGTTTTAGTTCGAAGAATCATTAAAATTCAGGGCGCCAATTTGTTTATGAAATCATAACGTAAAAGAAAATGTGTATAGCAATAATACTTTTTAATCGTGTTTATTTATTAATTCATTATAATGCGATTCTCATAAACAAAAATGCATTCACAATTATAGACGTTTAGTATAAACAGCTTGCGAGCCGATTCACCAAAAATATTATTACTTGCTTATTTTTGTGGTATAAAATAAAACTGCTATAAAAAACTAACGTTTCTCCAGATTTTAACAATATATCCATTTAATTTTAAGCCGAGTTAGACATTTGTATGTGGGCTACGAGAATTAGGACTTTAAACACTATGCTCGAATTTGTCCTTTACCTGTCGTTAAATGATGTGTGAGCTTTTGTGACATTTTAACGAGTACAATTTCTAAAATAAAATTTTAAATGACTTTGGGTGTCGACCAAATGCGTTCTGGACGGTTAAACCATCACGCCCATCCTGTGCATTACAATAAAATCACTGTATAATGACGATAAATCTCCATGCTTTAGCAAGGCACGCCCTATTGACCCTAAACGCGGGCCTCAGAATTCAGAAAAACATTGATATTTACATCTCGTTAATAACCAAAATAAGCATTTATAAAATACATAAATGTGGAAAAACATATCACAATCAACAATAATTTACCACAAATGTTTAATATATATTTTTTTATTATTTATAAGTTTTATAGTTTATATGTTATAAACTCCGTGGAGATGTTAATTTATACTAATTACAATATCGAGCCAAGATAGATACGGATAAAGAATTGATGACATTAATGGGGTTAGGGTGTTGGAGAGGATATATCACATATCTTTTTTTTTTTCTATGAAAATGTTGGTTATCAAGGACTCTACAGTATTTATTCGCACAAACTCAGTTTTCAAACTACAAATTACGCCCCTTTAAGAATATTTAAATGGCTAATTATGCAGATAAATACGATTGCAAAATAGTGATAAACGCCCCGACGGCAACAAAGTGAATCAAAATGTAGCAAAGGTTAAAGCACATATTTTGTGTTGTGAAACATATTTATATATATATATAATACAATCGCGTGTGCGTCAAGTGCGAAATCTATACGCATTGATAGTTGTTTATGTACAGTTAAAATTGGTGTACCTATAAAGTGTACATAGTCCATAGGAAACTGATTGGAAACGAGGATACACGGTGCAATGATCACCTTCTAACTATAGCTGTATACCACCTACATGCGTGTACCGGGATTATTTTAACGCACACAAGTAACGTCGGTTTGATGAATAATAAAAAATACACGCATGTTATGAATGAGCCCATGACATATATTAAAATTGTAATATTGTATCAAACGCATTTGACATTGAATTCATCTGGACAAAACAAACACCAGACGACATAGAAATCCGAAAATCATACATACCCGCAGAGGAACGCCCGCGTCCTTATAGACTTATTAATCTGCACATTATAAACTCAATATAGTTATCTAAACATGGTAATTATATGAATTACTGATTTGTTCTACCCGTGTTATTAAAATATTACCATTTGTATTTGTATTATCTAAAAAGAACCTATAGGTTTCCCATGATCTTTCTGTTTGTGTGTTATATTAAACAAGTGAACAAATATAATTTGTTTTATATATTTCTTTTGTTATTAACTTGAAAAGTTATTTGGTCCGATCGCTGTTTTTTTTATGTATTTTAGACAGACAAAATCTCATGATGCTGTGCAGAATGACCAGCACCGAAAAGTCGGTAAGATTTTTTTAATATTTATATGCATGTAACGCAATATTTTTTTTTATGCTAAAACTAGAGTATCTAGATGTATAAATAAATTGGTTATTACTTATTTATCTGTGAGTACGTGCAATTTTTTTTATTTCCTTTCACTGATGTCTTTATATATAGCGCACGCCCGTTTCTTTTTGACACTTTATTTTTTATCAAACATTGGAAAATACGACTATGAAAATTATTTTCATTGTAGTTTAATCCGCGCATATTATATGATTTTAGTTAAATTAGAAAAAGGATTATGCACTTTTATATTCACATTGTTTTTAGCTTTTCTAAATCTTTTCTTATATTTAGCTTTTATACCTAACCTACCTTTTATATAAACAACCTTTTATATACAGGCAACATGTAAATTTATTTGGATACAAAGAAACGGCAGTAAAACAAAGTGAAAAATAAATCTTTAAAGAAAGATAAATTTCTAATTTTAATTTTAAACGCACGTTTCATAGCGGAAAAGTTGGAAATTATAAAGATGAAATATCTTATGACTAATGTCTAATATGTAGGTATTTGAAATATATATGAAGTAGTTGCTAATGTAAGCTAATTCATGATTAACACATTATTTTATTTGAGATGAAACATTAAAAAAAACTACTTTCATTAGTCGTTAAAAAATTGCTTTTTTTATATGAAAGCGATTTATTTTGAAGATTGCCTCTTTTAATATTAAAAAATATTTTCCCGAAAAAATCATAATAATGACTGAGAAGACAGAAAAGTCGATATGATGGCTATCATTTCTATTTAGTCTTAATTCTAGGGAGACCGAGTAAAAATAAAAATAAAAAAGAGATTAGAAAGCAATTAATTAATTCGATTCATTGAAACTGAAAATTGATAATTATTATTGGGTACTATAGAAATATTGAATTGCTTATTTTTTACAGCATCAAATGTCAATGAATGAATAGTTTGAATGGTAAAGCTAATTGACGTATAGATACTTTTTTTATAAATTTGTATAATTTTTAAACGCTTGAAACGCTTTTCACTGTTATCATATATGTAGGCCGCAACGTGTCTTTTCGGAATTAGGTCCTGAGGAAAAAACCAACCTTGCCTAATACCGATGTGGCCGAATTTTCGGCTAGTGTTTTACTGTTTTTATCGACAATTCAGTCGACCGTAACACCCCACCAGAGAGATGTCGGGTTTCTCAAGCACCATCGTGTTTCTTCAGACATTTTTTACCAACGAAATAGATCAGTTCAGTGTACATGTGTCCTGTGGTAACTTAGACGAGCATGCGGACCGTATTGTTTAAACTTTGGTACGTCCATCTTAGCTTTTGTTTCTTTCGGTCAACCGATACACCAATGCCCGAGCTAGAAATTAAGAAGAAATCAAGATTAAAAGACAAATACCATAGGCCAAATAAACTTGGGGTCAAAAAAGGTAAGAGGCTTTAAAATTGACATGTGTATTATAGAAGTACAAATTCTAAAAAGTGTACGCCATATTATGACACATTTATTACACTTTATGTTTTATTAGTTTTTATTTTATTATTAAGATGTATCTATTAAAAATAAAAGAATACAAAAATACACATACGGTTCAAAAGACATTTTTTTAATTTGACATATTAATTTTTATACAAGTTTACCAATTGAATAATAATTATTTAATAATTACATTTTTTTCTTGTATGACATACTGTTAGAATTCCTGTACGGCGTGTATGCCATTTATTAAACCAATAAAACAGGAATAACCGCTTTTAATTGAGGAACTCGTGGCGTAGTTTATACGAGAGCTTGTATATAAAAATAGGCCTTGCGCGTCACCCCACCCACAGGAACTACACCCATCCTGTCCATAATTGCACGATTAGTCTCAATAGTGTACAAATTCGAAATCCAAAAATAGTTAAGCGAATTATATTGTTGTTGCTTTTTTTTTGTGTCAAATAAAACGTAGGTACGTAAATTGAATAAGGATTACATAATATATTATCATTACTTTCAAAAAAACTTTGTTTTTTTATTAAATCGTACCAGGGTTTTGTATCGTAATTAATAAATATCAGTAATCTTTAAAAAAAACTTACGATTTGTAATTTAACCGTTTCAACAAAACCATTGTTAAAAATTTAAATGATATCAGTATACCTATGTGTATCAAACGTATGATAGAATCGTTTAGAATCTAAATTCATGGTCTACATAAATTTAGATTCTACAAAGATCGTCCTATATTTTTGTTTCTAATATACAAATATGTTGTGTTCGAGAGTCAGCTAAATTAGAAGTATTAAGTACTCAAGTTTCTAAGCCTTCTGTATTGTGACAGTAGCCATAACTCATTTATCGAAATACATTATTAATTTGTGTTTATAATGTCTGTTTTTAAATAGTTGTATTTGCATAATGTTCTACTATAGTAGTTTAGTTGGTAGTAAAACACCATTATTACTGTAATTTTATCTATAAAAAAAGTGTTTTAGCAAAAAAGGTTCTAATTAAATCGTTACTATAACATGAAATTATCAAAAATAGTTTTTGTTGTTCAAGTTGAAAATATTATATTAAAGGCTTAGTTAATTTAGTGGGTAGTTTTTAAAAGTCAAATGGCAATATGCATATGTTTTGCCTTTAAAAATCAGTATGAAATAAATAATAATGAAAAATATGACTGGTCGATAACCATTTTTGATAAAATAATTTTAAAGTTTTTGGCGTTTTATGATGTAGGCTGGAGGCGAGGTAGTTTTATTTATATCCGGACGCACAATTCGCTCGCACTTCTCCTCTTAAACTTGATAAGCTTAATGATAATAAATTAAAAAGTATTTATTTTAAACGGGATATCGACCAATAATTTTTGTCATTAAATTATCCTGCATCCTGTAAATAAAATTTGTAGGTTGCTATTTAGAAGTGTCATCATAAGTGATTTCTAGATGTGAGTCATTGTTTTTCCCAATTACTGTGGAGTCGACCAATTGCTAAATAAAAATATGTTTTATTCGCATAACTGTTAGCAGGTATAGACAGGACTCACGGTTTAAAACGTGTAATAAGGATATACGTATACCCAGAATTTTCATATCCGGACTTACAGTTGGCAATACCCGTGTATTTAAAAATCGGGAACTTGGGTACCTATTATATTAAAACATTTGTGTCAATATTTTATCATACTTAAGTGGTTGGCCCTAACGTATCTTAACCTGGCTTGGAAAAATAATTAATTATTTCATCCTAAAAAGTCTCGACCTCCTTTGTAGCTTTTAATTTAGTTTAGATTCATAACTATAATTTGTATGCTTTTGAAATAAATTATAATCCGTTATTGAAAATAATCTTATGACTTATAAGAATAAAAGAAAAAAAGCTTAATTCAATTAATACGAGTAAAATGGAATAAAACAGAAATGTATATTTTATATTATAATTTTTTTTATTATAATTTTTTAAAACTATTTTTTTATTTGTTGATGGATATTTTATTAATAGGTAAAAATGATCGCGAATTATTATTATTTTTCAGTGTCCATCAAACTTAACAAAAACCTAAACCTAACCTTTTTTTTCGCTGTTAGAATCTGTTTATTGTAAAATCAATTACAGTTATTAACAAAAGAAAAACACAATACGTAATTTTAATATTAATTCTATTATTATTCAATCACGTCTTCTGCTCCGCATCGCAAACGTCGCCAGGCCAAATGGTGTTGAGTGGTCATTACCTAAACCTAACCATTTTGTTATCACCATTTATTTATCTAAAGACTTAAATCAGTACTTTTATCTACATGTTCACAGATTACATTACTGTTCTTAAATACACGTGTAATAGACGACCCTAGTATAGCCCATTAATAAAAGTCAATATTTTTAACAGTTAAATAGATAAACAGTCGATATAAATTTGTCAATTTGTTTTCCATGACGATCGAACCGTATGGATGTTACCGTTTTCATTAATAAAAAATATTATAATAGGACTTCAATGTTTATTTAAACAGAATGAATAATATTATACACTATGTATAGTAAAAACTAAAAAATACTATGATCCAATATTAGCTACCCCGAAAACATGTGTTCCATTGACCCGTGTCTATTCGTCTGTCATCGTTTTCATTGTGCGCATGTGTTGTTGTCTGTTGACAAAAACACACACATACACTAATGAATACTGTGTGTGTGTGTGTGTGTGTGTGTGTGTGTGTGTGTGTGTGTGTGTATACATAAAATGAGTTTGAAAAATAATGAGTTCGTGTGTGTGTTAAGCCATCTCCGGTTTTGGATGTTGTATGCGACTTCCTCTGTTCGGGTGTGCCCTTACCAATATGTGCTCATGCAGCGGATCTGCCGCAGTCAGTCGATAATGCTGAACACTATTGAACAAACATCACTTACCTTTGGTCTCGTCGGCCATGTGTACATAAGCTTAAAACATTTTCAATTTTGTTGTTAATGTACTGAGGAAAATATTATCGATTGTTTTTATTTTTTTATAGAAGTCAAAGCTACCGTCGACAAGAACAAACCGGTTAACGAGACAGAAGGACAGACTGGTAATAAAAAAGGTAAGGACTTTTGAATGTATGTTGTTAAACTTTACGTAGGTGTTCAAGTTGAAGCTTTGAATCAGCCGTTGCATTAGTTTGCCATAGAATATACCTGGTATGTGTCTGCAACACGTGTTTTCTATTTTCATGGTAGTTTAACAACCGGAATAGTTCATTAATAAGCAATATACGGTTGTTCATATTTCGGCAATCACTAGTTGCTGACTTACCATAATTTGTTTCATTCATAATTATTATTACATACAATGGATAAATTATGTCTGTATAATTATATTGATTTATTGTTCTTTTTTTGCGGTAAAACTATTATGAAACACGCGGTTACAGGTGACCGCCATCGTATTCAATTAGTTATTAGTCGTGGCTAACAATAGTGAATTTTATTCGATCGATCTTACATTAAAATGTTTGTAAATCGATTGTAAATTTAACGTGCATTTGTATTTAAGTTAATTGTTATAAGGTAAAACCACCTCTGTAGATAATTATTTATTTGCATTACAAAAATAGTCGTATTGCAACACATATCAGTTATTCTGTTTTTTTATTTGCATCACTAGGTGCTATTTTGTTGGTATATGTTTCAATGAATTAACGTCCGATAGGTATACATATAATATAATTTAAATAATGTTAATTGTAATGAATACTAATATCTTTTGTTTTAAGCGTTTTTTTTTAAAGCTCTCTTTAATATTTTATCAGGCTTACTAATTAACTAGTAGTGATACAAGCAGTATTTAATTTCAAAAAATATGGACGTTCTAATTGCATTTTAGATTATGTGTATGAGTTGAAATGAAAGGACACTTCGTTTACTAACTATTATTATTATAAAACATTTAATATATTTGTTGCAAAAATTAAAATTTGTGAACTGAGCTTTACACAGTCTTTTGAAATTATTTTTTTATCAATTTGCATCTCATGCAGTAACGTAAAATGACACTTTGAAGCATAGAGGTAAACAACATTTTCAAGACACAAGGTTCAATCAACTAATCAATAAAATCAATATATAATAAAACTAATCAAACTAAAATCAATGTCTCGTGCTTTGTAAACTACCAATATGAGGTGGCTCTTGTCTATCGTATCCCTGATTTATTCGGCACTGACCCGTGGACAATAATGCATTATAATTATAATAGAGTTAAATATTAGTAGTTGGCTCGTGACAATGCTGACGAGTATAGTAATTGCTTAGGTAAAAAAGTTCGGAAACGTAGGAGAAAAAAGAAACCCGCGAATCGAATCAATAGTCCAGAAGACGGTCAACAATCGAATGCGGGACCAGTTAAGATTGTCGAGCAAGTTACCAAGAGTCTTCCCAAAATAGAAATCGTTTCCGCGTCTTCGGATCTACGAGTGGACGAACTAGAATGGATCAAGAACAACGAGGCGCTTCTAATATCCGAACTAGAAACTCGTCGACAAGCTGGTTCGCCTATTCAGGTGTTGGTCAGAGTGGAGAAAATCACACCGTCTCGGCCGGAGTACTGTCAGATCTTGCCGGACTGCTGTCATTTGGACGTGATCAATGAAGAGACCAGCGCCAGTGCTAGCGACGAAGACCCCAAACGAGAACGCCCGACAATGCCCGAAGGACCGTCTTCAAATGGAATCGACCCTGTCGAAATGGTAGAAAACAAAAACGGTGACTCGGTTCAGGTTGATTCGATATCAGAAAGCGTTTGTCGGTCCGTCGGTGAACCAGAGACGAAGCTCGAATCTCCTTCGTTGGTTAGAAAATCCCAAGAGCTTAGGTACGCCGAATCGCAGGTTCCTACTAAAAACGACGACGCTACCTTTGTAGAACAAATCGACTCGGACGATGATGTCACGGTAAAAGAAATGGACTGCGTCAAACGAGAAAGCACCGCTGTTAATTGTTCTTCTTGGACGGTTACCACGAAATCCGAAAACTACGCCAACGGTTTTATGAAATTAAACGACATTTTACAAGACGACAACGTCGTTCTTGACAAGTTTGATGAATACGATAGCTATAACGAGGAACAACAGCGTTTGATAACCGACATGTTTCCAATAATGGAATCGCAGAGTGAAGAACAGGACTACAAAGAGGTGGGTGTCCGAGATGTTGCGGCGGTAGTGAACGGACGCCTTACGGCCGCACATCCTCGAGGCAAGGAATTCCTTGAGACTGTTGGCCACGACGGCTACGGAGCTCACGATAGACACCGTTTGGGACCGTACCAATACTCGTCGGACGACAGCACCGTGAAAGACTACGAGGTACGCGCGCGCGTCAAGCACCACGCGAGAACTGACCGCGGACGACGGCAAATTGACGTCCGGTCGGTGTACGAAAAGCTGAGAGCCGTTGCTCGGCTCATTCGGGACGACACGGACGACTACGAAGACACAACGTCTTACAGGACGGTGTCCGGCGGCCCGTCCGACCTTGACACTGACAGCGATTGGTTGAGTTACACGTTGTCCGACGAAGGTGAGTCGTCCAGATCGTTGTGTCTGTCCCCGAGCCAACAAAGCCGCGCGCCATCCACCGCCTCGGAGGCGTCCGATATCATTGAGCTGCACAAGAAGTTTTCGGACCGGGCGAAAATCCCGAACCCGTGTCGCTCGACCACGGTTGACGACCTCGTGGAAATCCTCGGATACGGCCCGCCACCGTCGTCCCCGACGTGCCCGACGTACAGCGCTGAAGTTATAGACGAAGCGTGCCGGATGTGCGGCACCAGCGACGAGCCTTTGTCGGACGCTCACCGTTTGGTGTCGCTGCGTAAATACCAAGAGACCAGATCTAGCAGATTATTGAATGTGATCCAACAGGAGTGCCGGCGATCCGATCGATCGGCGTCTACAGTCGCTATCGATCGGCCGCCAACGATGACGGATAGCAATAATAATAATAATAATGATAATTGTACGTTTATCGACACGCTGTCGGTGCCGGACAATCAGACTCGGGAGCTCATGTACGCCGAGTACATGGAGAAGGTGAAGGAGAGAGAGCGTCGGCTTAACAATAAAGTGATAAGGATAACGAGACCAGGCCGGCCGCTGTCGTCGTCTTACGGTACCCAACTGGACGTGGACGCCGAGTTCGTGGCCAAGGCCAGAGAGAGATTGGAAAAATTGGGCGTGGACACGACCGATATGGAATTCGTGGAGCCCAAACACGATCAAAACGGTTATCCCAGACACCTGATGGACATCGTGCCCGAAGACGAGGTTTGCATCGAAGAAGTGCGAATGAGCGGTGAGTGTGTAATGGACCGAGAGAGAGTTAATTTTGCGTTTATCGTTAACTCGTTTTGGTTTTTGTAATTTTTGTGTTTATTTTTTTATCACTAACACGCGCTGTTTTTGCAGTGTGGCCAAGATGCGTCTAAATACGGTATTCCGGACCGGCCAGCGGCGGAAGTATCCGAAATAGCTAAACGGAAGTCCATCATTCAGGATACCTTAAAGCCATTTTTTTTGTTTATACACACGTTTATATACACGATCGGCGTCGTCTGTCACGCGAACAGCTGATACAATTTGTCCAAGACCGTGTTTACGCGAGCGCGAGCGCACACATTCGGCCGAGCGCTTACTATTTTTATAAACGGTACAAGCGACACGTTGGTCGGTTACTGGACAGACCGAATTGTGATTCTATAATTATAACACAGTAGAGAGAGGTGAGGCGAAACCCTACACTATATTTCTGTGTACGTCGTGAAAATTTGAGCTCACGGCAAATGCAATGATATTACACTAGCAACACATACTAGATAACATAGATTAGATAAGTAAGAACAACACAATTTTACTGGCTTTTTCGAATTTTATTGTGTTGAAAAGTTAAAACTACTATGGATTTCGAAAACAAAAGCGTCAAATTTATATAAGGGAGTTCTCCATTTATATTATATTTGATCCATGCTAGTAATATATTGGTAATTCGATGTTGGTATTAGGCTATTCAAACACTTTTTTAAATCAAAATAAAAGACAAATTCTAACAAAGGTTGTCATTTGCGTAAGTCGTACCTTAAGAGTGATTTTCGGGATGGCCAAATAAAATAAAAGTAAATTATGATTAATCTGTTATTCAATGAAGAAGTGCGAGTACAGGGTGTCAGAGGATCTTTTCTACCATTCACTTTCATAGAGACTTTGAACGCGGGACTGTAATTTAAATTATATAATTAAGTTATTGTCTATAGTTTAGACAATAACGATATTACCAAAGCAGTCATCGAAGAATCACGCGTGTGTAACTGTCTGATTTTGCTAAAAAGTTACTATAGCAAACAGTTCCACGTCCTTTAAATAATTTTTTAAATGAATATCATCAAAACAATTAAACTTAAATCCTGGTCAAATTATGAACTATATGAAAATATTGCATCAACGAATGTAATATAAAGCTATAACAATTTGCCGTATTAGTGAAAATGGACAACAAAACCATCATTGTTTTTGTAGAAATCAAAATATTCCTAAATTTCCAAACAAGCTCTGACAATGCTCACTTGAACCTAGCACTTTTAAAATAAAATAAAATATCAAAACTTTTTAAAAAAAATGTTTCAAACATAATCCTATAAAATGTTATAAAATTTATTTATTATTATGTCTACTTTTCCCTATACAGCTAGAACGGTTTGCAGAAAAGATAATAAACAGAGAACTTCCGACTGTTCGCTTTTTGATGAAATCGACTGGGTTTTCGGCGGATTTTTATCTAGAAGGAACATAGGTTTGTCGCTTGCACGATGCTACCTTGTCCGAATTGTATGTTTTTAATTGTATTGTCTCGTGTTCTATGAATTGGATGTAATGAAAAACCCCTTTAAACCGTTGTCAAACAATCATTGTTTGGATGTCTTGAGTTGCATCGAAAATTTGAGTTGTGTATTTATTTTTTAAATTTTTAATGATATACCTCACAGTAAACAATGCAATTATAGTATGATCTAATAGTATACAAAAACGACTGTAATTGTCTATATACATTATACATGTATATTAATCTAGAGTCTAGACTACCTATAAATACCGTATGAAATATTGATTAGTCCACTTAAACCGGGAAAAAGGCCCGGTTTAGTCCTATAATTTGTATGCAAACGTTGGAAAATTGTATGTTGATTAATTTGTAGTCTGCATGTTTTTACTTCTGTGTGAATTGTGATAGCTATAGATAATCTAAATTACAATATTGTACAGCTCAAAATCCAAAGCCCTAGCAATTATCAACTGAATGACAAAGAATAAGTTAGTGTAATATTATCCTACGACTTATTTTTCAATTTATTAATGGCTAGAGTTACGGATGCTTTCATTTTTTAGCCGTCTTACTGAGTAAAAAAAAGAATAACAACAAAATAAAATTTGAAGTCATAAGTCTCCGGTAAGTCTAATAATAAAACAGGTGCCGCCAGAATGTCGGCCACAGTGGAACCGTTTCAGAGATCATTAGCCAATATTTTTTTCTTCTTTATTTTTATTTATATAGTATATTTTTATGCCCATTTTTACTCCCACCAGAAGCACGCGGCCAGTGCCGAGGTTTCCCGCAGTATTAAAAAAAAATACTTGTATACTTTTTAACGCATACTCCGTTCAAACTGACGCCAATTCGCACGCGTGGCCAAAACCCAAACAGTCATCGAACGCACAAAAAGTTCCGTTCCGTTTCCGGTTTTTTAATTTTTTAATAATACACATTTTTATTTGCACGCGTCCACCAAGTACATGTGATTCAATGATGCGGGAAAAGAGTAAGATAGGTCCACAATTCAAAGCAGATATCAAAAAAGCAGGTTGGTATACGGATTTTTTTTTAGTATTTATTTTCGTTGTTTCAACCGTTTTTGGCCTGAACTCTAAACGTAGCTTTTAACTAAATAAACTGCCTAAGTAACATCACTTTTACATTTAGTGTAATTTTAAAATTTTTAAAGTGTATGATTTCATGGCAACAGATAGATAATACCTAAGAAGAATAGCCGTTTCTTTTTAACAAGCCATCTTTTTTTACCAAAGAAGTACAACAAAATTATTTATGATATATAATTAGTGTTCTAATGAGTATCCCCAGAATCATTTTATATTCAACGACCGCCGACGGTTATCCAGCAAAGAATAACTACTGTAGTTACATAAATATGAAAATGGTTTTTACTTAAACTATAACATTTCTTTCGGACATATTTCCTGTTTTATTTTTTAAGAAAAATAATAATTCTCTATACAATTTTTTCCTTATAAACTATAATTCATAAACGTTTTTTCTGTAAAATCAAAAATATGATCAAACAAAACTATTATTATAAAACATGTAACGATTGTCAATGACGCATTTATAACTGGAGTTACAAAATTAATTATTAAACTTTAATTTGTTGTCAATCGCAAAATGTTATTAAAATTATTTAACAACATATTTAATAAATTATTTTAATAAATTACTAATTGTAAATTGTATTTCTTTGTTAAATTGAATGAAATTTTCAAATTGAGTAATGCTTCAAATCTTGCGAGTAAAATTCGGGTTGGTGCCAAGAATATAAAAAAAAACAACGGTTATTCTCTGTACCGATATAATTAAAATTGTCCTTGAAATCGACATGTACACATTTTTATGTAGAAAATTTTAAAAATATAGCGGTGAATCGTTTTTTATTTTCGAATCATATGCCTTTACAACAAATGTATAACGTTATTATGTATTGATGGTCAGCTGAAAACCATTGCTGTATACACATAAAACAAAAAAGAAATCTAATCTAGGGGAGAATCTAAATTTTGTTTAGATTGACTATTATCTCCTCTCATTTATTTCTCAAAATTATCCTTGACTTTAAATTACACCATGTTTTTCAACGAAAAAAATAATGCCCAATAATTAAATTGCTTTAAATTCTATTTGATTAAGTTCATAATCTAGACTATAAATTGTCAACTTATGATCAATTTTAGTTAATCTGTTAACGTGTTAAAATGCCTTTAGTTATTTTTTTTATTTTAAAAATATATTACACACATAAATAAAAAAATAAAAACATGTGTAATGGTCTCGCCGAACTATGCTAATTCTCAACTGAAATCCGTCTACTCCATTGCGTTTAACGGAAATTTATTTTTGTCTATAGTATTCCGTCTGAGATAGACGGTTTCGCTTTCCTTTCAACAGTTGTAACCCTAAACCACCGCTGCATGGGTTTCAACGATTGTTTGTTTCGCATAATTTGTTGGATGTTACGTTTATTGCTTTACCTCTTTTACACAGTCTCGGTTAAATAAATAAATTATACAAACACACGCGTTAAACCGTAAAAATGTTGGCGGTGTCAAAGCACAAACCGTGTGCCAGTAGATCAAAACTATCAATGATTATAAGAATAATAATATGTGGTGGTTAAGCGGGTGATGTCAACGTTCGGTAACTATTCAGATATTTTCAAATTACTCTTGACCCCGTTAACGAAATCACCGAGAAGTAATTATGATTTTGTTATTATTGGTTTGTCTAGGCCGATATATGTTTTTTAAAAATAATGTTATACATATTATTTATATATGTATATATTGTGTACTGTACGGTATATTACAGCATCTGGCACCGGTCCGGCGCTTTGACCGGTTGCCAACGTCCGTTTCTTTTTTCAGTTTGCACATAAGTTTGTCTGAATCTGTTTTTTTCCATATCCTTCTTATTATTCGGCTATTGCCAAATGCAGTGCATCTCTCAAAAATTTGTTTGGGTGGGTGTTTGCACCTCAGGCTTAAACGCACCCAGGCCAACACATGCACAATGTATAATTTATAACAGCATTTATTATAATACAACTCGTGGCGCAAGCTTCGAGCGCTTCCGTCACTCATACTCGATGTATTATTAATTAACTATAATTTTGTTATCCTTAGATACAAACCAGATACATATTTTGAAGTGCATTTAGTTATATTGTAACCTATTCAACTAAAAACCGAACACTGTTTTATTTAGTGTTTGGTTATAAATTATAATCCAGAGAAGTTGCGCGACTAAAACTTATTTTTATGAGATTTTAAGCCGTTCAAATTAGTACCGCTTTACTATGTAAAAAAAGGTTGCTGTCTATTCACTGATAAAACAAAATTTTAATTATTGCCTTATTGATGGTTATAATGTAGAAAAAAAAAATTAAAACTCAGTACTTTGTATAGAATGGTTTTCAAAAACTTAAGTCTTTGTGTTTATTTATCAAAAACCATCTTTATTTCATTTTTTCTGCTACTTTCCATTAAATCCTATTCGTAAAACGTTTTCTTTTAGTAAATTTACCTCTGTAATATACATAATATTATAAAATGATCTATCCACATACACCAGTTCTCTTTAAATAATTTACAATACTCTTTTATGCTTTAACTAAAAAAAAATGATTAGCATAATGCTATAAATACCATTAACATATAATATACCATCCTGATGTTTTTATTTTGTGTTCGTACTTTCTACAAAAAATAACTGACTGTGTACGACTTAAGTGGGTAATAATTTAGTTATAAATTAAATTATAGTATTAGGAAGTAACATATTCCACTAGCAGCGCGTCTAAAATATTCGCGTCAAATATTGTGTGACATGCGTACAATATATATATATATATATATATATATACCTAGTCTAAAAAAAAACAATGATATAATAATAAAAAATACACACCTGTGTCCCAAAATCGCACGCGCCACATATGTGCGTTGCAGTGTTGACTCGGCTATGAATAAAAAAACACAACTAGTATTTTCACAGAAAACGCCATCATCGACGGTATGTAACATACAATAGTGTAGTGTAGTGGTCGACTTGTACTCTGAGCATGTGCATTGTGTGTGACTTTTTAGACCTGATCTCGCTGTTGTTGTTGAAGCTGCGTCCCAATTGTAATAATCGTTTTCGTGTTTGCGCAGGTGTTTGGTCACCGGAGGTAAAACACAGGACGTTAAACTTGGAGAACGCTGTCAGTAGGAAAACTGAGAAAAAACCACCGACCCCGTCGTCGGAACTTCCACCCGTATGGACGCCCAACTCGAGTCCGACGCCCGAGAGAAAAGCTTACAAGCCGGTCCGGTTTGAATCGCCGACATTATCCAGAAAACAGATTAACGGGGACACTCAAAAGGTATGTCGACACACGTGATTGTTAGTCCCGCATAAGATTTTTTAATTTTTTCTTTTTAGGTAGGCCCAAAAAAACCGTCAGATTTGCATGTACTGAGTTCACCGTATCCACCTGCGCCGCCTCTATTGTCGCAAAATTCACAAGGTAAGCACTTGACAGCATTAATGACATCCATACCGATATTTATGCACGTTACACTTATACTACTACTGTTATTATTATCACGGTAAAGGCGATGATAACGCTCATCGAGGCACGGAGAGGAGGCTGCCGCGCGTTCAAAGCCCCACCATAACGCTCCTGCAAAAAGCCAGAGGTATACACAAACAAATTGCACACAATATGTATATAATTTGCACGCAACTGTATTAATGTTGTTACTTTTTAAAACTGACCCGTCTTACGTGATGTACGGAAATATTGAACTTTAAACAGTATAGACTTTAATAAGCTTTTTTGTCATTTTATATGAATGACTTGTGATGAATTTATAGCGAGTATACTTAAAGTAGCTTCTAAACGACAGTTGTGAGACCGACTCTATGTACAGATCCAATTGCTAGTGGGATAGAAAATAAAATAAAGGACGTGTGTTGTGTAGTGGAAGTAGTATAATAGGTATGAACTAGAGGAAAAATAACAGGGCCACCGTTTAGAGGGGGGCATAGTGGCCATGGCCCTCCTAGACATTTTACATTTTTATTTTTGACAGCACGCGTTGTCGTCATTCGGTTAGTTTGGAGTTTAAAAAAAAAGGTGACCCTTGAAAATATTTGATTTGGTTGTCGCTCCTGCATCGGAACGTGAAAACTTAAATAAGTACACATTTATGCATATCAAAAAATATTGCCCCCCCTCCTGGGTAAAGAACCAAAGCCGCCACTGAAACATAAAATATGGTAATGTGGGTATATCATGAGAAGAGCGGAGTGACGATATTAAAATATTTAAGGAGGCAACGAGGCTGAATGTATAATAGAGAGAAGACTAATCAAAAAGAAAGGAGAGAAATGAAAATAATATGTGACTGGTGTTAAGCCGTAGGAACTAGGAAACCATGTTAAGTGTAGATTGAGAATTTAGAACTGGGATGGCTTATCCAAAATAATTTGTAGCAGCAGAGAAAAAGAAATATTATATCATTTGCTTCATGCTTATTAACTAATTATCTTAAGATTTCTTTGATTAATTTTAGAATTTAAAACACGAACAAAGTAACAATATGCTTGTTTAGTCTGTCCTTTAGTCCTTATATTTATCTACCTTAACTATAAATCACTATTTCATTTGCAGAAGGACAGCTGCCACGGGGTTCAGCGTACCTCGATCCAGAAGAGTCGAACATGAATAAAGAAAACAAAAATAAAGGCTCGTCTGGAAAACGTAATGTCGATACTAAAACAATAAGTAAGATTGTTTGTTGGCTTTGACTATTAAGTTTAATATTATTATTGTTAATTTTTTTTTATCAATGAAATACTTGAACAATAAATCTTAACAACGAGATACCGAGATTCGTTAAATACAACGCTGTTAAAATTATCAATAAGTAATATGTTCACGTGAAACGATTAAGATAAGCCTTGTCTACAATTAAAACTAACAGAGAGAACACTATTCATGGTAGCGCGTTAATGAAACGAATGTTCCCTTTAAGTCTATTGAGAAAAAATATAAAATCGGTTCAGTATATCGATTCGTTAATTGATGTCTTTAATTTGTGTTTAGACTTCACCGCAAGGCGCGATTATGCTAGCGGGTCAGAAGAAAAGAAACAAAGAAAGATGCTCGAGACCAGCCCAAAAAAATACGACGGCATAGGTCCAACGACTAAGGAAGGTGTACCTATCGTCTTAAGATCGGTACGTATATTAATTAGTTTAATGTTTGTACAAAAAAAAAAAAAACGCACAACTAATTATTACAGGAAGTTAAAGAACCTGATCAACAGAAGTGGTACAAACAAATGTACGAATCGCTACACAAATTCCAAACTGATGGTTAGTGTCTACTAGAAATATTTAAATTTTAAGCCGCATAATTTGTATTATTATTAAAAAAGATTTTGAACCTCTACTAAATGTGGTGATCACTTATTTAAATCAAATATTACTCTTTATATGTAAAATTACTAATATTACAGATGACGGTGTAACGGTTCGATACAGAACTATAACTCGAGGTGACAATATTAAAAATAATATTCATCTAAATACATTGCAATATATTAATGCTAAAGCAACGCTTAGCTTTAATTAAAAAATACATATATTTTGCAATAATATAACCCAAGATATTAAGTTTTAATAATTCTACACTATGACCGTAACATAAAAGCCTTCGAGCTTAGGTTGTTAAAGTTTAAAGTTTAACAAAGAGTGTAGAGAATTACCTTAGATGCATTTGTATTCTATCATAATAGAAAAAAATAGCAAATCGAAAACTTGTAACAACGTTGCGGTCTTTAATCAAATAACTGTAAAACTCTGATTTTATGTTGCTTATTAACATTAACCAAGTTCAACACAAAAACAATCATGTTATATTTAGTCGGTTACTTTACACAACATGCAAATAACATACGCTCTAACATTGATAACGCATACATTTAGACATGAAACGTAATATGATTTATAATATGAACTATATTAACGTTTGATTTCTAGAGCCAAAATCTAGGAACACTAATGGATACTTGTCAGAACCAGAAAGAGGCTATGAATCGTACGATGATGAATACTCGAGGTTTGTTTCCATTAGTATTGAGATCATTCAGACGTCTTTACTATTATATCCCAGTCTCGGTCTGATCATTTATAAAATGTTTTAAAATTTATTTGTAGATTATCGCCAGTGAAAAGTGGCCAAGACCGGTACAAAAATCAGCCAAGACCAATTGAAAACTATGAACCAGGACATTCTTCGATTGCAGAGAAAGAAACCAGACAATGGTGGGATGAGGCGATAAATGCATTTGACGAAGTAAACTTTTTATACAATTTCTTACAGACTACAATACGAAGTATACAACATGAGAAAATAATAATACCAATTTTTATGTCTAGCACGTTGAACAAAAAATACCACTGCCTCATAATCGATCGTCCTCCAAAAAATCAAATTTAGCTCAGTAAGTAAAAAATAAATTATTTATATTTTTAACGCTAATTAAACATTATTATTTTAGAGCGTTAAAAGAATCGGGATACGATAGTGACTCTACATTAGTATTTAGGAGAGGAGAAAATCAACCTCAGTGTCTATCACCAACTGAACAAAAAACCGCTTACAAGATGATTCAAAATGGTGGTGAAGTACCATTTCAAGGATTGCGAAAAGCTGCTCCAGAACGACCAAAAGGTTCATACATTTAAAAAACCAATTACAATTATTTTAGAGCTAAGGGTAAACAATAAAAGTCTTATTTTTATTATAAATTTTGAAAACAAAAACACTATTTAAAATGCAGTTAAAAACTGTCACCAATTCGATTGTTATAATATCTTATTATGATTTAAAATTAGTGATATTTACAAATTCTAAACGATTCAATATTAAACAATACCACCTAACAAAATGTTAACAAATTAATTATTAATTTGTTTTAAAATAGACTTTTATTATTTTTATACTAGTTTGTAAAGTATAAACATCATTTAAACATTAATTTGATAGTTATGATGTTAAAAAAACTTTCACTGTCCATATGCACTTATAATTTATAAAAATGACAAATTCAATTTATTTAGGATCAGCCTAATATAAATATAATAATAATATAATAATAGCTAATATAAAAATATGCATGGTTATAAAATGCACATGTTACACTTTTAAAACAAATGATATTTCTATTTATGATCTTCTAGACCTTGTAGTAATAGTATAGCTATTTTTTGGATGGTGACTAAGGGGAAAGGAAAAACATACAGCGTCGTTTTGCACACAGTGACTCCGCCAGATATTTTGCATCGATGAGGCAAAGCTGGAAAAATATTTTTCTAAATGGGCAAAATATAATAAAGAATATAAAATTGTTAATTTTTCAAACTATGTCTCTCCTTGTGTCCAATTTACCTAACACGTTTATGCGTTACATATCTATTAAGGATTACAATTTGTAATATTAATTTAAGATAACACTTAGCTATTATTGCAAATTGTCAAACCGAAGGATCCATTTGAATATTTTTAGTAAAACAATATTATTAGTATGAGGTCTATTATTAGTTTTGAGAAATTATTATTCAAAACAATGTATAACTCAAAAGTTAAGTTTATACTTTATACTAATTTAAACACAAATCACTTAAATATCATATCATAACAGTTATTGGTACACAAAAAATAATATAAATACTACTAAAAACACTAAGATTACATTGGTTGGAATTGCTTGGTTAATATTTAATTACACTGTTCCAAAACAATGTCTAATGAAGAAATTATAATATCATTTTTTAGTTGTTCGATAAATTAATCACGCATCACTTATTAATGATTCACATTTCTTTGTCACTAAAATATATATGGCTACACAAAACGCAGCATTTCACCTTAACGCGATTGAGCAACTGTGACAGAAAATAATGGCAGCACCGAAAGTTCGAGGAAAATGTGGTACGGTAACGGACTAAAAATACTATGCAAGGCGCTAAAAATTGCATTAGCTTCAGAGATCTCAAATTTTAGTATAATAATTAATTTGATGTGTAGATTTGGAGATGGATTATTTACCAATCACATCGCATCTGACACGAATTCATGTAACGAAATATGATGATCAAGTATTCCACCATCCTTGGAAGGAAGTGACTTGCTACCCAGTATTTTCTACTTTTAAAAGAACAGCTAAATCGTCAGCAAGTTCTTCAGGTTCACCTCCAACTCCTCCTCGTCGTGACTCATCACGAAAAAATTCAAGACTGGAACGATGGAGCAAGGGAGCTGATGTAGAATCTAACGTTGAAGTCAAAGTACTTAAACCGAAATCAGAAAATGAAAAGAGGTCGAAAAGTTTGAGTTTAAAGAGTAGTACAAAATTATGTAAAAGTGATTCAAAAAAGGAAAAAGAAAAAACTCTCAAAGTTACTGTTGCCGTATCCACCAAAGGAAGAGAGTTAAAGAGATCTGCTACATCATCAACAAACTCTTCAGAATCATCAATTCCTAAAAGAACTAAATCTTTGTCAATACCGTCAAAAATCTCTGTGACTTCAAAAAGTTCTCAAAAAATAATTTCAAAAGAAAAGATTCCAAAAACTACATTAGTAAAATCCAATAGTAGTAAAAAAGTTATTAAAAAATCCGATGACAAGGCTACAATTAAACCCAGTTTAAGTAATAGTAAAAAATTAGAATCAAAAGAACCAGACAGTCAATTTGGAGAGGAATTCTTTCAGCAATTACTCATTAGTAAAGAGACAAATGACCAAAAGTCGCCAGCATCTCAGTTAAAAAAGAAAGATACCGTCTCGGTTTTAAAGCGCAGAGAAAGCAAATTAGATGTGTATTTGACGAGCAAAAAACCAGTTTCTCAATCAAGATTTAAGTCGTATGACAAATTCAGTTCAGACGCGTCGGAATGGGAACAACTAAGCGAGGACGCCAGTAATTATTTGAAGGGAAGAAGTGCCAGTGAGCCTCCATCTAGATCTCCATCGTCACGTCGCATCAGAAGTTTTCATACTCCTGTAAAATTGATCGAGAGTGTCACGGGTGTCCGAAGATGTCGCCGCTCTAAAAGTGCAGATGAGCCAATGGAGCGGGCGAGAAATGCTGCTATAGATTATGAGTATCAAACTTACGTCAAGGAACTGAGACACTCTAGTAAAAAATCAGAACGTTTTAAAGATCTCCACAATTTTTATTGCAGTCTAGAAAGATTAGGAGAGCTTGAGAAATCTGCTGAAAAGGCTAATAACAAAGTGAGATCTCGCGGAAGTTTAATTGATTTTGACAAATGGAAGACTATCAGAGTTAAAGAGAGGGCGGAGACCGAGATAAAATCGTTACAAGCTAATCTGGAGAATATACAAAAGTCAAAGGACGTTTTGTTCAAAACTAAAGATCCTGCTGAAATACGATGGAAAAGAAATATGGACCGTGGCCTGAGAAATCGCGAGTCATCGGTTGAAGATTTGAAAAGAAAATTCCACGCTATAGGCAATGAAACATACCGCAAACCCGAATTAAACGTTTACATGCCTCTATGGAGAGGATCTTCAGTCCAAGATGTCGCCAATTCGTTAAAATACACGACGTCATCGAAAAGAGGACGTCCCATTTCTGAAGATAGAGAGCGGAGCCGCACATCTATACCGACGAGGAAACCGCGTTCCCGTAGTCCCGCCAACATAGGTTGCCGAATATGGAGTAGTTTGTCCATGGAGCAATTAAACAGACTAAAAAAACAGCTCAACGAAGTCTATAGCACTTTATCGGATCTTAGGCGGGATAAGTGTACAAAATCGGTCGAGAAAGTCGAGAGTAAAAATGACTATGAAATTGAAGTGAGTGGAAGAGTGAAGAGATCGAATGCGAGTTCTTCGTTATACGTGCGGTCTAGTTCTATGGGGCCGCGTAGGAAAAAAGAAGAACTGGAGCATTGCATTAGGAGAGCTGACTCTATAGGTTCGGTGTGCCTGACCGAAAGTGAAAAGAAAAAAATTTCAAAATGTATTAGTAACGAAGTGTTAGAAAAAAAAAATAAAAAGCTTTCCACCAACGTGGTAATACCTAAAGAAACTTTAGGGGCGGTCGCAGCAGTAAAGTGCAAAACTGCCGGTTCAGAATGCGTTTCGCCGAGGACATGTTATTCTATTGACGTTTCCGAAGAAGAATCGACGGCGAAACATTTCGAAAAGAACAATTACGTTTTAGTGTTAGCCGACAATGAAGACAAGAAAAAAATGGTAACCGATTGGGCGAATGGCACTAATAATTATAGTGAGTCCAGTTCGTCCGCTTCTACGGTAATACACCTTGGACCGAAGAAGACGACTCTGCATTCTTCTCAAAGTTTTACAACAATGAAATCAATGTTTGGCGAAAGAGAAGGAATGCGAAGGGTACTGTCGCCTTCGCCGGATCGGTTCAGTCAGAATTCTAGATCGGTCGAGTACGGGGCGGTGAGGAAATTGTGTAGAAGATTTGAGAGCTTCGACGATCTTCGATCTTTTCAAAACGAATTCACGCCGAATGCATTGAAAAAGTATAAAAGCGATCCGGAAATGCACAGGAACGTAATTAAATACCACGAATACGGCGATGTGCAAAACCTCAAGAGCAAATACGAACGCTCTAGGAGTCCAGTGCCAAAATGCCCTCTGCGACCCGACAATCGACTCATGCCTCGCATAAACATCATTAGCAAGCTAGCGTGTTTACAGGACAGATTAGCCAGGGGCGAGGTTGACCGGATAAGACGTATGTTCGAGAATAAGAACCGGGTGTTTATGCTAGGTCAGTTTTACACTTCTACACCTGACCTAAGGGAGGCCAGGAAGATGATACCGTTTTTGGACTGCAGCTGGATGGCTCACAGATACCCCGAACCAGAGCCTGCGCCTAGATCCAGAATAAGACCAAAATCAGCTTCTCCAGTTAGGTGCAGTAAGAAAAACCATCACCATCCTTCCATCTTAAAGCAGCCAAAACAAGACGGATTTCTGAGTCAACCCTACAACCCGGAGGCTCACCGACCGAAATACCGGTGGACGCCAGTATGGAACGGCGTGTGGACCCAACAACCCACTCTACCGCCCAAACCGTCAGTCGTCAAATTTAAAGGTGCCAAATTTACACGATTTCCTCACGCGTAAAATACAAAACGATACACTTACATTTTAATGATGACATATTTTACAAAACCCCATCGTATGCCATAAATTCATTTAAAAAAAAAATGAAATAATATTAATAACAAATAACGAGTTGGTTTTGTTGTGCGCTTAGGTTAGTAGTCCTTTAAACATTAAAAAAAAAAAAAGGTACACCGAAAAACTGATGTCACGGTGATGTAACGTGACAGTAGGAAAGTTGATTATTGATTGGATGACATAACGATTTAAATGTATTAGATTAATGACGGCGGGACCACCCTGTTACCGTCCGGTACGTAACTCTAGTAGCCGCACCCGAACAGTGACAATAAAGAGCCGACCGGTTGATATATAGGACGTGTTGGCATTATGGTAATTTATTACAATATATACTCCCGTGCCGGCAAAGCAATCGTTTTAATTACGATCCGTGACGGTTAATTTTTTTAACTAACCCGAAGGTCTTTAGGAAAGTCGAGCGCCCACCTCTACCGCTGTATCGCCCTGTCTATCTGTACATTATACTTTCCGTTTCGCGGCGAAGAACAAAACAAAAATATATATATATTAATCCATTAACCTTGATGGGGTTCACGGCCATCCGGTGGGGCCTGCGCCCAGGTGTGGGATCGACTATTTCCGAATTCCCGTTTAAACGAATACATTAGCGCGGCGTGTGACATTCTTCCACGCTGCTGACCCCGATTACCACACTAACACTACAGTGTTATGTACTATGTAGAGGCAACACATACGACGGTTTACTTCCTTAGATCAAAAACCGCCGAACGAGTGCGCTGCTGTCGGCGGGAACGACCACTTTTTTTTTTGCCGCCATGGACATGTGGTGGCTAGTGCTAGCAGCTAGGCAGTGTCTATTCGGCTCCGGGTGCAATCGTTCGTCGGGTCATGGGTTGACTTACCCGTTAAGGCAACCAATAGCTATCACGGTTCGGCTGTGTGTGTCTGTTTAATATATACTATACTTACGTCGGTCCCGTCTGTCGGGTCGCTGTTATGGCCACCGGCGAAATGAAAAAACCACTCTTGTTGCCTTCCAGGACTGTCAGTCTCCGGAGGATCGTCGTCAATGGAGGGTGTAAGTAGGCAAAAATTAAAAAAAGTAAAACCCAATTATCGTATTTCTCGTACGAATCGTATTATTGAGTAATTAAGCTACCGGCTAACCGACTCGTTATTCCGGTCGAAAATATCATAATAATGGTCATTATATTCGTTACACTGTTACCGGCAAATAGTTTGTCCGACTACTCTAGCCGTTTTCCGGAAAGTCCTGGACCACCAATAGTTTCTATTTTACCATACTTCATTATTGTGAGACAGAATCCGTCAAAACCATACGAGCGAGCAAATTCGCATTTACTTACTACTCATCCAGGAAAGTTGACAGATAACTTGTATGCTGACGTTATTATTTGTGTTTTTTTTTTTTTGTGAATGGTGTTTGTTGATTGTGTAGGTATTTTTTTTAGTCAAACGAAATGATCGGTAAAAGTAAACTTCTTTATCTAAAGGCCTCGAGGTCGAACAGAAACAAAAAACAATGGGTATTAGCGCGAATCGCGAATCATCACAAATTATACTTAATAGCTTTAGCTATTGTGTCGATTTCTCGCTATTGAAATTACTCGAAAAAAACCTTATATTCACCAACAGTTTGTTACAAACCACTCCGTAATTATATTGTACATGATATAATATACTTGTATGTATTATGTTTAAAAAACAAAAAATACCTGATACATCGTTTTGTATATTATGAATAATTACGCATACGTCATTTTAAGAAAATTCTGTACAACTAATTATTATTTGTTTTTACTTAAACATTGACTTGTTTGAAATGACTAACACGATTAAATCACTAAGATATAATTATGATTCTGTTATTAGTTAACTCGGTAAGATAACCCTAGTTTACTAGGCGACTTGGCAATTTGCTAGATACACGTTATTGTTGTTGTTCATTGAAATAGTAAAACTGTTATCCACTGGTGTGTTATGACTTATGTCATTAATATTGATTAGCGTATAAACGTAAATTGCACATTAAGGAACTACGGTGACTTTGTCATTACTTTTCCAGCCCATTTAATATATCTAATTTACCTATCGCTAAGAAGTCCCGGACAGAGAATATTGTAATGCGTGTGCCGCCCACGACCTACATTATTGTGTGTAAACCGATCGTTTTTGTGTGCTGCTGTCGAATTAACGACCACCGTGCTCTTCCACAATGCCATGGCCGGACACGCACAGCACCTGGCCGACGACGATACGATTACAATAATTTATAATTTGTTGTTATTTCAAAGCATTGTTTTCGGATAGCGGAGCAAGCTCAAACTACATAAACGTTATAGGTCAAATCGTTACGCCCACTTTGAAAACTTACAGTGCTTAGGCTATCCCTTAGCTCCCGTCGTGTCATTCCGTCGCCACCATCACCAACGCCCACCGACCCCTTTCACCCTATTGAAGGTCACCGTGGCGCCGCCGATCGTAAATCAGATTACCGTACTTGGTTATTTTACCCCCCGTCCGTACTTTGTTTCCTTTTGACTCTGGTCGGTCGTAAAATTCGGTTTGAGTGATAAATATTATACAGGACGGTTTGTTTACGATCAGTCTCCTCGCATGCGCTTTTAAGAGTCGAGTCTCACTCGCGTTCCGAGTGCTTATAAATAGTAAATATTAGAATATTGTCAATGACTGAAATGTGGCATAGTTGTTTAATCAGTAGTTACAGTGCCCGTCATACAACCGGCAGCTGCCCGATCAAAAGAAACGGCCGACTGCACACATACATGAGCACGCTATTATCGACAAACCGGATAGATCACTACTACAGCTGTAATAGACTTTTTTGTACAGGGTGCCTCGATTTCTGACGAAACCCCGCTTTCTAGAGAAAATCATGTATTCTTATTGTTGTCGTCATGCCGTATTTTTCTTTACCGTCACTAACGTAGTTCATAAACTGTCGTTTTTTCCTTGGACAGGTAATTTGTCTGTATTTTCCATAAATAATTTGCATAGGTACGACAGCTGTCAGCTAGTCATAGTTTTTTTTTTTTTAATGTTATTATACTTATTTTGATCGCGGTTACATGCGAATGGTTTACTTCAATAGAGAATAACATAGAAAGTACCGACGAAAAGAAATCGCAATAAACAATAATTATTATCCGATCATATTTAATTCTGTCTTCGGATCGTGACTTCTTATAAAAAAATATAAATAACCAATATCGCTGTAAATCCGATGATGCAACATCAATCAAAATCAAAATAATCGTTGACTAATATTTCACAGACCGAACGGCACGCTCCAGCATCTGTTTTTTCTGACCCAAAATCGTGTCTATTTTTAATATTATTCCAAATCACATTTTTGTTTCAGGAGCGCAGCAAATAATACAAACCCACCAATGGCATAAATGCACACCCGAAAGATCTAAATACATTTACTTTTAAACCATCTGTCTATATTTTAAACGTGCCAAGTAGGGGATGTTGTTGGAAGTGTTTAGTGTTTTTAACAACTATGGCCTAAAATTTAATTCGCCCTAAGCTTTGATTTTAAACAGGGTTTTGGATCCATGTTGTTTATATGGATTATAGATACTCAGTGCTGAATCAAAATAGTGGATTTTTTTATTTTTAATAATCAATTTTATGCTCGGTCCTATTTAATTAGGTTAAGAGATTTTACGTTGGGTTCTATCACTGGATAGCTTCCCTCCTCATTTAACATTGCCGTTTTTATTTTATATTATTTTTTTTTTTAGTACATATAACAATGTTACTATTTGCTTATTATGCCTTGCAGCATAGATTGTAAATATTCTTTAATTAAAAAAAAAAAAAAGAGAGATTTTACAATCCCGAGACAAATCATTTCTAAACCCCTAAATTATTCTAAGGGCAATACAATTTACAGGCAAAGCTTGGTCGCGAGTTTTGAATAAAAAACCTATAGGCCACTGCGAATGCAACCAATTTTTAAAAATGTATGGTCTGTACGGTATTTGTATGAGTACAAAGCCCTTGTTTTTCTTTTATAGTTATTATGATAGTATATTTTGAAGCACCTCAAATAGTTTATGTTTAGTTAAATGTCTACATGAGCACCGCGAATTAGGGTGTTTCATATCTTAATTCCGACATTTGGTCGCTTATTGCGTTTAGTGATTTTCTTTATCTTTGTTGCTCGATGGTTTTATTTGTGTCCCTCGTGGAAAACTATCTGTGCACGCCTATGTATTTCTTAGTAACTTGTATTTGCTTTGATACGGAGTAGTAAAAATCTAAAAAAAATCTATGAAATTCCTACCAGTACAACTCATTGTCAAAAGAAGTGAAACCGATAATTATATCGTAGTTTGGGACGTGTTTAACGATCCGTGTTACGTTGATCTTCCATTCACTGCGGTGGCACGTGTTCGAAGACCCTATACCGAAGGTCTATTAGCTGTTAAGCTGCGTTTCGACGGTGCAAAAAAAAATATATATATATATATAATATACGGAATAGAAACAGCATAACTAAGTCAAATAAACGTAGGCGTAGGAACGTATGAAAGGACCGTGGTTGTTTTTTTTCCTTTCGTGTTTAGTCATCATATCGAATATTGTTTGTCATATTTTTTTTCTGTAAACCACGGGCGAATCGTTACTGGAGGGAGGGGGGGGGGCGTAGCATAGAATCAAAGAATGAAAAACTTGCGACGTGAACAGTGCATTGTGTTCATTGTTGATTTTGCCATCCTTTATTTTGTTGTTCGCGGTGTCCCCATGGCGTTCGATTCCTAATTTAGACAAGCTTACATTAGGGACGACCCGCCATAACCGACATTTTGGTTACGACAAAGCGTCATTGGGACAGCGAATAACCGGATCTTAAACAATAAACGGATTTTCAAAATTCCATAGTAGATCCGCAAACGGTTTTTCGTATTAAAACATTATCCGGTGCGCAAGAGACACAACTGTTGTGTTTTTAAGGTCTCGCCAATGATTTTATAATCGACGTTTGTGCTACCCTTTGGCGTGTATCGGTGTATGTAATTTAGAGACTGTTTATGATAAATGTATCTATGAAACTGACTGTGCCTAAATATTATTTACATAGATTCGCCACACAAGTATGCGGAATCGGAAGTGACGCTACAGTACCGTCGCCCCGTGCGGAACGAGATCAAAGAAGAATGGTCCGAAGAAGAATTGGCCATGAAGCAGGCGGAGGCCATGAGGAGGATCTACCAGGAAGAGAGGAGACGAAAGTACCTGCAAGAGCTCCAGGACATGTCGAACCGACGACACGCCGACAACTTGCTGTGAGCATACGGCCCGTGTGTTTGAATGTGGTTGCATGTATTAACGTCGTTTGTTTCTTGCACAGGCCATCGCAGAAATCTCCTATAGCTCTGAACCGGTATGACGATTTCCTGGACGAGAGTCCGCAGCCGCCGAGGAGTCGTACCCCGGAGCCAAAGTTGGTGGCCAGAGCATTGTATAATTTCATCGGTCAGACGTCCAGGTAATTATTTCTAACAACACTGTCGTTATAAAACTAAACAAAATCCGCCGTACCTACTACCACTGGAAATGGTTGTAATGTTGTGGTTCGTGCTGTACAGAGAGTTGTCGTTCCGGAAAGGTGACATCATATTCGTCCGGAAACAAATCGACAAGAACTGGTACGAAGGGGAGCACAACGCCATGGTCGGGTTGTTCCCTTTTAACTATGTCGAGGTATTGTTTATTTTTTTTTATTTTTATTATTATCACGGTTCATAGAACTCACGCGATCCAAACGACAGCGGTGTAACGTACCGTGTATTTTGTATGTTTCGGCACACAGGTAATCCCATATGACGGAGTGAGAACGACGCCTCACAGACCCTACGAGGGCCAAGCGAGGGCTAAATTCAATTTCCTGGCACAAACCAACATGGAACTATCATTAGTTAAAGGTAAAAAAATACATTTTTTTAGACACTCGCGGTCACCTCACGTGACAGTTATCTGATTTCCGCCGAAATATAATTATTACGGTTACCCCAAATACGTGCGTGTACACTCCGTGTAAAACATCAGTTGTAGTATTTGTATAATAGTACGACCGTTCTCGTTATGCAGGAGAATTGGTCGTGTTGACGAGACGCGTCGACAACAATTGGTACGAAGGCAGAATCGGCAGCAGGAAAGGCATCTTCCCCGTTTCATACGTCACGGTTTTAGTGGAACCCGGAGACGCTCCTAGTAATAATGACAATATAAATACTGAAAATGTCTCTATCACTAGATCTCATTTTTGAATCTACGTGTAGCATTCTTGTTGTTTACATCTACATTCAAGTTATTGTTATATAGGTTCATCGATGAGCGCGTCGGCCAAACCCGTAGCGTCTCCAGCATCACACTCCCTCATCACAAGTAACCCACCGAACACGCAGCACACTTACCAGCCGGATAGCTATTCGTCAATGGTATCGGAACGTCTTATCATGAAACAAATTGTGTTTATATAATGTACATTTTAGAGAACCTCGTATAATAGTTGTCAATGATATTAATTATAGCCGACGAGGACCTCTGGGACGCAAACCAAAAAACTTGCAAATAATAATATGAGCGAAACTCTTCATGTCGATGTACACTCGGAGCCCATACCGTAAGTATACATATTATATTTTGTACGTATAATATTTTAAATAAAAAACTGGATGTTCTTGTAATATAATATAGCGGCTTGCCGCTTGTCGGTTGTTTACAGTGGAGACTGGCGCTCGAGTAATTTTGAACTACCTACTCTAAAGCAACGCTTAATCACAACCAACCCACACTAAAAAATGTTTCAAAAAAACTCGTTGAGACTTTACTGTCGTATGGAGTAAAGTCTCACACCCCTCAATATGCACTCACGAATTTCAAAATTTTACTTAATATTTTCCAATACCAATTTCAGATAAGGCGTATGAATAAAAAATATATAAGAAACTAACAAAATACAATGTATACCTATTAAAAGCGTATAAGTAAATAATATAATACATAATTATTGATAGTTATTTAATTATAACCGGACACTTTATATATTAGGTATTAAGTAATACAATTTATAAAACTATTATTTTTTTTAACATTTATATTTATTTTTTTAGTTAGAGAGTGTAGAGACTAAGGTTTTTAAGAATTGTTATAGATAACAATTTATATACATATAATACATAACTCATATAATATGTATATATTAGAATTTTTAATAATATTCGATATCCTATTCGCTTTTATGAGTTGATTCTTATGTTATACTTTAATAATAGTGTATAAAATTAACGAACGATATTCTTCATGATGAAGGAATCAATGAAATATGGGTAGGTACTCTTTACCTCTTAATCTACTTAAGTATTCTTGACCCTGGGGATTCATTCATATTATAATATTTATAATAATAGAATGTGAATAGTATAGCCACGTTCATACCTCAAAATATGCTTAGGCGCCACTGGCTGTTTAACCTTTAAACAAGGTATATATTTAACATTTTTGCTGTATTTATCAAAACAATACAAGTTACAACAGCTGTTTAAAAATCTGTCGATTATAAGTAGGAACGCGATCGTAAATACATGTATTTCAGCTTATAAAAGGTCACACTTATCGTCATTATTATAATACAAGTTAACGACTCCATTCTTCAAACTAGCAAATCGATATTAATTTTTTGAACGCATGTGTAACTCTCATATCGTATGCATTAGCCATAATATTGTACTGAACAGCGTGATTGCCTGTAATGGAAAAAGAGTTATTTACGTCGGATTTCCGGTCGGGTGTTAAGTTTATGTCCCCCGTATGTATACGTGTGCGGATCAAAATTAACATAAAAATTCCAACTATGACAAATAGACAAATGTAATAAATAATAATAAAGTTAAACCATTATTATTGACGTTTGGCATGAAACGTCTTGACGTGCTCAATATCTCGATGAAAATAAACGGATCGTTTTTAACTGAATCACTATCCTCGTGAGACTGGGCTTCTTGAACTGTTTTAAATACACAGACCACAGTTTAAACATTATTATTTATTATTAATCAAACGAAAGTAATATTAAGACAGCACGAGGAGCTTTTACGGGGCTCTGGTCTTACTATGCCGACCACCTAGTTAATTGTTGTCGTCGACAGTTATAGGGCATTGTACAACTACAAACCGCAAAACAATGACGAGCTGGAGCTTAGGGAAGGCGATGTGGTTTTCGTTATGGAGAAATGCGATGACGGATGGTATGTGGGGTCCAGCAAACGAACAGGATGCTTCGGCACTTTCCCCGGCAACTACGTCCAACGCAGTGTATGATTCGTCCTCGTCCGCTTGTCACTTCCTTTCCTTAAAAAACCAAAAAAAAAACACAATTACATTTTATTTTGTATACCAAAGGTAATATTATATTTTTAAAGTTATTTTCGTTTATAGCCCAAAATGTACACTGTTAACATGTATATTCATCTGTAATTAGATATTTTGTTAAACGTTTCGCATCGCGTTAAATGTATTATTATTATTAATATTGTAAACGTTTAAGTCACTAGTCAAGCAATATATTATAATATTATGTCACGATTTAGAGCGGATATTCTAAGTAAAAATAACACTATAAATGAATTAGTCTACACGTTATAATTTTAGTTTTTGCAATATTATTTAAATTTTAAATTAGTGGATTCAACGCTCCTATCAATAAGTTTTTGAAAGTTATTCTTAAGGAAACCCCCAATTTCAGATTAATTATTTTACATGTATTTTTACACTATATCACCATTGACGTCGGCATACTGTTGAATTTCAAATATTTATTTTATATATAATTATATATTACTAATAAGTTTATTTACTATTTTTTTGTTTATAATTATTTACATACTGATAAACCAAAACAACCAAGTGTTCCTCAACTTATTTTTTAACTACCTAACTGTATCTTAAATGTAAAGAGAATGAGTTAATCCTTCAGGCATACACAATGAAGTGGACATATACATTTGTATATATATATATATATATATATAAATATAAAAATTGGAATGTATTTTCTTTTCAACACTGTAGCATGAGTTAAATAGGAAATAACTTTGTTTTCTGTGCAACTAGCCTACCTAATAAAATATTTACATTTTAATACCGACGCAATTCGTAAAGTTTATATTCGTAGTATCAAGTAGTTTATTAAACACTGCAGCGTTCATGTATGGTATTCAATATGATTAATAATAAAAAAATATGACGAGTGTTGTCAATTTATACATATATCATATATCAAAATATGAATTGATTTGTTTCCTTATAACAAATTATACTATTATTATAAATTATAAAGTAAATTTATTTATTATTTACCAGCACTTTTATCGGTTGTATATGATTTCTATAAAAGCACATTTTTCTTTAGATATAGTGTTTTTTTAATGAACTCCAAACAGTTTAACAATATAAGAAATATAATTTACTTTCATTAAACTTTAATGAAAGGTAATATTAGAGGAAATCATTCACTTGAAATAATAGTTGCCAACAAAATTATGTTCTATAGAACTTGAAATAATCACATAAAAAATAATTTCCAAAACTATGTATAATAACGCACGAGTGTTATTCGTTTAAAACTTAAAACATTTTTTAACATGTATAATATTAATATCAAAATAATTAGATCTCAGTAAAACTTACAGGCAAAAATATGGTAATATATAAAATATCTAAAAAATAAATAATTTTTAATAAAAAAATACATTTTGTATAAATATTAAATGGTATAAAAGAATTTTAAATGGCAACCTCAAATTTAAATTAATAAATTAAGTGTTATGCCGAAGTTACATCTGAGCAGTTTCCTACTGACTGGTGGATTGACCAGAGGATTCACTAGTCGATTGACTTGGTTGACTGGTGGATTGATCAGAGGATTCATTAGTCGATTGACTTGGTTGACTGGTGGATTGATCAGATGATTCATTAGTCGATTGACTTGGTTGACTGGTGGATTGATCAGAAGATTCACTTGTCGATTCATTAGGTTTACTGGTGGGCTGACCAGAGGATTCGCTAGGTTGACTGGCGGTATCTTCTTTCTTATTTTTTGGTGGGGTGGCGGGTGGTGTTTTCCTTGGTTTTGACGAGGGTTTCACAATTCTCGATATGGTATCAATCACACCCTAAAATCAAAAGTTGTTAATAAATCAAAACTTTTATAATAGCTTTAATCCTGTAAATTGATGATATTATTTATTATGAGTACAACTCTACTTGAAGCCTAAAAATACGGACTAGCTCATACTTAGCAACTTTTGACAAGTTGAACCAAAATTGAGGTTTACACATATTAGATTTAGACCTAAATTAAGAAAATAATTATTTTTGCTATACCTAATTGAGTCTAATTTAATTTCACTTTTTGTACGTTTAACAAATAAACTTTGTCAAATGAAAAAGTTATTATTTCCCGTAAGGCTCCAAGTTGAATTGTTTACAAATCTCTTAAACCTAAAGGCCAATATTTTACTATTTAACCAGCGGTGAGAAATCCACGAATCACGATTAACATCTCACTCTTGCGTTTAACGTCCCTTATTCCCGCTTAGACTTGACTTGGGGCTTAGATGGTTAAGATTTGGAATTTTTTGGACTTAGAGCTGGCTGCCGACCTAACGCTACCAAACAAGTTGGCCATAGTGAGAGGTGCAGGTGGCCATTTTTTCCCCCTGACAGTTGCCTGCCCGAAGAAACAAACCGCTAGTGGTCGAGATTCGAACCGACAACCGTGCGTTGATACACTGCCGCTTTATCTCACTCCGCCACGCGCCTGCACTAAATCTACTAAACTCTAAAGCCTGCACAAATCCACGATAAACATAAATAAGATAAATACTACGATTACTAAATGTAAAATATCTTATGTATACATGCTTTATATAGACTATATATTGGTTTAAGCAAATAGCGTGAAGCGATACAACAGACCTTGTTGTTTAAATTTAAATTTTGCCCGTCAAGCGTGTCACGGTTCTTTTTGCGGTAAATAGAAGTTTGCCCTTATCAAAGAGGAGCGGTAAAAAAAACACAAATCTAATTATTTGCTTAAATATCCACAGACGAAAACGCACGAAGACAATATTTAAGTTTTATTATCTCTTATTATGAAACGGTATTTTGTCGTTTGCTACTCACATCTTTGGCTAATCGCACATATTCTAAAAACATGTCTATGTACATTTTGGCCATGGCTGCAGAGATTTCTACTGTCTTGACAACTACCGAAGCACCGTTCGTCAGCCTAATACAGCCCATTTCTACTAACAATTTACTCTTAGCCGCCTCTTCAGCCGTCACGCCGTCGCCGAGTTTCTTCCAATTCTCTTGGAATGTCTTCAACAACAGTTTTTGGTCGACAATCAGCTGCAACGAAAAATTGAAAACACTCGGTATGAGTAAAATCGTTTTACGACCACAAGACCTAACCTAAAGTTAATTTACACGTAGTATTTTTGGACTACAAAATCGTATACGAGAAGATTGCCCAAGAATTTTAGTGAATACTTGGTGAATTTTATATAACAAACTTTTGTTTCGTTAGGTATTTGTAATTTGTTTAATAAACTAGTAAGTCCAAAACGAGCTAAACATTATCACACATTATTTTTAATGTGATTCAAATCCGTTAAAGAAATATTAAAACGCATGACAGTTCTGTATTTATAGATTTAAAATGTAATAAATTGTTTTTTTTGTTTATACCACAGGGGCTACAATCTGTCCGAAACTTCGTTCTCCCTTGAGTGCGACGAGATTTGAAATTAATTTAATTGATATTAATTAAATCTGTCAAATTCTCATGGCCCACGCACTGTAAAGACTAAAGTGTACGTTTTTCATTATTCTTGCACATAATAGTCCGTGATTTATCTCAGATAACTCGTAGAAGTAATCATTTATTGTTGCATACGGTTTTGATCATATCCTCTAACTGATGGCTATAATTGTTGTTTACATTTGTTTAAAGTGACCGTTTGTGTTATTATTCTTTTCTCGTTTAAAGATGGTTTAAAGCTTAAAAGCAATTAATAAAAAATGCGCGCATACAACAAACAGCCGGTTATAGACAACAGCCTCGGGTCATCTACTATTCATAATTTTTAGTATGTTTAGTTGTTAACACTCACCAGCTTCAACATGGTAAACGACTGTTGGCATGCACCGAATGTCAGCAGCACCAGGTATTTGGGTTCGGCGTAGGCGTGCTGTACGGTTCGTCGCACTACCGTCTTGGCCAGTCGGAGTACCTTCGACTTCTTGTCGCTGTCGTCGCCTGAAAACGGTTAACGGTTTAAATACAATATAAATACATTAGCAGCCAACACTAATTCTAAAAACAACGGCCGTCCCTCCGATCATTCTTCTGGCGCATGAGAAAACGTGGTCAGTTTTTTTAATTTTTATTATAGATTATTTACATCCGACATCGGCTATACGGGGTGATTGGTTAACTATGGACCAGTCAATAATTTAAAAGATATTAGACTTTTATTAGTTATTTTTGTTTATATTTTATAATTATTAGTTAGGACAAATTTAATATATTTTTTGATATTATAACTCCGTCCCTTATATGTTAAAATCTTATAAAATTGAGTTTTTTAAATAGTAACGTATATATTGGATTAACTTTTTGAATTAAGAGGGTGTCGCACCGCCCATTTTTAAGAAGTAAAGTATAGGCAATTTTTTACAAAATCTTAATTTAAAGGTTAAACTGTGATGTGTAATCATAAGTTCAATAACTAGGACTCTATTTTGGTAGTTAACTTATTTTTTGAACTATCGCAGCATCCTTGAAAGTGATTTAAAAATGTTTTTTCATCTCTACATGTTTAAGCAGACTGAAAATAACTCGCTTAATTTTGGTTTTAGAGTAAAAGCACCCAATATAAAATTAAAGGAGAACAATATTCTGGAGGGCAAGACCGTACGTTTTTTCATTATTCTAAGTATAACGCTCAATACAAAGTTTAGAAATAACGACTGTTTTAACATTTTTAAATGACTAACTTTTCAAAAAATGATTTTTTTTTAAATACGTACTGTCTTGACCTCTGGAATATTGTTCTCTTTTAATTTTATAATGGGTGCTTTTACTCTAAATCAAAAATTAAGCGAGTTATTTTCAGTCTGCTTAAACATGTTTTTACCACTGAAAATCACCGGTGCGACACCTTCTTAAGAATAATTTGCTGAATATTTTGACTGGTATTTAACAGTTTTGGATAATTAGTTTTCAAGATATTCAATTTTAAAATTTGTGACGAAAGGGGAAAGGTAGAGATGTTTTTATCTGCACGCATTACTCAACTACCCTTCCCCTCCCATCATAAATTTTAAACTTGAAAACTAATTATCCAAAACTAGTTATCGACAATCAAAATGTTCAGCAAATTTTTCTTATTTTAAAAAGTTAATAAAATATATACGTTACCATTTAAAATTTTTAAGTTCATACGGTTTTAACATATAAGGGATGGGGTTACATTTTTCGAAAATATATCAAATTTGTCCCAACTAATAACTATAAAATTATAAAAAAAAATAATTAAAAAAAGTCTAAATCTTCTAAGTTATTGACTGGTCCATAGTTAACCAATCACTCGGTACTATTATTTTTTTATTATAAGAACTTTGCAGCTCCACCTCCCCTCCACCTCACACCAAAAATTATGCATTGTAATACCTCTCAGACGACGTTTTTTAGCCCAAGATGTCTAACATTAAATCATTTTACAGTAATATTTCATCACACGTTCACCAGCTTCTTTTCTGATAAAGATAAGTCTAAACCCCAAGTCCAAATGTTCGTCATGACAGGACAACACTAATTTATAATGCTATAATAAACTAACTTTTGGCGTCTCCAGACTCTAACTCTGGTAAGAAATAGTCCACGTAGTATTCAGCAGGAGGCATCAGCTCTACGTCTACCCATTCCGTTATTGGTGTCACCACTCCCATTACATATTTAACACTGTCGTCGTACACCTAAAGAAGAAAAAAACATGGTTAAGTTTCTTGTGCAAGAGTGAAAAAGTTTAATAAATATTGAACTGTACCTATACATATTTAATATACCATGAGAAAAAAGTAGTATACTATAAAATAACAGTGGCATCCAAATATCCAATAAGAATAAGATTAATACATTTTATGATACAAATAGCAATAAGAAAAGTAATTTAAATAATTTTATGAGTCATTTGAATATTTTTTATTATTTTAATATTTGAGTATACCTAAAGAAAGTACATTTGAATTCGAACTATGTACATTTGTTTGAATTTAATTAGGAAAAATGGATAAAAATATATTTAAATCCATCGTTTAGGTCCATAATGACTTGCATTGAGAGCGCTGAGAAAATATTTGATAGATACTGAAACGTTTTACTTTTTTCAACAAAAATATTCTAAAATAAAAAAATTTAAACAGAGTACCTATGTAGATTATTAAACCTGTATGCGTACAAATCAAGGACTGGGGTTTCAATTTTTGGGGGTGCTAAAGTGTCCCCCAAGCACCTCTCTAGTTGCACCTATGCTTATTTACTAGGTTTAGTTGATTTATTGTAAAATGTTATTAAATTTTTAAAAATATAGAAATGTAGTATTATTTAGATACTTATAAATTATCACTCCATCTATTGTCATGGATCCTTATTTACATTTCATAATTTTTGTTATAGTTATAACAAACTAACTTAAAACTAATCCTACATTTTGTAGTAGTCATATTTAATTATTACTTATTAGATTCATGAAATTCATACATTTTTTAAATTTATTTTCATTAAGTACAAATGACATTGTGGAATATAATTTTTGCAATAATGTACCTAGTACCTAATCAAAAACTGATTATGTATTTTGAATTAAATGACATTAGCATTTTTTATTTTAAAAATTTATCTTTTTTTTTAAGTTAGATTTTAAAATGATATCTACGCTTTACTGAGTACATGTTTTACGAAATTAATTGATGAACCCTACGGGGACTCAGATGACAACCCTTTTCTAATTTTTAAAATTTTTTTATCAGATTATGTGTATACTATCGGCGCCATACTAGGGTGCCACATAAAAGACTCGCGAGTCCATTTATTATTATTAGACGTATGGCTAACAGGCTACTCTAATAAAATGTACAGTAATCGATAACAAGGCAATTTACGGTTTTTATAGTTGTTAGTATCCAAAACTAGAATAAAAATATAGGGGTACATATCTAATGTTTCCCCCCCCCCCAAATGACATTATTATTAAAATTAATTAAATTTAACATGTACATGTATACAGAATGTACCACGAATATTTGACAAATTAAATAACTTTTGTTCTAATGAATATATTTAAGATTTGTTTTTTATTAAATTAATTTATACTCATTTGTATGTACGAATTATCTACCGCACTCCTCCTTCCATCCTAAAATTTAAACTTAAATAACTTAAAATTAATGAACCATAAGTGGTTGTTGACCAGTTAAAATGTTCAGCAAATTCTTTTGAATAAAACGATAAAATGGCTCATAAAAATAGGTAACAAAAAATAATTAATTAAAGAAAAACAGTTTAGTGCATTAAATAACGTAGTGTTGATAGCCCAAATAAGTATAAATTATTTTTAAAAAAAATCTTATTTATTAGTACAAAAATTATTTCATTTGTCGAATCTTTGGGGGACACCCTGTGTATATATAATATGAGCACACAAAATTATAAACTTGATAGTGGTTGACTGTTGTATATAATATAACATAGAACGTTGTAGTTATAAATGTAGTAAACTTCTACTTAGATATATACTCTTTGAATTTAGTTAGTCAAAAAGGCAATTGATGTAATTTGAGTATCACCATAGATTGAATATACTATATAGTATAATCTATGTAATCACTTAATAAAAATCCCCTACTTTTTTTTTATACTTGTATTGTCAAATCACAGATTTATTTCATGAGTCAATGACATTGTAATATTGAATCTATGGTTAACAATAATAAATTTTCCAGTAACGATTTATTGGTATAATAAAAATAGTGAGGTATAGCGTTGGGGAATTTTGTTGTAATGTAATTTTTGTACTTAATAATAGCGCATTGAAATAACGGGTGATTGGCTAACTACGACCTAGCAAACTATATAGCACAGTATATAGTTTTACATTCACAATGTAAAACTAAAAACTATGACTGTTAATAACCAGTTTTGAATTATTATTTCTCACAAGCTACATTTCACATTTCCTAACTTTACTTAATAATACTTCTAACTATTAAAGTAGAACCCTTCATACCAAAAAGAAAAAATCATCAATACACTTTCTACATAAAATATTAGTACGTTTCATTAAATTTTACCGCTGTTAGCCCGAAATTTTCGACAAGTCAAACAAAAATATGTAAAGGTAAATTCATAGCTTTGTCATTACGTTTACATTCAGTCGCTAATGCGCATTGAGGTGATTCGGTAACTAGGTGCATATAAACGTGTATTAAATGGACATTAAAAAGTTAATTCAATTTGTCAAATTACTCCGGTATTAAAAAATATAAAAGTAATAAAAATAATATAATATTCCAAAAACCATGGGATAAAGAACGACATTCCTTTTTTATCTTTGAACATAAAACATTGGAATTAATTTGTATTTTATAGGAGCTACATCCTAATATTTACAAGATAAGCCCGTACACTTTTGCGCATTAACTTATGCGTGTTAAGTTAATGTGCATAAGCAACTACATATAAATGTAGTATTTGAAGAGTAACTTGAATTTTTCACTTGATAGAACTGTTAATATTAAGTAAAAAATGAGAATCATTGTCATAAAATACATACATATTTTACATAAAATGTTTATTTATCTAAATTAATACAATTTTCTGTAAAAGTTATTAAAAATTTAAAACTATTAAGAACATGATATAAATTTTAAAACTTCGAAATATTCAAATTATTGTCTTTTGTCACCTATTGTATTTTAAAAATATTATACAATGCTTCTTTATAGACATCAGTTTATTGCATTTTTTTATTTACATTGCATTTGTTCAAGAAATAAAAATAATAGCATCTACCTTTTTTGTAAGAAATTCTAATTAGAAAGTCCTATCCTTAGTACATTACATTTACATGATAACTCATGGACGGCCAATAAAGAGGTAAAACAAAATTTAATTAAATAAACAATAAACTAAAAGTAATATAAAAACCAAGGTAGTTAAGATACACATTAATATATTTTTTTTAAAACAATATTTCAACTACTAATTGCTTTTAAGATTTTATTTGTGTTTGTTAAGATGTAATAATTAATAATTTCTTGGTAAAATATTTGTATTATCAAAGCTGGACTAAGTTGCTTTTTTTTAACTAGTAAGTTAAGTTAATTTCAAATAAAAACCAAATTAGTTAAAGTATTTTCATTAAAAAAAAGTAACCGCATTGAGTAAATATTACAATTATTAATTGCATGTACATAAGTAAGGGGAACTTGAACCACTCCCCTATGAGATTTTTCCCTATTTGCGCCACTGCGTCTCTTCAATATTTATTTAACAAAACATATTCATAATAATTAATATTCTATAATACTATAGTAAGACTAATTTTATTTCTAAGGAAAATAAATATTTTTTTTCAAGGTAAATGTGACTATTTGTTGTGTATTTTTTACACTAATTAAAAATAAATCAATATTTTTAGTTTCTAGTACTATTTTATAGGGATTTAGATTGGGTTAGGCTTACTTAGATTTAAGTTTTTTTGTTTTATATATAACGACGCATTTATACAATATTACTATTTCGAGTGGGTAATTGGGTAATTATTTTAAAAATATATGAAATATTATTATTTGATTGAAATATATACTTGTTCCGGAGTTTTGGTGATCACGGGCAAGGTATGTTCAGCCAAATCCAACGTACTGCAAAGTATTCGATCTACGGCTAATAACGGCTGTTTGACATACCCGTACGACAGCGGATATTTGACCGCTTGTTCCGCGCTACTGCTGACTTTGTCCAAGCTCCATTGCACCAGAAAGGACGAATCCTGTTAAACAAAATAATAATAATACATTGTCGTTTCTGCGTTTATAAAATGAATTCGTTTGGAATTTACCTTAAGTCCGTTAATCACGTGAGTGACAAATTTGTAACCGATTTTGACCACTGGGATTTCGGTAGTGACGCGGTTCAAGCACATCAAGTCCTTGGTCTCTTGGCTTTTTTCACTGCCGTTTTCAGACGCCACGGCCATGGTGTTTGAGTATAGAGTAGTGTTATGATTGCTTTAAATTCGAAAAATGTTCACCGTTATTGGCGCGATTCTAAAGTATTCGTATCGAAATATGAGATAGAAGACGGCGCGGACAGAGTACGCAGTGAGTCGCAGCGGGTTGGGAAATGTACAACTGTACCTCAAGCATAGTGAGATTCGCAACAAAACGTACATTGTCCGGTATTTTCCCATCTATACTGTACTGACGATAAGATAACAACGAACCAGAATAATGATGGTGCAATATGGAATTTATACTTTATGTTATATTTAAGTACCTATGTTTATCGTAAGTTCAATGAAAACCCATGACAAAACGGCCGCGGTCATCAGTAGTACTTATTTATATTAAAACTCGGCTGCGTTTTTCCCTTTGAATTTTACTTAGAAGGTATAGTATTGTTTTTAAAATATTTTTTTTTATTTGACTACTCGTGATAAAATTAGAATAGTTAAAGTGACGACTTTTGTGAGTTCTCAGCACCTATATAACAAACAGCATCTAATTTATAATTTGTGATTTAAAACTTTTAAAGATTTTTTCAACTTTTGAAGTAAAAAAAATCTATTCTCATCATTTTAGGCCCAAAATCAGGAGACGCCAATTTTAACATACCATACAACACAAAAACCGTCAAACTTTTCATATTTAAGCGGATAGTTTAAACTAAAATCCATCTAAATTTCTTCTTCCACAAGGCTCGAGTTCTTACATTTTTTTAAAATTTTAGATTACTCAACAAATGACTTCCAGAATAATTTAGTATCAAATTAAGTACCTATCTAGATGTCTATTTAAATATTTATGATCTAACGCTTTAAGTACATACTTTATATTTTGCTAATCGTCCACCAGTCCATTATACAAATTCAAAACATCACCTTCCGTTTTTATTTTTTCCACAGATCGTAAACCCATAGTTATTTGTTTTTACATTTTTTAAATTTATTGTTTTCTTCTTCGTCGAGAAGCACGGCTTTAATAATTAATTCTTCATTAATAAAATTTAGCCATTTTAAAAATTATAAAAAAAAAAACTAGAATGTGCAGTGGATTTTAAAAGTTAAAACTTACGGAATCGGTCCAGATGAGTATGAATTCAATTCCCTGAAACTAATCTGAACGTTAGAAATTAAATCGGGCGCACACTAGTTAGTCAGGTAGTCGTCAAAATTATATACAAGTTGCCTCCCAAGAATATCTGAATTCCCTCCGGTGACCTTTATTTCTTATCATAATATTTTGGTACATAAACTTTGGTTTTTAAATATAATTTTGTCACTATCAACGGTAAAATAGACTCTTACTTAATGTGTACAAACTTTCATTTAGATTTTAGTTAGTGTTTACCATAATTAGTAATCGGTTGTATGTTTTTTAATACGAAATTTATTTTATACAATTATTTAATTATTTAAAATTTCCCAACATTATAGTACTTTAGATTGTGAAGAAATAAAAAAACAAATTTAAAAAAAGGTTAGTGAAGATGATACTGTAGATACAAATTTATTTTAATTGAAGTAAAATATTTAAAATAGGAAATATATAATTATTATTTAAAAAAAATTAGGTGTAGAAAAAATAATTAATAATAATTCGTCAATCATATAAATTAATAGTTATAGTTACATTATATACATTTAAATTTGTTTAACTGTGCGCATTGCTCAACCTCACTTCCCCTCCTATCCTAACTTTCAAATTCTAGTTGCTTTAAAAATAATTATTAACACTGGTTAACCCAGTGAGATATTACGTCGATCGATTAAAAAATTACCCTGTATTTATATAAAACTTTTGGTGTATTTTGACCGAAATAGAGCCACCTATAATTATTATTTTATAATTTGACAACGTTGCACGGAAAATCGTTCGCAATCGTTTGATTTTTGGGTGTAAAATAGCTTTTCTTTGATCTACCGACACTTGTTCGCAATCGTTTTGCTAAAAAGGTAATTACCGCTTTTTAGACACCACAGACTACTTTAATCTCTAATAACATTGATATCGGGATACCCACAGATAATAACTATATCGATAGCCGTCAATCGTTGACGAGTTAAAAATTATTACAGCATAAAATACTATTATTGTATTAAAACAAATTATTGACACAAATTTTTTGAAATCAGATATAATTCGGAGGAAATTCGGATGAAAAATATTAAGTACCTGATACGGGAGGCAACTAGTATTTTTTTACCCTAAAAGTTACGATAAGCAAGGGAGGCAATTCGTGTTTTTGGGAGGCAACTGGTGTGCGCCTGGCGCCCATTAAATCGGAGTCGGAACAGACCCGGATCGGACGTGTGTGCCGCAGTCGTGTATACGGGTCATCAAACTCGGTGTGCAAGAAACGGTAGTCTTTACAATGTTTTTACATAATCTTTATTTAACAACTTTCAATTGGCAATAAACTAGCAAGCAAAAACAATCAACTAATATCATATTTAATCGTGTTAAAAGGCAATTTTAAAACCGTACCCTTTTTGGATTCACGGCTTTTTACTGAAATATTCACTTCAAATACACAAACATTTTAATTACAAAATATATTTGTAATTATTAATTTAAACACTGTCTAGGTGCTTTTACTACAACAATAAGTTGGGAAATAAAATTTACTAAAATGAAATGAAATCTAAAAGACGAAAAGACCCCACACGGTTGCACGTGTGAACTATTGGCCAGTCCAACTGTAGTATTATAAAAAATTATTTTTATTCTGATGTTTAGGAGTTTACAGAGAAGTGCACACAGTCTCAAAATCGGTTCAGTACAGTCATTCCACGATCGGACAGATTCACGCAAGTGTTTTACCAATCAGAGGACTGGAAGAAAATACAAAGAGAAGGTTTGGTATATTTTTTTTTTAAATATAGATTTAGACTCTCGGGATTCGAACCGGGGACTGCGAGGACTTATCGCCGCTATAATCCACTCGGCCACTCGACACCTGTGACGATCTTCACGATTTCACAACATTATAGGTACTATCAATTTCGGAACGATAATTGAAGTTTCCAAAACAAGGGGTAATTTATTTTTATTTTTACAAATATATGTTTAAATTATTTGAGAAAGTTTTTTGGTATTGCACACTTTCAAACAGTACTAGAATTCAATTTCTAAAGTTATGTTGTAAAAACTGAAAAGTAAAAAAATATATTTCCGGCGAAGACTTAGCAAATTATCTTTTACCTCGATTTGTTCTATATAGAAATTAAATTCAACTGTTAATTAGTACTAATTATATTTGTTTTTTATAGAAGTGATATATAAAGATATAGATTTGTGATATGATTTTTGTATTTAATTCTGTCTGAATTACATTTACTAAGAAATGTATATTTTTCTTATATTATAAAAAAAATATATAAATAATGCATATAAAATAGACACAATTGAATCTATAAAGCTTACATATAAAATAACTATATAAAGTTTTTGTATAAAAATGAAATTCTCTAATTTCTGTAGCTTATTAAAATAAATATAAAGGTAGGCGTCTACTAATGATAATATTATGACAGGTGATATTAATATCAATATTAACAATTTAGATCCATATTTTGGGTATCTGTATGTTTTGGCTAGTCACAACTTTTTTTCATGTATAAATGTTTTCACTCGTGTATATATTATGTTATATCATCCTCTCACATTTGTATTGACCACAGTTTTGTTAAAAGCATTGAACTTAATAGTACAACAGTCAACATCTTATAAATTTGAAAGTATTATTACGATCACTATGCTTTTTAGAGATCACTATGCTGCTCTTATCTAAAACACCCAATAAAATTACATATTTTTCAACTTAAAATTACTATGCTCTCTAAACATTTTTTAAAAATAGTCGAAGTAGTTCCAAATTTGTATGGAATATTCTTTAAACGTAGTACTACCGTCTACCGATTTCCAAGTTGCTATGTCATATAATGATATATGTGAGTGAATCAACAGGTAATGAAAATATTTAACTACAATATATGAGTAACTATGGCATTACATTTTTATAAAAACGACCTCAAAACAGAGACGATCAACCCTAATCATATCCACCCTAATACTGAAAATTTATTTTAAGCACATAATTGTCATTAGGTAAAATGCTTTTATTGATATTTGTATTTTTATCTGTGAACACTGGACCTCCATTACCTACTCACTTACTACTACTACTCACTTATGTGTAATACTTTCTTACTGTGCTTAGTTTAGACTGTACTGGTTTGAACCTACATTTTTTCTAGTAATCGCTAAAAAGACAAAATAATAGATGAATCGATTATTTATGAAAGGGGGTTTGTCCAAAATGTAGGTGATACTTTTGGAAAAATAAAAAAAATCTGTTTACCTGAAAAACAATTATAAAAATAATTCTTTAACTCTGATGCATTATACTTATATAATTTTGTTAATAACAATTGTTCAACCAACAAAAAGGGGATTTAATTAAATGTAATAATTTAACCCTTTTTTATATAAAAACTAGTTACTTAGCCCCTTCATAAATAAAATTATTAAATCATAAACGGGTTTGTGTGCAAAAGAGTACCTAATATAAATCAAAACTACTTTTCCAATGTATTTGATTAATTTTTACTTCTTATAAATATTTTTTTTTATAAAAATCATTAATTATTCTTTCTGTACAATTATACCTTAGTAAGTATACTTGAAGTTTAAATCGTTATATAACATAAATCATAATATATATTACCTACAAATATATTATGTATGTGAATAATGATATATATATATATGTATTATTTATAAATTATAATATATTTTGGTTATAGTTTATATTGGAAGTTTTTTTTTTTTTAACAAAAATGTTTGGAATACTTAATCCAACGTTTATTTTTTCTTGTTAAGAAAATATTTTGTGACAATTATCTTTTTCTTGAAAATGTTATCAACTTCCATGAACGATTGTTCCGCAGTACTGTTATGGTTTTACAATTTTTGTTCCCAAAATATTTGTTCCAAATCCAAATAACAATATTGTACCATACATCTATGTCCCAATAGACTTTTGGTTCACAAAATATTTGAAATAAATGTTCATTGGGAGATCAAATTTGTGGAACAAATATTACCCGCCCCCTGGGAGGAGGCAGTCATTTTGTGTACAAATTTTATGAAAAGTAAAATTCTACGTTACTTTTCAGTGATAACTGATACATATTAAAATGTTAGGTTAAGTGATGATAACACCACAGAACAAACAGAAACGCATATGTACACATAATATTTCATAAACTAGATTGCCTAGGTGTACATGCCGCTATTAACGATAATTTAAGTTACCATCACAGATTATATAATCTGTGTTACCATTTTCTGCCATCTTGGTGGTAATTAGAACCTTTCTGCACAGATGTTTATCTGAAATAAACTATATTGCACCTAGTGATAAGAATGGAAGTCATCCGCCATTTTTATGGGATTTATGGGTAAGCTGTCATTGGTTCCCTGGTTTTTTTGTTTATGGGACAAGATGATAATACGTTTTTTTCGTTCTAAATTACAATCGGCTTATTGTCGTTTTATGAGTATTAACCATTATGTACCTCGGCTTTTGTTATCAGTTATCAAAAGAAATAACGATGCTAGATTGCACGCTGTGTCGCTGCGCAAATTAAAACTATTAAATAAATACGATTTATCCGTTTTTGTTTCAAATTCTTTGTTTTTTATTAGTTTCAGAGACAGCAATAAAAATTATCGTACATCATGAATTTTAACTTTGGAACTCCAAAAACTACCGGTCCACCGCCTATGTTTTCAATGAGTTCTCCTGCAACCGCTCCTAGTGAGTATAATATTAGCGTTTTTTCGTCTTAAATAACTTAAATTTGTTTATATTGTGAGGAACTTGGTTTGGTATATTTCACGAATATTTTTAGACCGGGTGCTGTGGTAAATCATTTTTTTTTGTTTAGGTGGGCAAACGCAGATGGGAATTTTCGGTGCTGCTACTACTACTACCCAACCTTCAGGTATGATTTACTAAATATTAGCTGACATATATTTTGATGTAGGTACCAGAGGTAAATGTAGCCCGCAACAGGATAGGAGACAGACAATAGACAATACAAGCATACATGACATTACAAACTATTCAGTATTGTAATTTGTAACTTATAAGATAATTAAAATTCATATGATTTTATTTGTTTTTTATTATATTTAAAAATTAATAATTTAATAGTATTAACTTAATAATACTTTTTATATTGACTAGTATTTAGACCTAATCCAGACCTCTTAAGCCCCCTATTATCATTAGACTTTTGGTTATTAGTATTTAAAACTTATGAATTGTTTGAACTTCTGGTGTATAACAATTTTATACACTTTTTTTATTGTATCCAGTTTACGATATTAGTAAATTATTATTATATATATTTATAAAATTGTATTTTAAATTTACAGCACCAGTCTTTTCATTGCCATCAAGCATGCCGGCATTTGGAGCTTCTTCATCATTATCAACCAGTACACCAGTAGCACCCGCAACATCAAAATCAGCTTTTAATTTAGGAGCTATGAATAAACCAGCATTTTCACTTGGACCTACTTCTAGTTTTGGTTTATCGACATCCACCACATCTGCTAGTATTCAATTTCCAAGCAGTTCTACTGTACCCGCTAAAACTTCAGTTACAACTGGCTTTACACTTTCGACTTTATCTGCTCCCCAAACTTCAACAACTAGTGCTACTCCAAGTTTTTCCATAGGAGGTACAACTCAAGCATCAACTGGTTTTTCATTAGGAAATACAATAACAAAAAATGTTTCAACTGGTTTTTCATTTGGAGCAACAACACAAGCCTCTATTGGCACAACACTGGCATCTACCAGCTTTTCATTAGGAAGTTCTAACACAACTCAACCATCTACTAGTTTCTCTTTAGGCGGTACAAGTCAACCATCTACTGGTTTCTCTTTGGGCAGTTCCAGTCAACCATCTACTGGTTTCTCTTTGGGTGGTACAAGTCAACCATCTACTGGCTCCTCTTTGGGTGGGATAAGTCAACCGTCTACTGGCTTTTCATTAGGCAACACAACGAGTGCAACAGGATTTTCATTAGGTGCTTCTAATATATCTACTTCACAAACTTCAACAGTTCCAGCAACATCAGGAATTACTACTCAAGCCGTTGTTTCAACACAGTAAATTCTATAATATTTCATATTAGTATCTTTTTAATGCATAATTACTGAGCATTTATTTTAACTTCAGGTCTACTAGTCAAAGTAGTGCCGCTCAACCTGCAAATTTTCAGCAATTAGTTGATTTGATAAACAACTGGACGGTTAGTTTGGAAAATCAAGAAAAGCAATTTTTAAATCAAGCAAATGAGATAACTGTATGGGACAATATGCTTACAAATCAGTCAGCTAAGGTAGCATACATATCTAATAGTTAATTAAAATAATAATAAAAATACCTTCTTTGTTGCGTATCATAGCTAATATAACAATTTAAAAAAAAAATTTCAGCTGGTGAAACTTTATGATATTTTAGAACGTAAAGAAAAGGAACAAGTAGATATTGAAAATGAATTAGATTTTCTATTATCGCAACAGAAAGAACTAGAAGATTGTTTAGTTCCACTGGAACAAGAAATACAATCTGCTGAAGTATTAAGTAGCATGAACAATGAAAGAGAACCTATGTAAGTTGTTTTATAATTACCCCAAACTTAACAGTGTATATTTTAAGATTTAAATCTTTTTAACATAATTTTCCATGACAATTTAAAACGTTTGATTATTTTTATATTTAAAAAAATTCTACTTTCCATATGGATGAGTACAATAGATATTCTATTTTTTTAACACAATTTTTTCAAGCGAAATTAATTTATTTAAGATAATTAATTTAACTTAGCATGCTAAATTATCTCAGTTCATTTAAATCATTGTTGTAATAATAATATGTTATAAGTGGCATTACTCAGGCACACACAGCCCTTTTCGTGGCTTTACCAAGTAAACAACCAAATACTTACTAATAACTATATAACTTAACATGTTCTCGTGATACATTTGAATCAATATATTTAGAATCACTTTATAGAAAAACATTTAAATAAAAATCTATAATTAGCGATGAATCCTTAAAATATCGGTTAAACAATAACCCGAAAATAACAGTTCTTAAACTGTGCCCAATGGAACTAAAGAGCAGTTCTAAACAAAGAGTTAAAAATTGCAAATCATAATGTCACTTTTGGATTATAATATTTTGTAAAAAAAGATAAATAGATAAATTGTATCAACATAATAATAAAATAATCAATTGGTTGTAGAATTAATTTTTGATTTTTTTTTCTGTTTTAGATATAAAGCTGCACAAGAAATTGATAATCAAGTAAAACAAATGTCTGGTGATATTAAAGAAATTGTGAATAATTTAAATAAAGCAAATTCAAAAAAAGATTCAGATGACGATGTAAGTTCGCAAAGAAACAGCTTAGTTCTTTTAATAATTGTAGTCGTTAATTCCATAAAGGTGTACTATTTACACAATGTTCTATACTCTACACCTTTAGGGACTAAATAGTCAAATTTGTTTTTTGAATTTTTTGTAATATGTATTCTATTTATGTTTCAGCTAGATACAATTTGCCGTATTCTTAATTGCCATATGACTGCTTTACAATATATAGAACATAATGCTGAAAATTTAAGTACAATGGTATCAGAAGTCAACGAAGAACATTCTAGATTTTTAACAGCAGCAAATGATCATTCCTTTATGTCTTCATTTAGAAAATAGTAAATCAAACACTTGACATTTCAGTTCAATATTTTATGTGTTTTTTTTATTATATATATATATATACTTTTTAATATTGAAATTGGCATCCATTAAATTATTTAAAGGTTAAAGGTAAATTACTTCTGTCAATATTATTCAATTTATAATTATTTTTCATTGCAATTTTTTCTACATTGTAATATAATTAATAAAGTAATAATTAATCAACTGAGGTGATTATTAAAATCTGGTTGATTTGTTTGGTAGTCTTTTTTAGAAATATACGTTAATTTTTATGAATTCCTGACCATTTTGCAAATTGTATTATAAATTTAAAAAAATATATATGATCAATCCACACAGTAATTAATAAAAAGTTAAAATTCTATTGATTCATATATTTGTGTGCAATTAAGAAGCATCTATTCAAACTAATTGTTTATAAACAGTCACTATATGATTACAATGACGATATGGTATACATTTTTATTTCTAAAATAGATTCATTATGACTTGTAATATTTAATATAGGTCCAATACACATATTGGCTTTGTTGTTAAGTACATTAGCCAATAACTGATGATTAGAAACAAAACTCACATTTTTATCTAATGTTTTAATATTTATATTATTGGTTGGAATAATAAATAAAACAATTGTAATCAAGTAGTTAAATATTTTTAGCGTTGTCATCTCTATTCCCTATTACTTATGATAATACAGGGTCCGGCAGAAAGAACTCTTTGAGTTTGGTGATGGACAACTTTAGGTGTGAAGGGGGTACAGTAGTGGGGACCACGTCTTTATTTTTGTTGATATTTGCCGTTTTTAGGAAACAATATGGCGTTGTCAGAAATCAGAAGAGCATCGCACTTTTGTCATCGAAAAATGTATTATAATTGATGGGTCACCGACCACAACACAGGGCCATTCGCATATACTTTATCCTCGGGCGTCAAGATCCCGTTCCAAATACCAAATCATTTAAAAACTGGGTGTCTAGGGCAATAGGTTTAACGCATTAAAAAACAAACCTCCTGAACGACCTAGGACTGTCGCCGAGGCGTTCTGCAGGGAAAGACGCGGCTGCCTTGCGAATTTACGATCAGTGTTCGCATAATTTTTCATCGAGATCTGAAACCCTCCGAGCCTACTTTAAAGACAAGGTAACTTTGGCAGCTCTCAAGGAGGCAATATTCCAGGGAGTTGCTGTTATTCCACCAAAAACGTTGCTCAAAGTTAAGGACAACTGCCCAAAGCGCCTCTGAATCAATATATCACCAACAGAGACCACCAGCCGAGTGGTATTTTATTAAAAACCAAATAATTAAAAACAGCATTATGTATGTTTCTAATTAATATGTATATTTTTTGAGTATCAAATTTTTGGTTTAGTTTTCATTAGCGCCATAAATTAGTGTTTTTTGATATTCAATAAGGCGAATTTACGATTCATTTCACTATACATAATCGGGATCCGTTTTTGTGTTACTAAAAGACATGTTTTCCGAGATAATTACCATGGTCCTCCTTTTTTATTTATTTCACTTAACCCTCTGGTGGGCGCGCTTTTTTGGTTATCACAAGAAAACAATGAGATAATAGCACTCAGTGCTGCCACACGCCCACCGAAGGGTTAATGAGAGGACGTCCGCCACTGTCTCGCGAATATTGTTGTAATAAGTTGAACATTGAAATATATTATTATATTCATATTTGTATTATGTAATTTATATTAATGAATTAATATTCACTTTATTATTGCTACTCTTTGGCAATTGATATATTAATTAATATTAAAATTTACATTTTATGATTTAAAAGTCTGGGCGTAGTGGTTTATTGTTCCATGAAATTATTTATTTCTCTAAGACTAGAATGCACCTAACGGATAAAATGAAAGCTGTTTGTAACGGATAACCGATTCTTAAGACCGTTCATAACCATTGTGGTCAGTGGTGATCTTCGTAGTTTTGGCTTTTGTCAGTTCACAATTGACTAAAATCTAAATATTGTTTCTACGAGTTCAGTAATAAGTTTTGCGCGCGCCTTTATGTTTATAAGACTATAGTGTATATATTACGTTTTATGATCGTTGAAACTTGAATGTGACATTTGCATGGTGTATATTATTGACCGACAATGATCCCTTTTTAATTGTATCGTGAACATTATTTATTAATGTATTTTTATTTATTTAACTTATCGCTAACGCATATTTGTTGTGTTTAAGATTCGAAGGAAGACTTATTTACCGGTATGTTTATTACGTTACATTTACGACATGGCGTTATTATATTTTAATATTAGCAACTTGATGCATGAACTGATCCAATTACTCAATGATGCTAGTTAATTTTACAAATATATTTGTTACTACTTTTAAGTCTTTCGATCTACTTATATATTTAAAAACTATTATAATATAGTTCTGCATGGGTGAAAAATAAACAATTATGGATTTTTTACAAACTATGTTTTATTCAATTTATTAATTTCTATGTATTGTACCTATACAACCAATCAATATTATTATGATTTCATCTGTGCTATCTTTTATTTTGTTTACTCATATAGAAATTATGTAATTTAATTAACACTTTCGATATGTTAGTCTTCAGGTTACTTAGTTTTAATAATTAAGTTGTAAAACCTTTTTATACCAGTCATAATGTACTGTTACTAATTTAGATGCAGTGTTAATAAATACAATTGTTGAAATAAATTTACTACTACTATGCTATACTTATCTAGCAACTATACTGACTAGTACAGTAGTATAGTCACAATAGTGGAATGGTGAGTATGCCAAATGTCGTCATTAGTAAAATTTTAAAAATATAATTTATTAAAAGATATATTTGTGTAATGTAACCAAGGCACTGAGTACTCAGCTTAAATTTATAATTGATACATAAATCTATACTAGATATGATTGAGTAACTCGATTATGTATAATTTTGATTGTAGATATGGACACAAAATATTTTGGTTTTATAACTATATTGAAGAAAAATGGTTCAATTTCAAGCCGTTGCCCAATTATATCAAAAGAATTTAATATTGGGCGTAGTTCTAATAATGATATTAGAATATATTTGGACAGTGTATCAAATAATCATTGTTCAATATTATTTGTTGACAATAAGGTAAATATATATAACTATTATAATAGTTGTATAACAATAAAGACTACACTAAATGTGTTAAAGTTGTTGTTATATTTTCTTTATATTTAATGTAATGTTATTAATGACAAATTTGCATTCATACAATAATTACTAAGTATAAATTAATTAAATAAAAACTTTTTTAAATTTACTACATTTTAAAATGGACTAAAAAAAATAAATAATTTCTCCTAGCTCCTCAATTGATGCATAAATTGATGGTAGTTGGTTATACCTGTTCTATGAATAGTTCACATAGGGCACTAACAATTCTATTGCTCTGCAAATGATTTGAGCTGTTGTTGAATTTTGTCAACGACAGCTACTCTACACTCCTTACCATTATCTAATGCATGCACCCCACATTTTTGTTTTAAATCTTACCGAGTATTTTCATAACTACTATAAATTCATAACCACAAACTTTCAGGATAATCTGTATGGAGTTATAAATATGTACAGGACTAGGAGAAACTATTATATATTTTTTAGTCCGTTTTTAAAACGTGGTATCTGTTTCATATTGGGTTTTTTTAAAAATGTGCATATTTGAATTTTTTTTATTGCACAAATAGGCTATTTTTAATGCGTGCATATTTCTGTTATTTTTATAGTATGACTTCCAACCCTAAGTACCAATAGGTAGCTATTTGTCATTGGTAGCTTAACTGGATTAAGCTTAACTGCATTTGTTAACTCTTAAAATATGTCAACACTTGTTAAACTAATTTATGTTAATTCAATTTTTAAGGAGCATAATTAAAGGTTAATGTATGTGACAAAAATGGTTCTATAATAAATATTAATTGTCACTTGATATCAGTCAGTAGCTTCTTAACATTGATAATTCATTTATGTATATCTCTACTGTTTAGGCATATATACGAGATAGAAGTAAAGCAGGATCTACAAAAGTAAATGGTAAAAAAATTGGTCGAAATAATTTTCTTTTAAGAGAGTCTGATGAAATTGATATTTCTGATAGAAAATTAATATTTAATTATGCAAGGTAAGGTAACAAATTAAACATTTGTAGTTCTTAACAAATATTGTCTAATATCTGTATGTATTATTTGTAGTCTTTCATCTAAGACGTCATGGATCAGAACAGATTGTACTTCCTTAAGAACTCAGATCAGCAGTCCATTGGTAAATAAAGTATAAAAATTAAGATTCAAGTCTCCTGACTTATAAGTTTATATACAGGGTTGGGCGGAACCCACTGACAAGTTTTGTTATAAATAATGAAAAGTAAAACTTGGAGATAAGCAGTTTCTTTTATAAAAATTAGTAGGAAATTCTATGTTTTAAATTAAGTTTTGAAAATTATATCTGCAAGATGGCGGTTGTCAGCAGGAATACATTGCTATATGCGATCTCTGAAGTTTACAAATGATTTTCCATGCCAAAGTTTCCAAGTTTTACTGTTCATTATTTATAGCCCCTCAAAACTCGTCAGTCGGCTTCGCAACACCCTGCATATACTGAGTGATCAAATAAATGTAAGACACATTTTCTTAAAAAATAATTACAATTTTATAGTTTTTCTTTTTGAAAACATTACATGTGACAACAAGTCAGGGATTCAAAATCACAGTATTACAAATTAGTGTTGTCGATATGCTAAAACTCAACATTTGTTTGATAATTAATCTTGCATGAAAAACAAGCAATTTTATTAGATTGCCATGATAGAGTTTGTATTCACAATTTTTGTTTTTATTTATTTATAATAAATAAAAAGTGACAACAAATAATATTAAGGTAGTAGACAATACTGTTAATTTTTTTTCTACTACTCAGCTTAGATGAATCGATAAGTACCTACATTAAAATAGTTGTACTTCTATTAAGAGGACCCCTCACCTACCCTTTATTAAGGAGTTGTAGGTCATTTTTGCTTAATCTTAATAAAAACTAAAATTATAATGTATATTTGCTAGTATAGTAATAGAACACTAATAATAGTATAGTAATGAAACTAATATTTTATTTTTATTTCTAGTTAAAAACTGTGTTAATATTAAGTTTTACTCTTATAGGTTAATAGTAAAAAACAGCAAACACCTTCTAAAACTATTACACCGACGCCTTCAAAAAGAAGTGTGCATCCACCTAGAACTCCTATGTAAGTTTGTGTATAATGTATAATATAGTATAATAGATTATGTAGTATAGTATGTATAAAACTTATATAGTAATATGTATAAATGTGTTATTATTATGATATTATTGCAGTGTCGAAACAAATAATCATATATCTAATGAGTCTTTTGAAGAATTAAAAAAAAAACCTTGTGATGAAGTTCTATGTACGTATAATAATTTAATTGTAGTTTTATTTTTTTACTTTTTTTTTCCTAAGCAATGTTTGTTTTGATTGTTATAACAGAACAAAGTTTTAATATTTTTTTTCCAGCTAACAAAACAAAACCAGAGCTGATAAAATCGTTTTCTGTTACATCTGGTCAAAATATACCGGTAACATAATTTTTATTCAAAGTTAATTAACTAATAAAAATGTATTTTAAATAGTAGACTTGTTGTTTATATATATATATATATATATATATATATATATATATATATATATATATGTATATATTTTATTAGTAGAATGATATTGTTTGCATTCATATTTATACAGGGTATTTACTCAACTAACTACACCAATATATTGGTAGAATATGTGAAGTGTTCAATAAAGGTCCTCGTCCTGCATATAAATTGATATATCATAAAATATTAAAGAAAATATATTAGGTTCCATGTACAAATTAATTGTGTGTGTCTGTTAATCTGTGCAAAATATTATTTCTAAAATTTATCTCGCCACAGTTTAACAAGGCACTTGCAGCTCATTTTTGAACTTAAGATGTCACACTTTTTAAAAAGACGACACTTATAAAAAAAATAGTAAATAGGTGTTTATGGAAAAGCGTGTTGGTCATAGATAAAAGAGTTGATACCATTAAAAAGAAAAGAACTTAAACTAGGTTCTCTCGTCGGTCTTTTAGAAAACTTAAATTTTACTATAAATATAAGCACTTAAAGAATTAAAAAAATATAAAAGATCAATTATAAATTTTGATTGCTTAGTTATTATTTATTAATATATAACAAAGCCGACAAGAAAACCTAGATAAAGTTCTTATTATTTTAATAAACATAAAAAAAAAAAATGTTCTACAATTATTGTTTAGTCAATAATAGAGAATATGTTTAACTATGTTCGATGACATTTAAAAAAAAAATATTTTTCAAGAATGCTATAGTCGGGAAAATAAAAAAAGAAGTCCTAATTACTGAATTAATAATTACACATCACAGTTAGTTTAACCTTTAAATAAATATTTTACAAAAAATTGTCTATACCTAACTCCTTAATAAATGGGGTTTTGATCTCTTAATTGGGCATAGTCTTTGATTTTTGAAATAATAAATAACAGACGATGAGGCACATTTTTGCAGTATATCCTAATGATGTCCACCTAAATATTAGTAAAGTGCTTAAAAATGTATACCATGTATGAGAAATGTTATAAAAAAAATGTAATTATTTAGATAATTTGTTAATTACTTTCATATTTTTAGGTTTTAAACAACTCTAAGACACCTCGAAAATCATGGAAGACAAGCAATATGTCTTCAAGTTCTGCACGTATATTAGACATTCTGTCATCTGATAGAAAAAAAAGAGACGTTACTCCTGAAATGAATACAAGCTATCGCTTTTTAGATGAAGAAGTGGAATATGATTCACCGATACCGATATGTGATCAAGAAGATTTATTTGAAGAGAGTGTGAACACCAACGTGACTGGAGTTGATTCTAGTAAAATGTCTGAACAAATATTAAATAATGATAATGATGTTGACGGCAACAATGTTAATTGGCAACCTAGCAGCAGTATTGCCGTCGATTCAAATTTAAATTTGAATTTACCAGAATCAACACCTAGCATTTCTAGGAGAGAAACATATTCTATTGAAGATGCACCAAAAGTAATTGAACAAAATAGTACTCCTGCACCAAGGCGATCCATATTAAAGTGTTCAAAAACGGCCAAAACATGTCGTTCTAGGTCAAATAATCGAATGGTGCAGTTTGCTCGCTTACCCAAAACTGACAGCAAAATTAAAAGTACAAAATTTTATTCTGGTAACTCCTTCACTGTTATTGATGACAAATCTGCTGATAATGACCATTCTCAAGTCAACCAAAAAGACAAAAGCTTTAATATTGAAGATACTGAGACTGATGATTTAGATGGTGTACGGCCGTTAGATACCAGTGTGTCATCTTTAATGAGTTCACCAATTCTAGATCAGGTGACTTTAAACAAATCATCTTCTAAAAGAGGATCTAGAGGTAATAAAGTAATGAGTCTAATAAGTTCATTTGAGAAACGTACTTATGGAAGTCCTATACAAAATTTAAAAGCATCAGACCTACTAAATATGAATGTATCAAGAAACGAAGAAGCTTCTTCAAATAAATCCCCCGAAGATACTACTACAAGTATATTGCAGAAGTCGTCTACTTCATTAAGAAGAATTAACTTGGAAGATATGTTTGTTGCAGAAGATTCTATGAAAAATTCTTTACAAGATTCTGAAGATAAATCAATGATTGAAGGTATAAACTTAAATTCTACACAAAACACTGAAACATTGGATAATACAATTTCTAAAGAATCGTCTGTGGGTAAACTAGATTCTAGTAAGATTTTAGAAAATACGTTTGAAACTGAGACAATATTGGATGATGTTAAGATTTCGGATTATAATCAAAGCTCTGTTAAAGTAATTGTTGACAGTCCTGAAGAAGAATTTGCATTTGCTTCTCCTCTAAATATGAATCCTGGAAATTATTTGTGTGATACAGATGCTGCTGTCAATTGGGTAAATCAAAATTCTTTCAGTGAAAAAGAAAATAGTATTTGTGAAATGATCAATACAACAGAAAATAATGCATCACAAGTGAATGAAATTATTGAGAAAACACCTGTGTTCAAAAGCCAACAACTGAACCATAATAATTCTAAAATAATTGAAACTTCATCAGATGAAAATACAAACAAGAGTGCTCGAGATAAAACCATTGAAAATGCAGACTTATCAAATATCATAGAAAATAGTATTGCTGAAAATGATAAATGTAAAGATTCTTCCAAGCTTTCCCAAAAAAATGATGATACTAATAAAACAAATAATGGCGTACAAGAAGATTTTACTGAAAGCATTGAGCATTTGGATAATTTAGAAATAGTCCAAAATGATCATAACGCTTTCCATTCTAAAACACACATTAGTGATAAAGCGGTTATGTCAGAAATGGGTAATGTCACTTTTGATAAACTCGAGGACACAAATTCTAATGAAGATTGTTCTGCGCTAATTGAAGAAAATGCTGCGAATAAGTCAGTTGAAAAAAATTGTGAAGAACTTGACCTTAATAAAAGTGATGACATTTCAAAAAAAACCACAAGTGAATCATCATCAAACAACTATGTTCTTTCACCCATGGAAAATTTAAATGAAAAACTTATTGATTCTATTGAAAGCCAACTTAATATTATACACAATGGCATTGACACATCAAATTCTGATAAAGAAAACTCTCTTGGTAATATTTCTAACAAAGTTACACTTAATATTAATGAACAGCCAACTACTAGAGAGGATATTGATCACAATAAGACACAAAATGCTTCTGAAGTTGTAATAATAGATGTTAACACTGTTGATAAAAGCGTTAAAAATGATGATTCTAAAGTCTATCTAATATGTAATGAAGCCAGTACTGTTACTACAGTAGACAATGATGTATATCACACTGAAAATGTTCAAGATATAAGTGAAAAAACTTCTAACATCTGTATAAAAGCAGCATCTCCAATTAATCTTACAGATACAGTTGGTAATGTAGAACCTTCAATTCATTTTGTGGAGTCAGTTAGTAACATAGAACCTAATATAAAACAGACTCTCCAGGCACAAATGTCTACATCTAAAAAAAGCACAAAACATATTTTGGAAAATGATATAGGAAATTGTAATCTAAATAATCTTGTAGAACTAACAAAAACATTTAACGAGAGTGATGAAGAATTGGAAGAAGATATTGAAAATTTGAATACTACAGACAAACATTTTGAACAAACTTTAAATACTTCTATTGGTAAACCTCAGTATGAATCTACTCCTTGGAACTGGTCTAAAAATTCAAAACTTCCATTTAATTCAACTACAGACATAGAAGAGTCTAAAAATACTATTCAAGATGATGTTTCTGAAGATAATAGTAAACAAAAGAAAAAGGGTATTTCCATGCCACTCTTTGATCCTGATTTATGGTCACAAAGAATGAAGGATTTCAATGAATCTGTTAAAAAAGCTTCAGTTTCAGAAACGAGTAATATTAATGCTAAACCCAGTAGTAAAGTATTGTTTAGTGAAAGCAATCAAAACATCTCAAAAGAACTACCTGAACATGAATCTTCTGTGCCAAAAAGTGTAAAGGGAAGACTTTCAAAAACAAATAGTGTTATACAATGTCCAACTATCACAACTTGTTCCCCTAACAGTACAACAATAGCCTTTGATCAGGTCTTGATAGGAAATAAACGCACAACTAGATCTCACAATAAATCACCTGAAAAAACATCAACTGAATTAGAAAATAAGGTTATACAGTCAATGTCGACAAAAAATAAATCTGTTAAAGCTAAAAGTCCCCAAATTAATACTAAGAGCGAGGATGAATCAGTAGACAACAATACCTTAAGTTTAAGAAGTTCTCGTAAGTCTAAATCCATAGTTAATGAAACTTCTTCTGATACGCATATCAATGAAAAAAAGCTGACAGTGTCTATGAATGCTACACATTTAGCTGAACAACATAGCAGTGAAGTAGATAATGAAAGCTCAATAATGAATAAAGAACAAAATTCGTTCAAAAACATCTGTGAATCAAAATCTCCATCTAAAGTTATGAATCGACCAATGAAAAACAAAATAATTATTTTAGAAAGTACAACTGATACAGACTCTGAGACCACTAAATCAGATTCTGAAATGGATTTAACTGATTCAAAAATTGATTCTAGCTCATCTCAAGTATCGAATAGGAATAAAAGTAATAATAGTATATTTCAAACTTTTAGTCCAGTAGTAACTAAAACAAGAAGAAATTTGCGCACAAGAGCAAATAGAAATGAGACTAGAATGTCTGTTCAAAAGCAAAAAGTAAATAAGATAGATTCTGGAGGAACATCTGTTGGAACTTCAGCAGACAGTGACTCTGATCAAAACCACTCAAGAAATGCACAAAAGATCTCTGGACAAAAATTACAGGAGAAAAAACCACAATCATTAAAAACTATGGAGAAAATAACTGTAGAAAATGAAATTATTATTGACTTGACTAATGATGATGTTGGCAAAGAAATACCATTCAACAATGACATTCATACTTCTAATAAAGATATAAAAAATAACTCTAAAGCTGGTAAAGACAAATCTCAAAAACATGAAAAAACCAAAACAACACAAAATGTTAAAACTAGTGCTGTCCAACCTAGAGCCCGCATTACACGCAGTAATACTACATTAACTGAAACTAATTTGCCAATAATAAATAAAAATAAAACTCCTAGTCCAATTAAATATAAAAATACCAAAGGTGTGAAAAAAATTCAAATTAAGAAATCTTCTGTAGTAAAGGCCAATAAAAAGCAGCAGCTAGCTAAACGTATTCAACCCCCAAAGCAAATTAGTAATAATAAATTAAGTGAAACTTCAGAGTATGAGACAACGAGTGAAATTGACGAAAGCATCCAAAAACTTTCACCATCTCCAACAGTGACCAAAATACAAAAAAAAACTACTCTTGTTATAGCACCATCCAAAAAGTTAAAGGAAAAAATTACTGAAACTTCTGCTACAGTGACTCAATCGGGTAAAGGAAGTCGAAAACGTGCTGCGGACACATCTGCAATTTCACAGCCTAAAGCTAAAGGTCGCAAACGGGATCATACGTCCAAAGTAGCTAACACTACAATGAATTGTGAATTGATATCTACAAAAGAAAAATCCTCACCTACCACTATTAAGAGAACACGTAACACATCCAAAACAAAAATTATTCCAGGTTCTGACATTTCTTTGCAAATAACAAATGAAGTTAAGAAAGAAAAGACGAAGTCTGCAGTTACTCGTAAATCAATTTCCCCAAAAGAACTTACTACCAAGAGAACACGTAACACATCTAAAACAAAAGTTCTGGCTTCCAACATTTCTTTGCCAACAACAAATGAAATTAAGAAAGATAAATTGAAATCTGCAGTTACCTTCGAGTCAACGTCTTTAAAAGAAAATACCTCACCTACAACTAGCAAGAGAACACGTAATACATCTAAAACAAAAGTTCTGGCATCCGACATTTCTTTGTTAACAACAAATGAAATAAAAAAAGATAAGCCAAAATCTGCAGTAACTCTTGAATCAACACCTCCAAAAGAAAATACCTCACCTACAACTAGCAAGAGAACACGTAATACATCTAAAACAAAAGTTCTGGCATCCGACATTTCTTTGTTAACAACAAATGAAATAAAAAAAGATAAGCCAAAATCTGCAGTTACTCTTGAATCAACACCTCCAAAAGAAAATACCTCACCTACAACTAGCAAGAGAACACGTAACACATCCAAAACTACTGTTGTTTTAGTATCTGATACTTCTTTGCCAATAACAAATGAAGTTAAGAAAGATAAACCAAAGTCTACTGAAAGAGCCAGAGCTAAAAAGCGAGAATTAAATCCACATGATTCTTCTGTTGACTCAGCTCCTATTGCCAAAAAAATAACTAGAAAAGCATTAGCAGATAACAAGGAACTGGAAGTTAAAAAAAATAATGCATCTTTAAGCTCAACTAAATCAACCAAAGCTCAAAGTACTGATACTGACGATACTGAACCTAATATAAGTACTAGAGTGAGATTTAACAAGTAGGCATTTTTTTTACATTTTATATACTTAAAATATCATAGTTATAAAAATGTAAAAGTATTGATTAAATTTTACTTTTTTTTCTCTAGGAATGTAGATACAAAGTCAATATCACCCAGACCAAAGAAAACAACTCGGTAATATATATATTTTTTAAATTTAATTATATTACATTTTCTATTTATATTCAGCTGTACATTATATAAAATTGATTTATAGAGTAGCCCAAAACACGTAAATGATATGTAAATTATCATAATTTTTATTTTCCAGAAACACTAAATTAATAGAAACAGATTCAGAAACTATACCCAGTCGAGTGCTTAGAGTTAGAGAAAAACGAAAATAATTCTAGAAATGATGCCTTTTTTTATTGAATTTTTTTAAATCAGATTTTTTATAGTTTTATTGTTTAAGAAAATTAAATTTGTTTTTTTTCTCTAATTATTTAATATTTATAATTGCTACATATATTGAAAATGATGTTTTGTTACATTTTTGTTTTTTGTTTTAAATATTGAATATATACACATTAATATATGTACGAATAAATGTTATCTACTATTTCTTTAAGAAATCTATGCGTAGATGTATAATTCTTTATGTATAGTACATAATTACAATATTCATTATTTATTGATCAGACTCAATGAGAAAAAAAAAGTAGCTATTAAATTGTATGTTATCCATCTAGTTAAAGATTTTTTTTTGATAAATGTTTAGAACAAGGACTGCAGTTTTGACAACAGTTACATTTTTAATTAATTTCAATAATATAATACATGGAAAAACTGATTTTTTTTTCATAGTTTAGTAAAACTTTTAAGAATGTGATTATTTGTATAACACATAATTTTTATTTTAATATAGTCTTAGTGTTTTGTCAATATTTGTTTTTATTTTTCTCCGTTTACAATTTTAGTTTTATGTACACAGTCAGTCTTGGGAAGATGACAGGCAAGTGGAACAGGGCTGTTTACACTATTAGGTTACTACCCTTATTTATTCGGGTTAATAAACGTCTTATAAGAGAAATAGGTTCCAAACGTGATTGGCATTATGTTGTGGTCAACTTATGTTCAGCTAGCCTATTAGACCCTTCCTATTTGTCTGAGTAACAAAGACAATGAACATGAAAATAAGTGTTCACTACATATCTATTCAGTTATTAAGACTATTAGTGAATTCATGTTTTTCCTCAATGCCGATATTACACTAAATAACTAAAAAATTACGTTTCCATCATTAATTAATTTACCTCGGCACTATACCAAATCGATACATAATATTATAGTATATGTTACGACGTTGAATGTTCCAATTTATCAAAATTGAATTATATTTTATAACGCATCTGAATATAAACTATTAAGGTATATAAATAAAATACATATGTAAAATTTGGGGATAGAACTTAGGTTTATTGGTTTCATCTAAAAAAAGAATAATTTTTTGTGACAATAAATCAATGAATACAATGAAAAAAAAAATTGTATGAAATTAACTTACAGAACAAAAATATTAAACATATATATTTGGCCAATAATAGGAAAAAGGTTTCAAATAATATGTATACAAAAAAAAAAATGTTATATATAACTATGTGTTTGTACGAGTTATACCAATTACACTATTGTAAAAATAAATGATAGCTTATCAAAATGAAATGATAATATGTATAAAAAAAAAGAAAATACATATAGTAAATGTCACTTTAGCTTTAAAGAGAAAAACTATTTAAACAAAAAATTATTATGAGGGAGGATGAAATTTGAGTTGTTAAAATAAAAATGTTGTTAAAAAAAAAACTGTAAACGACAATAATTTATGTGTAATTTATGAGGATGAAGGAGGGGAAGATAAAGTCAAGTATTTAAAAATATTTCATAATTTCAGCTTTATTAAATTTGAACTCTGGCCAAGGGTTGGTCTTCTTAACACAATTTCGATTGCCTTTGAAATTATCAGTCACCTTAGTAGTAACGACAGTGTCGGTTTGCATATTATGTGATTTAGAAACATCCAAACATTGCGGAAACATGGCAAAGAATTCCTTAAGCTTAGTTTCCTAAAATTAAATTTGATATGCTCTCAGTTACATAACAAAGTAATAGTAATGCCATACTAAAAGGAAGGCATACTTACCGATATGGCATTAGTTTCAGTAACGTTTGTAGGTAGAGGCTGTTGTGTAGGGCTACTTCGACTAGATGTCACAATAGACGTTTTTGGAGAACTGTATCTTTCAGGAAACATGGCAAAGAATTCTTGTGTTTGAGAAGTCTGCAATTTATAAACATGAAATATTCAGTTGGAAAATATGTAATTAATTAATTTAATTTACTAATAATACTTACAAGTTCATTTGAGTTGTCTTTTTTTCGATCAGGTATAGATACGATAGGAGTAGTGTTTTTAATATCTAATGATATAGATTTTTGTTTCTTGTTCAATTTAACATTTGATTTTCCTTTAACCTTATTTTTAGTTACCCAATTCTTCAATTGTCTATTAAAAACAGACAAGTATGATTAAAGCTATCAGGCATTTATTATGTTTAGTTCATATATACAGATAAACAGTCTAAAAATGAAAGTGATTTAATTATGTATGGTTTAATCAACTAAAATTGACTTAAATAAAATAAACTATTCATAACACCTCTCTAACATACATATTAATAAAATAAAATTTACCTAATTATAAAAAGTTTAAATTGAGTTTCTTTTATATATATATATATATATATATATATATATATATATATATTAGTGTCATATCTTATTAAGGGATATAAATATCTGATGTGTTAACCAATTGGAGCTATAAGTTACATTCTCCTAAATATGAGCGAGTGGCACCTGGTTTTAAGTTTTAACTATTATTAAAAGTGATCATTGCATATGAATCAATATTCTAAAAACTAAACATACTATTGCAGCTAAACCTAAGTAACAGGGTAATTATTTACCCAAGTCTATTTTTATTCTGCTCTAAATTATTTTGTTGGTTACTAACGCTCATGTGGGAAATTGTTTATGAATGTGGTTCTGTTTGTTAGCAAAAATTTACCTTGCATACTTACAACATTTTTTTGCTTTTATACAATAACAATTTATACAATTACAAATACAATAATAATATTTGTATTATAGTGGTATAATAATAATTATTTATGTTATAATCTCAATAATTTTTAAAAATAAAAAATATACTTTATAATATAATAGTGAATAATTTTCAATTTGTTGAATTATGAAAAAAAAAAGTTTTTATTTGAATAGAAAATAATTATGCAGCGCACACGACTATGTGGTATGGTACTGTACATGTCATTTAAGATAAATAAGTCTTTCATTTAAGATGTAGACGCTATTTTCTTAACAAGATTAAAAAAATTGTTTAATAATAAAACATTTCATAGAATTATGTTACCTGATGAATGGCAGTATCATATAAAAAGAATAGGAATGTTTCTTATTTTGATTCCTAGCAGCTAAATGATCTTTTCTGTTTGACGGCAGTTTGTCTAATGGGAACCATGAAATCGACCCAATCTCATTGCGAGTCTGGGGAGTAAATTTTGTTTGCATACTAACTCCAGGAACGATATATAGTCTATTTATTTGATCATTTAACACTATCTGAATATAATCATCCTTTTTAATCATATTTCCAATATCAAATCCAATTTCTTCATAAACCTATAGATTATAAAAAAAAAAAAAATTGAATTTGTTTACTTCTAAGTGACTTATTAATATTTTTTTACTTCTCTAACGGCACAGTTTAAAGGATCCTCATCTTGATTAATTTTTCCTTTTGGAAATCCCCAAGACGTTTTGGTCCAAAAACTCTGGACCAATAATACTTGTGTCATATCCTCATTTAACAGAATAGCACCATACGTGGGTACCGATCTTTTGTATTCACGCCATTTTTTAAGGACATCCAAAACTTGTGATTCGCGACTCCTTAAAAATGGTATATGCTAATAACAAAAAATAAAAATCATTCGTCAAAATAGCATTAAACTAAAAAGTTAGTTATACATTTCATTGCAAACAAGTTCAAATAAATACTTAATCTAAATAATTGTTATGATCATAGGCACCAAATACATAACTTAACAGGCAACTTTCCGAGTTATTCCATTTTATTATATAGTGTACCAATTTTCATAAAAAACCAAGTCTACACTGTCATGGAAAATATTTATGAACATTTTTGCAGGAGTGCTTCTAAATAAATATGTACCTCAAAGAAATATTCATGGGAATGCACACAAAAAGCCATATAGTTGACAAACGTTATGCACAGCAGTGAGGACCAGCTTAAGATATAATAGGGTGAGATGGGGTTAATAAGACTTTTAATATAAAATATTTAATTAAGATTAAGTAACAGTGCAGGTGCATGGCTAATAAATGAGATAAGATTGCAGTGTATCAACACAGGGTCGCTGGTTCGAATCTTGGCCACTGGCGGTTTGTTCCTCTGGGCGGGCAACTGTCTGATTTATTTAGGTGAGGCCAATTATAGTGTGACTAACAGACGGTTAACATCGGAATTGATTATTATTAGTTATCAGTCTATTAATAAATCAATACATATATCAAATAAGCACTAATTAATAATGGGTAAATTTAGTTTGCCAATATAAATAATGACATTTTACAATAGTGACCATAAGGAAATCAAAGGAAAAGAACTAGATAATCATTTTAAGAATAATATAATTAAAGACAAATTTACCTATTTAAATTTCTAACTTTATCAAACTGCAAGGTTGCTTAAAAATTGTATTAATAAAATAATTTCCATAATATTTACCCGGAACATATGTATTGCAAATTGGTTGATACCGTATGGTTTTAAGTTTTGTTCACTACAATAGAAATCTAAGTAAAACCAATGGGCCAATTCAATTTGAAAACATATTCTTATTAAATTTTGTCGCTCTTCTTCAGGAACATTTATAATGAAGCGACTGAAAAATATAAAAGAGCCAATTACATTTCAGCTTACTTCAAATCAATTATAACTGTTATACAAACCAACTAAGGTCATCCAGAATTTCCTTAGTCAGTTTCATTTGTTTTTGCTGCTGCTGTTGGTCATCTTTCTTTAAAGTAACTGGCTTCATTTCGATGATCATACTTTGAGCCGATACAGGTACGTTACATATAATATGTGCGCACTCAATAAAGATGAACACGTCAATTTTTTTATTTAATTAGTCCAGCACAATACAATGTGGTCTTAAAACTTTAAAAAAATAACGTGTATTTCTAATTGTTTTTTAAATTATTAACAAAATTACGTCGTAACATTAATATCACACTTGTAGGTATATTTTATAATTTAAAAATTATAAGTAATTACATGACTAAATGTCTTAGCTAATACTGTCTGTCGAATCACTAAGTCCCGGCATGTATCTGGTCATTAGTATCGTCACATTTCAAACACAGATCAATTGACACGGCCATTTAAGATAGGAAATGAAGAAATTTTTTTAGTAGGAAGCAAAGTAACTACCTTTTTGATGAGATGAGACTTGTTATTGTTATAATGTTATACCTTTAGTGTAGCTTACGACGCAGTTCGTGACGTCAAACGTTATCATACGACAAAAAAAAAGAAAATATCAGCTGACTTAATGTTTTTCTTCCATTTCAATCCACGGATCAATAAATATTTTTTTTATCAATGGTATAACCCCACAGATTTATTATTTATATAATAAATTAATAAACAACGGCCTATAGCAATACCGTTGTGTAACCGTTTATGAGCTGCGCGTCGTCTGCCGAGTGTCGTGTCGGCAATCGGTCATAGGTCCCATGCAATATATCTGCGTTTCCTTGTTAATTTTTATCAGTGTCCTCCCTTTGGTTATCATGTAACTTATAGTTTTTATTCCATGACATTTGTTTTTGTTTTCAATAAGGTAAAATAGGTGTATAAAAAAAAAAAAGTATTAATTCACGTCGGCATTCAGCAGCTATCCATGTGCTTTTTAATAATAATTGATAATTTAACAAAATAGTATAAGAATACAACCGTAGGCCATTGACAAGGAGGTAGTTCATGTTCCTTTTATTTTTAGAAGGAAGGAGAGAAGGATCGTTTAAATAACTATTCATAGTTAATGTATTTAAAGTTTTGTCTAGTTTTTAAAAAAATAATTTAGTTATAAAATGCGTATCGATACTTGTTATTTTTGTTCGTCTAAAATGTATCCTGGGCATGGCATGCATTTTGTGAGAAATGATTGTAAAGTATGATAAATATTTTATTGTAATAATCTTACAAATTATTATTATATTTCAATTAAAATGCTTAATTCTAGGTTTTTAAATTTTGCCGCTCAAAATGTCACAGAGCATTCCAAAAGAAGAAGAATCCAAGACGTGTGAGATGGACCAAGGCCTACCGTAAAACTGTTGGAAAAGAATTGGCTGTCGATCCATCATTTGAAATTGAGAAACGTCGTAACATACCTATGAAATATGATCGCGAATTTTGGCAAATGTCGAGTATGTTTTTTTTATTAAATAACGCTATCATTATCACAAAGATAGTACATTTATTTTATTATTTTTTATTATTAGTGGAAGCTATTAAAAAAGTGACAGAGATTCAACAAAAACGGCAATCCACTTATGTTATGCAACGGTTACGTAAAGGACGTGAAGTCGAGCAACATAGAGATATTAGAGAAGTACAGAGAGATATGTCATTAATTCGATCACCTGCAGCAGGTATGTTTTTATTAAGATTGTTAAAATCCAGAATTTTAACTAGTTATTAAGGATTATAACTAGATAATTTTATAAATTTTATTTTATGAAACGTGATATTATAAGTGTAGTTGTTCAATTGCCTAAATTTAATATATTTTATTTCTTAGTTATAATTCAAATAATTTTTAATTAAAGATTAAAACTTTTAAGCAATAACTTAGCGTGACTAAACATTTTCCAAATAAATTTTAAAAAGTTAAGTGTAATGTTTAATGGCATTTTTTATTTTGTAATTTTATTGTTGAATAAATATTATAATAATAATTTAAAGTTCTGCCTATTTCCATCACATTTATTAATTAGTATGTGACAAATTTATAAAATAACTACCTTGTAAAAATAAATGACTACTCTGTTCAGTTTAAGTTTGTTCACTAAATTGGTCGCGTGCACGCATAAATGCTGCCGACAGTGGGTACGGGTGTGGATCATTGCGGCCCATAAAGTGTATACTCAGTGAGCTGTACTATCATACCAGTTGGATCGAGCGCACTGCGATTCCTCTCAAACGAAAACTAAAATCCCCTGACAATATCAATCCGTACCCTCAATTTAGGTAATAATATATAGAGTTGTCAATAGAAAGTGAATTACAAAGTAAACGGTCCGTCAATATGTTATCTTTTTATAATGTTTTTATTACCATCTGTATACACACGATGGCAGCCGGTGATCGCGAAGAGTGACAGCAGTGTTCAACCACTGCTGGCCAATCAAAGAGCAGCCTGACTTCGGTTGAGAGGTCCGAACGTACTGAGGGATCAGTATGCATGCGTGGGCAAACTTAAACTGAATAGAATATAGTAACCAATCTTTACTTACTTTTTAAAATTGTATTATTATCTAGTTATTATAAAACCATTAGTAATTGAATTTAGATGTTAACCAAATTTCTTAAAAAATTTTAAACAGTTACCAGTTGAAGTTCGTTTGAATCCATATTATTAAATAGTATTATTGTACATTTATTTTTTAGGACTTAAACAACGTTTAGCTACTGAAGAAAAACTACTAGAAGAACAGCAAGAAAATGATGTAGAGATGGTTGCTGAAGAAAATATTGATCATAGCAAATTGACATACATAAAAATATAAAAATTAATTAATTTGTATTTATATTATTAATGTATTAATAAATATGTGTCATAAAAACTTTGTATGTATGATTAACTATTTACATAAGATATCGTTACCTAGCCCTAAAAATGACTAATGAAATTCCAAAGGAGATAAGATACTATACAAATATGTTCCCGCCCAATAGACAAATACATATTTTCCTTCTTACACGTATAGCAAAATCAAGTTTGAACAATTTAAACAGAAATATTTTATCAAAACCAAAAGTTGCACTAAGCAAAATGCGTTTTTCTACTTTGTTTTTGTTTGTGGTCATTGGTAAGTAAATTGCTATTTGTTTTTAGTTTTTTTTTTTTAACATATTTGAAAATTTTTTTATTCTAAGTAATTGTCTCATTTTTAAATGAGACTGAAGGAAGAAGAAAAATCCTGAGAGGTCGTAAGACCATCACCAGAACATACTATAGTAAGTTTTATTTTATTAATTAAAATTAATTATATAAGTATGTAACAATTTAAGGTAATAATTATTCCATGGAAATAAGGCAATACAAGACTAAACATTTAGTTGTTTATATTTTATACCAATAATACAAATATTTTTAACTAAGAACCTGGCTGACATAATTAAATTATACTTATTTTTAACAACACCTATTAATATTTGTATAATCATCAATCAATCAGTTAAATATAGTTTAGACTTGGCCCATCTTTGCTTAGAGCTATATATTTTGATAAGGACACAACTAACATAACTAATTACGATATGTATACATTTTGCTTTAATGAGAATAGTTCTCCTCAAAAAGCCTATTCGTTGAAAGTCTTTTCATTAAATTATTGTCTACAAAACCAAATGTTAACTTATTGACTTTTATAGTAGTAATTGTACCTAAAATTCATTTTTTTTTTTGACGGAACTAATGTTTTTAAGGAATTGTTAAGATAAATATTTCTTTGCAATAAATCTTAAAATAAAAAATGTTTTTAAGGAAATAAATATTAAATAAAACATTACTACTTTTTTATGTAAAGTTATAGATGTAAACTACTTGAACAATGATCACTACTAACATAACCCATCAAAATAATAATACTTAAGGATATTGAAAGCAGACGGTTTTTAAAACATTTCGACCGTGGCAATTTATTAACAGATTAATTTTTATAAGTTTTAAATTATTATTTTAAAGTTGTACTATTTTTTCAATGAGTAATCTCCATTTTGGTAGTATTTTAGACCTAAAAGCCCGACAAAATTACGCCTTCTATAAATAATCAGATTTAAATTTTGTAGAGATTAGAGTTTTCTGATTATTTTATTTATTAGGTTATGTAGAAAACCAATTTTTATTAAACAAATTTAGTTTCTTCTAATTAATTAAATAAATTACATTTTTACATAAATTAATATTAAGGAACAATTTTTTTACATAAAAAAAAAAAAAATCTGCTTCCTACATAATCTTGTAAAGTAGCCAAAGAACTTGTGTATCTTTACAGAATTTAAATCAGATCATCCTAAGTAGTCAAAAAGTTTTCAGGCTTTTTGGTATAAAATGTCATAAATTGGACTAACTTTAAATCCCCTTATAACTGTAGTCACTTAAGGTTTAACCTTAGTTAACTAGAAATTAAAACCCTTAATTTTATCTTGAAGACAAGACTTGTTTCTGTTTAAATTGCATAGGCAGATAGGCCCAACGAGATACCGGGAAAATCTTGTTAGGCTCTTTTCTAAGTATTTTCTACATTTATATACTATAAAGTATCCGCTACTCACAAGAAAATATACCCAAGGACCTAACCAATTGTTAAATAATCTCTAATTCAAAAGAAATGTATTAAATGTGTATGATAAAAATAATGAAAATGAATACATTTAGTGTAAGGTATAAAAAGAAAGGGTGTGCAGAGCGAAGCGTTCCACGAGTCAGTCTCGTGTACTAAAATTTAGTAGCTTTGGATTAAAAAAAAAAATATATATTTGGTAACAAAAGTTTAACTTATCAGCTTATCAAATACTTTGCAAAAAAAAAAAAAATTAAAGAACATTCATTTTGTTGATTTTTTTAAATCAATTTCTAATGCATTTTATATTTAAAATGTTAAGTGGATAACTTAGAATTTTAATCAAATAAATAACATATTAAGTATTAACTATATACTATAAGTATTTATGCATATACACTATACATTTTATTTTAATCATTACTATTTTTTTTTGTAAATTTTAATTACATCAAAATGTGGAGTATAATCCAAATACATAAAAAATCAAAATAAAATATTATGTTGTTACCAACATGATAGAAGAATAAAAAATAATTATAATAAATATTTTGTTCACAGAATCATTGGGAATACCAGCTTGGTTTTCAGTCACACTTATTGCATTTGGAATTTTAGGAGTCACAGGAATAATATTTGCTGCCTTGCAGAAAATTATTATAACCAATAATCAACCTCCACAATCATCACCCGCAACAGTACCTCTTACTTCATAATTATTATTCAATACTATAATATGTATTCATTATTATGAACAGCACTATTTTAAAAAAATTTTTTTAAAGTTTTAGTATACATTATTTAAGTTTAAACAGAGTTTCTATTAAAAACCAGCAACTAATGTAACATTATTTTTTTTATAAAAAAAAACAATTAATTTTGGGAAAATGTTTTTATTAACAATAAGGACAATTGAATTACACAAAACTGTAGTTTAGTTGCTATATTTATACTCTATACATAAGAACTAGATTTATTGAAAGTACGAGTATATTTCTGTATTCTATTCATGGTTTTTTGACTTCTTCATACAAGAAATTAAAAGAGTTAACTGTTCCAATAACTGTTCCAATGCAAATAAGACCAAACAAAATACGATCACTGGTTCCTCTTTTTAGGTATACAGGTACACCATCGGGTTGTTGAAAATGTTTTTGCCATTTCTTAATATTTGCCAAGCGGGCGTCTTCTTGAAGAGGGTGGCTTTTGTGGATACTTCTAATTACCATTTTTGTTACGCTCGAGATATTGCGGGATGCCATTTTCTTGATCTAAAAGCCAAATACTGTTAAATAACATAATTATTACAAAAATAAGTCTAATAGGTAGTAACACTTATCCTCTACTATACTCGATCGGCAAGGCAATCAAAAGGTTTTTAGAATATTTCTTAACATTTTCATGATTACCAACTCAGCGACGAAGTGTCATAGGAGAAAAAGAGACAATATCTACCCACTTAAAATACGTACAAATGATATGGTTGTGTTATAGGTAAATACAATTTTTTTTACTAATTTTAATGTAAAAATAATATTTTTGTAATAGTATTCTTAGAATAGTGTAGTTGTGGACGCAGATAGGCGGGCGCTCACGCTGCCGGGTCTATCCTAATGTAGTATAAAAATAAATGAGACAATTTCAAACTTGTCTCTTCTGCTGGGCACGACATGCAGGGGGAATTGGAAAACGACGGAGGGGGGGCTATCGTTGCTCTATGAGACATGTCTCGGTGTTCATATTATTGTTTTGGTATCACCTATCACCGTGCATCGCTGGTCTTGTTATCGCTCGCCACAGTTTTCGACGATCATTGTGTTGTTAATTGACATTTATGCCATTTAGTTAATCATTTTTGAACATTTTTTACAGTATACATAAAATATAATACAGGGAGTCCGAGGGGCACAGTCCCCCTGTTAAGTCACGTAACACCATTTTTTTTTTAATGTCCAACTACTAGTATATATAGCAAATATTCAATTTATAATTATTATTTTATTATGAAGCAAAAATATACCTAAAATTAAAACCTTTTCAGCTAAAATATATGCCTGAGCCTATTAAAAGTAAATCATTTTCCACTTATATTTATTAAAACAAAAAAGTCAACTTGATAATTATTTATTTTATGTGACTACACAGACAAATATACATTATACACACTTGCTATGAGTGTAAAAATATACTGTTGTATATCTGTCATATCTTTATAAAAATCACCTGAAAAATGAATAACATGGGCAGAATATTAAGGGTTACACTAAGAACCTAAATAAGCAACCCATATATTTCCCATTTATCTAAATGTTACTTGGTATTCAAGTATGCTTAGATATAACACGACCCTGCTATTTACTTTCGGAATAAGCTTCTAACCCTACCAGTGTTCTAGAAATATTATAAAGAAGATGGCTCTAAAAATTGAAAATTATTTAATAGCTACATTACTTATACCATATATTATAATAATAGTTTTCGCATAGTGCCTTTTATTAAAAAAACTAGGATGGATTGACAGTCTCTGACTACACTGTTGCCGATGCGATGCAAGGGTTAAGGTGTACAACTAGCACAGTAAAAACATCAAATTACAAATTTTAAATTAAAGACAACTTTCAACAAAAAGTAATCGGATTTGGACAATAATTAATTAATGTTAGTTTCAGCATTAGTCATGATTTACCTTATTTTTTCTGTTGATTTGACAAAAAAACTATTACATACTTAAATATTAAATTAAATAATTGGGTACTAATATAAATAGTTTAAAATGTTCAATGGTTTTTGGTAATTACCTTTAATTAGGAATCCAAATCAAATGCAAATATTTAACTTCGTTTGTACTCCTTTCTTGAAGACAATTAGTACATTGTGCGAAATACGAATTATATATTATGATAGACAGTAACTTCGATTTCTGAAAATGTATAACCTTGATAAAACTGAAAAGAAAAAATGTAAGAAACATGTGATTCATGGAAAAGTAATTCAAATTTACAGTGTATACCCCTTAAGCATAAATAAAAAAAGGGATTTTGCTTACATTTGTAATTTGGAGGTTAGAAATTGCAGTTCTATAATGTATAAAACGCGAAATATACGGAATAAATAATAATTGATAATATTATTCATCATTCATTTTTCAATTATATTTATTACCATTTACTTGGTTTAATGCAAAATGTTAAGTGTGAATGAGGATTGAGGGATGTTTTTTTACTTTTTTATAAACATAGTATGTAAGTACTCGGTTGCGTAGTAATTGAATTTAAGTATAAAGTACAAGTCATTAAGCTATATCCATAGTTATAATACACAAACGCCAAAATTGAAATAACGTTTTATAAAATTTTAAATTGACGAAATTAGATAAATTATCTATAGTGCACTGTTTTGAACATTATATATACTTAAAGGTATGGTTTTATACAACGAATATTGTTTTAGTATTAAAACCATTTATATATTTTTATTTCTAAGCTATTAGTAGTTAAAATGAGTTTTGATACAACATGGGATGTCGATAAGCATAAGTCCGAATTTGAATATGAAGAACATTGGCAATTTCGACGTCAGTTTTTAGTTGAACATAAAGACAAATTTCCAGAAAATAGATTGGTGTGTTTGGCTCAAGTCTTTTTTAATGTTGAGTTTTTAGGATGCAAGTAAGTGTATTAAGTTATTTACTAAGCTTATTAGCAAAAATATTTTGTATCACAGTTTTACTTTTTGAAGGTACCCAGAAAAAACAATGGCCCTTATAGAACAACTTTCTGAAGGTTTAGCCGATGATCTAAGGGAAAAGCGAAAGGGTAAATTACAAAGGACCTTTGTTGCTGCTTCAGATGCAGCTGAAGCTAGGGCTAAAGGTACACGCTGTGAGTCAACATGTTAATTATATAAAACAGGATATTTATTAGTTTTTGATTATAATTTATATAATTTTTTGGTATAAATTGACTCCAGAACCACCTTTCAAATTTATTTTGTTAAATTAAAGTGTTTTTTATGTTGCTTTTAATCAGTAATAAAAAATCTACAGATTCAAAAGTTATAGGTAATAGAACTTTAAAGATTATTGTTAACAAATAAGCAAAAATACTATGCAGATGATATCGTACGTCGATGCCAGTGTAAAACAACAATTCTTGGTGTATGCATGATGCATATTATACATTTTTCCCTCAGTGGTATATTATTTTTTTTATGCGCTTATCAATTTTGAAATATAATTTCATAAATAGCTAAAATGAATTTCTGCATTTCCAAAGTTCAATTATAACTTTTGACCCTCTAGAGATTTTTTGATATTGTATTCAAGATAAAAAAAGAATACAATTTGCAAAATAAAAGAGGTCTGATAAACAAAAATTGTTAAACCATATTGATATTTTATTTATTTGCAGGAAATCGCCAAGTTTCTATGTCAGTCACTAATAAAAAATCTTTCAAAAATTTAACAATTACACCCTATCATCCAGACTACATACTACCACATTTTATACTACTTGATGCTAACTGTTCAAATTCATTTGAAGTAATATTTCGATCTTGTGACTTTTGTCAAATACCCAAGCCAGATATTAAATATAGTACAGAAAACCCTACAAATATGTAATTATTTTAAAATTATTAAGTTCCTTTTTTTTCCAAACATAATCATGTTTTTTAATTACATTTTAGCCAAGCAACCCTTTATATGCAGCAAAAAGTAATAGCTTCCGCTTTTGGTGAATCGGAGAAAACGGCTCGAAAAAATGTGTGCAACTCCGCTTTAGAAAAATTAAAAAATACTTGTTTTACCATTAAAGTAATTCCAAGTTTTTATTTTATAGCACTAAATATATTTTACAAATTGTTCATATTAATATTTGTATATTATTTATAGAAAAAAGTGGAAGATTCTGAACATCAAGTTAGTAAGGCTGCTTTTCTTAATGATGTGTCAAAAGTAGTCACTACAAATAATACTAATGATGATAATGTAGAAAAAAAATTATCTGATGATAATGTCGGGAATAAATTACTTAAAATGATGGGTTGGAAGGGTGGTGGACTAGGAAAAGAAGGTCAAGGTCGTCAAGAACCAGTAGAGTAAGTTCAACATTTTATTAAAACATTGTACTATATTTTATTTATTCTATAGGCCCTATAGTATAGGGTGTTCCAGAAAGCAGCCACATTTTGAAAATTCTATAACTTTTAATATTCGTCCAAAATAAAAATAACACATACCATTGTGTTCAGGAGGTCCTGAGGTTTATATGTGGAACATAACATTGGGTATATGACCCCCCTTGCTTCTCCTACAGGCCATTTAACGTCTATGAAATTTCGGATGACGCGTTTGCAGATTTCGATGTCTAGGTCACCCATCACTCGCCTGATTTCCGTGGCCACCACGGTGTTGTGACCTGACCTCCTGCAAATTTTTCTTGACTTTACGTACCCTCATAAGAAAATGTTGCTGGGGGTCAGGCCACGATCATCAGGCGAGTGATCTAAACGTCAAAATCTGTTGAATTGATGGCCTGTAAGGCGAGCAGAGGCAGGCTTATGCCCGATGTTATATTCCACACATAAACCTCAGAACCTCCTGAACACAATGGTATGTGTGTTATTTTTTTATAAGAGTATATGCTGGTTTTGAACAGTGAACATGAAAAATTAGGTTAGGCAGCTGGCCAGCATATCAACTCTGTAACTCTATAACGTATCCCAATAATATTGATAAGTATTCGTTAAGGAGTATCCCATCTTGTATCAAAATTGAAATTTATAAAATGGTTTTATTGTCAAAACATTATTACATAAAGAATTTTTGATATGAAATAGTAATCAACCGTTAAAATTGTTTATGTGGGATTCCCACTGTCAAGAGGTACCCTCGCTCGTCATAGCTTACCATTTACCGGCCCTTAAACTTATGACGAGGTTACTTCTGTTGACAGCTGTTGTATACTTAATTGTTAAAGAATACAACTGAACTTTAGGATTAATAAAATATGTTTATTATGAAACGCTATAACAGCAATGACAAGTAATTATTTTCAATATTAGCGTACGCCGTGAACAGTCCCCACTGCGTACACATTAATTAGTGTTATCTGAATAACCATATTATAAATATAACAATATACAGTATAACAATATACAACAACAGCAAAATCCCATATAAAATCAATCACCATCCTTGTGTACATAACCGATTATCTGTATATTTTAAAATTGATGGTTACACTATGAATGGACCTGCTGTCTAAATAAAGTTGTCTCCTGTAGCTTATTGATAGCACCCTTTTGCGAAAAAGTGAACTAATATAATACCTACATTTAAAAAATTAAAAAAACAAAATTTTTAAAACGAAATTAAAAAAAAATTGTATAATTAAATGCATTTTGTACAAAATCATAATTTATAAACACCAAATACTTATTTGTCAATAATATTAGTTATATACTTGTAAGAGAATCACTCTATTCATAATTTTTCGAAGGTAGTTGTTAGCTTAACAAAATTAAAGTAGTTAATAATAAATCTTGTCGAGCTACAAAATTTATCTGCATGTGTCAACGCCGTCGATTCTCTATTGATTTAACCAACTCTCATATAGTTAACTTTATTTTATGTATAAATAGTAATGTTTAAATATTTAGTGTAAACGCCATTAATTATCAGGTATAAAGTTATTATCAGTAGTAAACATCAGGCGCTAATGAAGGTCTAAATAAATGTATTAGTATAAAAATTAGAAATTTAAGTAATTTCCTAGAAAAAGTATAAAAATTTGTTGTTAATAATTAAAAAAAATTAAAACTATAATCACTAAATTACAAGTAACAGAATGAATTCTTAATTGAGTAAGTTTCAGATATATCCTCGTCACATGTTTTATGCCGACGTTTCGGACTCTTTGCAGAGTCCATCTTCAGGGCAATAGTGGTCTCGACTGTTTAAATGCCGTGACCATACTGATTTGAACAGTTAAGACCACTATTGCCCTGAAGATGGACTCTGCAAAGAGTCCGATACGTCGGCATAAAACATGTGACGTGGATGTATCCGAAACTTACTCAATTGATAATCAATCCACAAAAGTTTTAACGCTTAGAATGAATTCTATAAAAATTAAAATAACAATATTTTTTATTTTTATTGCCAATGAAAGTTGTAAATGTATGACACTCATATTTACTTGTTTTTTCTGGTACATCAATCTTAATTCTACTTAGTACTTTCATTGAAAAAAACAACATTACCACTGTTTCAACTTTCAGCTGCACTTATGTTGTACTTTGATAACATTTTAGCATTGTTCAACTACCAAAAAATTTGGGACTTGGTCATAAAACCAATGTTGCTGAAAGTGCAAAACAAAAAATAATGTTTGCTTTGAAAAGAGAAATCAAGAAACACTTGTTAGAATTCAAAAAAAGTTCTAAAAAGAGAATTGTTTTTTCAACTGAATTCACCATTGAAGAACGGAAAGCTGTACATATGTAAAGTTTGCTTTATTATATTATTTAATTTCTATATATAAATTTATACATTTGGGGGTCTTTAAGTTTGACATGGCATTGGATGGCCATCATTCAACTGCAAATATTGAAAAAATATTTCTCTAATTTTTTCAAATTTTTATTTAATTTTCTTGGTCTCATTGTTTGCACATAAAATTTATACCGTCACTCTCCCGGCCGTATATGTATCTATAAAATAACAAAATATTTTTAATCAACCCTTAACTACAAAAATAATACTCTATAGCGTATACGTACTTTAGATGGTAAAATTGCTGCCGAAACAGGTATATTCTATAGAGTATTTTTTTTGTGGTTAAGGGTTTATTTAAATATTTTATTTTATAATGTATAACCACAAGTGTCATATACATTTTTTCTTTATATATTTATTTATAAGTATTTAAATTAATAATTGTAACAGGCTCAGTCAAAATATGGGTTTGAAAACAAGAAGTTATGGCAAAGGAGAACAAAGACATATAGAAATTTTTAAAAAACAAACTGCTCAAGAAATCTTTTTTGAATTATTAGATTGTGACTATGAAAATGATTATTACATATTGATTCCTCCAATTAATTAAGCAAAATCATCATAAGTAAAATAATGTATTGTATTTACATTAACGGTATTAATTGTCAACAAAAATTGTTTAATGTATAATAAAATACTATTTACAAACTTTGTCAGTTAAAATGTTTTATCACAGAAATGTAAGTCATATCTTGTGCATAGATAAATGTTTAAATGGTTAGTAAAACAAATGTTTAGAAGTAATTTGTATTTAATTTTTCATCAGTTAAAAAATCATAGCTATTATTTTTAAGTAATATAAATTAATTGTATTAATATTAAGACAACACTCCATTATATTGAAATATTATAAAGGTAATAAAATGTATTAGTGACTGATAATTTTTAAATCGATTGTATAAATTTGTTATAAATAAAAAATAATTATACCTAATAGATTTAGATATTTTAGATGTTAGTTTGATAATGTTATTTATGTCTTAATTACCATGTTGCAACAATCAACCTTAACTCCGAAATGAAATTAAATCTGCTATTAAGAGGTCACTACCCACCTGTAATTAATCTACAAAAAATGGTTTTGCGGGGGACAAGAATGCGAGGGTGGTATTTAGAGTAGCTGTATAAAATTTTTACAATGGATAGAAAAAAACTATCTACGAGGTAGCGTTTTTAGATTTTTAGTAACTTAAACACAATTAAAATTATTTATTCGTAAATATTCATTTTTTTTTCTTTTTTAATTTTTTTATAAAAGTATAGATATCGAACAAATTAAACGCTACCCCATGGATAAAGTTCTTCTATATACATATTACATTGGGATAATTTGGTATATTTACTGTTAATACTGGCCTCACATACTTGTCCCGCGCAAAGCAGTTTAGATTGTAATTTATCGTATAGAAATGACTGTGATAGGCTGACAAAAAAAATGGCAATCAACAAAGTATCCTCATTACTGTATTAATAAGTATGCATTATAGGTCAAATTCTAGTTTAAGATTTTGCGAAAAATTGCTTATACTTTACTACTTTACTTTGCCTATACCTTACTTACTATGAAAACTTTAGAAATGGCCTGGCCCTTGGGTAACGCCCTCTTAATTAAGTCAATTTAAAACTGTCCACCATTGTTGGATGATGCTGATTACTGTTGCATACAATACTACAAAAATGGCAATTAAAGTACAAAATATGTATGTATTGAAGGATCATAATTCATAACCATCACAAAAAATGATTTGATATATTAATTTGATTAAAATTAATTTTCATGTGAAAAAAAATAACACATTCGTAAAATTATATACTTTATAACAAAATAAAATATATTCTTTAAAACAGTACTATAAAATATAATAGTAGTTTAAAAATATCCTTTTATCAAAATTCATAATTTCTTAATGACTCAACTTCTAAGTGTATTGTAGACTTCATTGGGGTTAATTACACACGATCGAAAACTGTAGACAATTAGTTCAAATTATTACAAAATTTAGAAAAAGTAATTAATTATATGGAACTTAAATCCTTTGTCCCCAGTTATAAAATGTGTAATAAATTTAATTATTTGATATATCAAGAAGAATTACCAGATTTAAATTCCATACAAGCAGAATCATACATTACTTATATTTTTTTTAACGTGTCCAAATTTTTTTCAGCCCATTCACTCCAACCACCTATGTAATTGTAAACCCTAAAATTAAAAACATAATATTTCTGTTAAAATGTATAAAATAACATTATAGCAACGAATATAATATATTGAATATTATATACTCAGTGGTATTAGTAACAACTAACAAATGATTCAGCTAATACCTATTCATATTGAATTAAAAGTCTGAATTATCAAGAGTAAAATGTACTTAAGAGCAACCAAACAAATGAGTAATGATTTCGAGCAAGTAATATACTTTAAAGTGATAAAACTACATAAAAAGAAGTTTTGTGCTAAATTATTGCTGACTTAATCTTTAAGCAGTCACGTTTTGTTGGTAGTTGTGCTTCTGTGTTTATCCTGCCATGTCATTTTAAATATAACTATTTACAAACTTTAAAACTATTTAATATAATAGAATGTTTAAAATTAAAATTATATTAAAAAGTTCTACATGTTATAATACATTTTTGTGACAATAAATAAAAATGTATTTCATTTTTTAAATAACTTATTATTTGTTATAGAAATAAATAAATAATGCCTAGGTTTGTCCGAGACAAACTTGGTCCTCAATCATAGAGAGTAGTTTTTGTGGGTTGGAATTTCAAATAATTCAATAATTTTCTCCCTAAAAAAATTGATCTATACTATTTTTACTATACATAATTTATAGAAAAAATTAACTGAATTGCATTTTAGAAAAGTGCTTATCTTTCAAGATTTATGCAGACTGATTATTTTGAATGGATTTCTCTGAGTATCCTTAATTAAAATGTGTTAATATGATATTAAGCATAATATGGTTGAATATGGTTCTATATTATAGAACCTACTTTTTATATCCAACTTTTTGAGCTAGAGTAACTGCTTTTTGACTTCTAACTCCTGCAAGGCATGAAAACACAATTTCACTTTTCTCAGGATCTGGTTTTGGAATTTTATACAGTTTTTCAAATTCTGAAGCTGGAAGTAATAATGCATTACTTACATCACTCACTAAAAACATAAAGTAGTGTTTATTTACATTAGTTTATAATTATTATAATTGTTTTCTAGCTAATTAGACATTATAATGAGAGATACCAAGTTAAACATAAAAGTATATTTTGCCAAGGGAACAGTTGTAGAAAGAGTAGGAAAATGGAATAAATATAATTGAGCAAAATGTATTAGAAAAGAATAAAAAGTAGCCATTTTAATTCTCTCAATGTTTAATACTTATATTGAAAAAAAATGGCTATAAGATGGTCTTCATTTAAAATCTCAAAAGGACATTATCTGTAGTTTTTTTTTTTGCAAAAACACAGGTTAGAATTTTGCATATAGCGCTTAACATACTTTTCGTAACATGACTATGACACTAATGGATTTATCAAAACACTTATTACATCCAGTTCGTTTTTTAAATTTCAAAATACAACAGAAAAATTCAGATTAATATGAAAAGATAATAACTGTTTATAAATTGGTACCTTATATCTTTAAATATTGGGTCATATATATAGTTTTAAAGATTTCTTGGACTACCACAGCATTTATTTTTGACAGCGATTTAAAAAAAAATTATCCTGAACATAACTACGCAGAATGCGTTTTACTTGGTCCATAGTTGTTTTAGAGCAAAAACACCTATTATAAAATCAAAAAATAACAATGTTTTGGAGACAATGTCATTTTAATATTAAAAATAATAACATACTTAACGTTAGTTATTTAAAAAAAGGAAAAAAATGTGATTTTTTATATAATGTTTAATATTTAAAAAGGGATATGACAATATCTCCAAAATCATGTATCTTTTGTTTTAGGTATTTTTGCTCTAAAATCATCATGGAGCAAGTAAAACGTATTTTGTGTACGTATATTTTAATGACAGAAAATTGGATGCCCACTAAACTCATAAACCTAAAAACAAATATAAATTATCATTATTATGACTATAGTGTATATTTTATGATGATTTCATATCTTCATTGAAATTTTAGCATATATGCACTTACCGGATACCTTTTTTTAAAACTATTTTGTAGTACTTTTTATGCTGATTACGAATCTGAAGTTAACAAATTGGCAGACTTCTCTATTTCTTATTAATTTTTTTTTGCACCATCGTTTTTAAAATTGAAAAACGAATCGATTGAAAAAAAAAACAATATTCGGGCATGGGGTGGTAAAGTCGATTTAAGCCAAAGATAGTAAAAAAAGGGTGCTGGTAAAGTGCATTTAAACCAACCATTTGAGTAAATAAAGCCAAACACACTAATATATTTATTAATTGTACTTACATGGTATATTTATGCTATTTGGCAATACACCAGTTTCAGCTAATTCTTTTTTTTCACGAACATCAATTATTAATGTACTCAAATTAATCAGCACTAACAATTTGTCAAAATCTATATTATTCATAATTGGCGTGGTCTTTGTAGATATATTATGTGTAACCAACAGTCTAGAACCTGTTCAAGAAAATTAGTATGTGTTGTAAGACGACATTTTAAAGTACTCGATAATCAATTATCTTATCTAATCTATACTACCAATAAAATAATTATATAATTAGTTATGATAATAGTCAACTTACTATGTAGTAATTTACTAGGTTTTTGCATGTGGTTCATTAAAATACAGTTTGAATGAAACATTTTGAGATCAAATGGAGAAAATATATGACGTGAACATTTTAACATGACTATTTTGTTCATTTTTAACAATGTTTTTTTTGGTTATTAAAAATAAATAATATGAATATATTATGATGTGTAGTTAAATTATTACAAAAACCTATTACGAATTTAAAAGCAATAGTATTACTGCTGTAAATTATTTAATGACGATTTTAATTGATTTAACTATTTCAACATTTAGTTGATTTAAATTTAATTGCGAACTTGTTGACCAAAAAAAATGTGTACTTAAGACGTAACTAAAACTATTTTATATTATAGCAAAATAATTAATACTTATCTGCCCATGATTTAAATATACCAGGTTACTGAATTTCTATTATCTATTATTTTATTAATCTATTATTATATATATCTATGGGTAAAAACTTGACCTTATCATATTAACCACGAAGAAATATGAAAAGATAACGAAAAAACTTAGCATAACGTACCTGTTATGAGTTATCTGAGATGTAAACATAATGTAAAATATTAGGAATTTAAATTTTAAAATATTAATGATTTAAAATAATAATAATAAAAAAACGTTATAATAATCAATAAGATCCTCCAATAAAAATTGAAACTAATGATTTACAAAATACCGTTGTTCTAATTTAAACAAAATGTCAAGTTCTAGTGAACGAAGACGAAAGCAGCGTGAAGATATTGGATTAATTGGCGTGTCTGAAGTATGGGAGAGATCTCCTCCACAACCAGTAAAAGAGTAATATTCTTTTAAATTATTTATAATTTTAATAAACTATATTAGCAAGTACTTTTATTTATGTCTAAACAAATGAATCTAATTTTCTAATGTTTACACTTCATAGATTTATATAATTACTTAGTCAGTAATTTTTTAAAGAAAATACTGCAGTAAATAATACAAAATCTTTCTTTATTTTGAATATATAGTTTACTATAAACAGGAATTTTTGAATTATTCTAGGCAATAATACTCATTATACTCGTAAAATAAACAAATGTTATGTTTATCAGTATTCATATAATATATATTGGTATCCAAATATATAAACACTATGCTGTCGAATAATTAAAATAACAATTTATTATTAAGTAAAAATTAAGTTTTTATTAAAGGGGTTATTCCTTTTAAAATAAAATGAGAACAAATAAAATGATTGAGCACCCAACCAATTCTGAATGGATAAAGAATAAATTGTTTATTTCAATTTGTTTGTAAAATATAGAAAAATGGCTTACATTCTAAAATATTACGTTTTTGTAATGTTGGTCTTTGGACCCAGAATAATTTTGTAACAAATGGAGCATTTTTCACCAAAAGCTACTTCCTAAAACCAAAGTTAAGAAAGTTTACCCCTTTTTAGTCAAACTCAAGAGCAACAACCTCAAAAGTGATATATTTTTCTAAATATTAATCAATTTTGTTTAAAATTTATTGGGGTATTCTTTACACACTATACAGACCAGTTGTCAAGTATATGAAAGTATAATTTTTTATTTTGGGTACTAAAAGTGTTCAAACATAAATTATTGCTATAAAACTTACTAAAAAAAGTAAATGTTCATTATGTATTATTTTAATTTTAGTTCTGACTCAGATAACGATGGTATTCATAATCAAAATAATTTGATGATTAATCCTGTCAAATGGCATAAAAAACGAAAAAAGCAAAAAGAAAAGTCAAAGGTACTATAATGTGTTTCAAATATTTGTTTTTAGTTATAATTTATTAATAATATGTGACCTTTTTCCTTCTCCTTTAGTTTCCCATCTATAGGTCTGCTTTTCCGTCCATTGTATCTTGTGAGTGATATCACCACATACTCAGTCCATCAGTTTTTTTTTTCCACTGGCTCACTTTCTCTCTTCTTGCTATCTTAACTAGGGCTTCAGTTATCTTTTTGGTGATGAGCACTATCCTTAGTCATTGTCCTTTACTTATTCATTCCTTATTACAACCATTTTTGTGACTCCCACAACAATATGTGACCATTTTTAATTTATTAAAAATTATCTTAGAAATCTAAAAAGTCTAAAAAATCCAAAAAGCATAAGGAGTCAAGCAAAAAGAAAAAAAAGAAAAAAGTTTCATCCGATAGTTCTAGTAGTTCAGATAGTGACGGAGAACTGGATGAATGGATTGAAAAAAAAGGTAGGGAAGAATATTGTAATAAAAATATTTCAATTTTTCAATTTTTAATGAATTGTATGTATTTTGTAGCTACTGTAGAGTTAAGCGTGGATGACACTGTTGGTCCATTACCAAAACCAAATGTTACTTTAACACAAAAGGAATATGGAAGAGCCTTATTACCCGGAGAAGGTGCAGCTATGGCAGCTTATGTGCAAGATGGAAAACGTATACCACGTCGTGGTGAAATCGGATTGACTTCAGATGAAATTGCTTCCTATGAATCTGTTGGTTTTGTAATGAGTGGAAGTCGTCACCGAAGAATGGAAGCTGTACGTATTCGAAAAGAAAATCAAATTTATTCAGCAGATGAGAAACGAGCATTGGCTATGTTTAGTAAAGAAGAAAGACAGAAACGAGAAAACAAAATCCTTACTCAGTTTAGAGATATGGTAAAAAGTAAAACATCAAACAAGTAGATCCAAATACATCCAAAATGTGTTATGTATATTATAAAAAATAATATACTATGTAAAACTTCATTATCTCATGTGCTTATAAGAACCTTAAATATGCACGACTCAATTGTGAATCATAACAATATTGTTGTTTTGTAAAATTATTTTTGACTGACAATGATTAATACACTTGTAGAAGACTATAATAATATCTCAATTTTATTTTGAGTATTAAGAGGCTTGTAAACAATAAAATTATTTGTAAATTTTTAAAAATATAACTTAATTGAACCACTCATGAAATAGTTCATCTGTAGCTTTTGGTAATCCAATGGTCTTATCTAAAGGTAATATTGACACAAACATACAAACACATCAGGTTTAAAGTTAAAACCAAAAAATATTTTTTTCAATCTTAGACGGTTTTAATATAATCGGTTTAATTTATAGAATAAATAATTCCCATGTTTAATAATTGTAGTAGTACCTATATCATTAAAAATAAATTTACTGATGTTTATTGATTAATGCTACAGTGTATAAAAAACCACAATTTTACAGTATAACCAAAAGAAGTTGAATTTTAAAATTGATGTTTATGATTTAGTTACGCTAGCATTCATAAAGGCGCATTGTATAGGCAATTTTTCACTAATACTTTAAATGTTCAGTTAAACAGTATTTTTGACTTAAGTCCTACGCTGTTTTTAACATTTGGGTTTAAAATTTAATAGCATGCATAATAATTAACTATCAATTGTAAATTTTGTATATAACTTTTTCTAGTATTCATTTAATTGTTTTTAAATTATTTACAATTTTAATATTAATGTAATAATAATCATAATTTATAAAAATACCTGACTTATGGTTTTGGATAAATATGTGCAAATCTAATCCGTTATCTGTTATTTAAAAAATGAAACCTAGTAATTTTTTTTTTTATCTGTTACCATGGCTTTCTATACTAAAGTATAATTTATATGTAATTAAAAAAAATAATAATAAAAGGACTTTGAGAAAAAAAAGCCTGCTTGTTGATTTGTTGATAATATAACAATTGGCATGGGGTATATAGTAATCACCATTGGGTAGCTTAGGTCAGTAATCACTACATAGTCTTAACATTTTTATTCTTTTTCTCTTTTCTTGGCAAAAGCCAATTTGTATTTATTAAACATTATATAAACTAATATTTATTAAGCTGGTCCTGGAAATGTACAAATCAAATGTATGAATCTTTAAAGCTGCAGTGCCAAGTTAAGTGTTAAGACTTAAATAATTACAAATATGACTTGCCGTGGAGAAATTTTGTCAAATTGGTAGTTTAATGTTAATGATATTGTTTTAATTTAATTAAGTTATTTTTTTACAATATAAAATTCTTAACGCACAATTCTTAAAAAAGTATTGTAATTTGTAATAATAATAAAATTGTTACATACCTACATAATTTGTCGCATGTTAATAATAAATTGAACAATATTTACATTTTTCATTTGTAACGAAAAATGACAATTTTAATAAATAACCAATATGTAAATTTTTATCATGCATTATAGTTATATTTAATTAATAAATAAAATATTAATAAAATATGAAATTTGCTTAGAATCGATAGCTGATTTGTAAATTTTAATTTTGCCACTCAAACTTAAACTTTAAACATGAAACATAATAAAGAAATACATACAAAAATGTATTTCATGAGAATTAATTATTAATTTGTTGTTTTCATTAAATGGAATGTGAGTGTTGAATATTTAATAATAAAAACCCCACATAATAATTACAATAATCTAAAAAATTAAAAAAACAAGATAATTTATAATACAAGAAAAACGTTGAACTTGTTTAAGCTGTTGTGCTATTGCTAAAAATAATTATGGTTAAAATAATTTCATAAAAGGTTTAAGTAGAATTAAATTAATTACTTTTTTAAATAAATATTTGTGAAAATAAAGTTAATTTTTTTAATTATCACAAAACTAAATATAATTAAACAAAAAAAAAAAAACTAAAAATATTAAAAAAAGGATCCTTAAAATTTAAATCACGATAAATATTAAATATAGTTAAGAATCTTTTGAATTCACAATTACTCGGTATAATCACATATTCATATAGAACACTAAAATCACAGTAGAAGTTTGAGACAACCGAGGACTTGTGTTCCAATTATTAAATGGTACACATTGAGCTATAATCAGAAATAAAATAATACAATAATTATACTAATAATAATTCAGAGCAATTAAACAAATTGCATGATATTACTAAATGGCAATTGGGAATTGATTGAATACTTAGGGTAAATGCAAAATTTCATAATCTAAAAAAAGTCTGTTGACTCTATGGTGAACCAATGATGCTTTAGATATCATATCCGGCATTGTGTTAGATGTTTCGTGGTTGCTTTCGCCAACTGCCTGCAATAATAAGAAACTCAGTTAGGTTATACCATATACATTAATTAATTTCTAAGCAAACTACAGAATTAAAAACTAAGTAATAAGAATTATAATAAAATACTCACTTGGTGGTAAAGAGTTTCTTGATTTGGTAGAAATTTCATCGCCATTCGTGCACCAGTGCGTATCAACCATGAATGATGTTTAGCTAATGTAATATCATACGCTTCTATGGCAGATGAAGATGTACTATCCTTGGGTTCTAGTTGACACAGCTTTGTCATAAATTGTACGATAAAATCTATTGAAATCAAGAGAATATAGAACAAAATTGTCCTAATATTTTGATATACATATTATATTGTTATTTTGATTAACTATACCTAGTCCACGATGTAATCGCAATAATGTAATACAGCCTGAATTGTGAGCCAACTCGCCATTCGATCTTTCGTAAAGAATCATTGCTTTAACAGTTACAAAGTTACTATTATCTTGCCTCATCAATTCATTGAGCCGCCAGAGCTTGTCTTCTATGTCTTTGACGACAAAATTGAATATTGTACCGAGCTGAGAACAAAACCTAAGTAAAAACCAACAATAGAATTTTAGTACAAGGGAGAACCAGATCAAAGTTACGATACTCACTTGGAAAGTTCCTTATAAGCTATTATATAATTTCTAATGTCTACGTCTTCGTCGTGAATCATAGCTTCGTGGAAAGCTGCTCGGACGATGGATACGTTAAACATTATTAATACAGAGCAGGAAACTAAAATATATTTTGTTTGATTGCCGACTAGAATGGTATGAGCGAGGCCGTAAAGTTACTTTGCCTGAGTAAAGTAGCCAGCAACGAGTATAGACAAGTATACTAACGAGTACACGAGTACAGACAGTAAATGGCAAAACTGCGACTGCAACTGATTAATGATTACAATTGTTTAGTATTTATAAATTATAATTATATAATAAGTTCCACAATAAAGTAGGTATATTATAGAATTCGAATATTTGATAAGAATCTTGCGATAGCGGACTGCCGAGGCCCATGACAGCGTTGCCAGCGTTTGAAAATAATGCTACCGTACAGAATGGTCATAATCACCGCACTTCTAATAAAATAAGCGTAGAATAATACACTCTTTTTCACTCTCAATCTAAGCCACCCATCCCCTCCTTTGATGCCGACCACTAAAAACTGACTTATGTTAATAAACATTTATAATATAATTTTTTTATTTAAGTATAAATTAAAGAATTTTACTCACAATATGTAATATTTGATTATAATATATTCTCTTTTTTTTTATATAATAAAACAAAATTAAATTAAACTAAATCAAGAAATCTTTTTTTTTTTTATTTAGTCTTGCAGTACATCGTCGGTCTCTACGATCACGATTTTCGCCAATGACCATTTTGAAGCCATCATGAGGGCTGAGGCCAATTATAATTTAAACAAATATATTTTTTAAGTTTTAGAATGGTTTTGTCTTTGTATTATTAAATAAATGGTTTCATACCATAGCGTCGACCTCTACCTGAGTTACTTATAAATAAATCTGTTAATTTCATATTATGATTTATAATAATTGTAGCAAAAGGAAATGTGAAAATAAAATTTAAATAGGCTTTTTGGCTACTCTCAAAAGAAATGAAGCGGCAAACAGGTACCTACTAACGTGCAATATGTAATATGTCCTTATAAGATTATTACATCAATGATATATCGCTTCTCCGGTCTAACAATGGTGTAAGTGCAAATTTAATTGTTCTTCAGAAAACGTGATTTAAAATTTTAGTGTAATGGTAACTGTACACGATGGTAAACGACAAAACTGCTCTCTAGCAGTCAATAATAGGTATTACACTTATGCCATTGTTTTACTCGATAAAATGAATGTTATCGTACTAAAGTAAAAAAGTAAAAAATTTGCACTTACACCAAGGTACAATACAATGAGATAAAATAACTCATTGTATTACACTTTACAGTATAAGCCAGCACAGTCCGAACCAGCACAATAAGAAATTTCCAAAGTGAGGTCCACTGATTCGGATTTCGCATCGAAGCGTTTTCTTAAATGTGATTTTATTACTACCTCTAAATCACAGGTCTTATTTATTATTACAGGTTATTATTATGTTAGTTTATAAACGAGCTACAAGATTAAAAACTGGTAGTTGGTACCTATTTATAGATCCTTTTGTCACAGGTGCTAAATTATATAAAACTAGTTTAGCCTTTAGGTATATTATTCAGTTTTTCTTGACCTGTAATTTAAAGGTAATAATAAAATCACATTCAAGAAAACGCTTTGATGCGAAGCTGTGGATACTAGACCCCATTGCTAATTTCTTACTGTGCTTAATTTGGACTGTGCTGATTTATATACATATAACTATTACAACAAAATTTTTTCTTCTTTCAAAAAGTAATCATTGTATAATACATGTATAGGACATTTAATTTTAGGTTTTACATGTTTTCATTATTTCTTAATAAACTGTAATAGTCCTGCAATTATATAATTGGGTCATTCCATGCCACCTGATGTGTGTGCGAGTGGATTTTCTAAATACCTTAAACTTATACAAATGATATGAATTACTTGTACAAATTTCAGAGTCCTAAGAAGTTATAGGCTCTTCAATATAGCACTATACAACGAAATTTGAAAAAATAATTTTCTTACAGATCTCAGTAAAAATAAGTCTCAAGGTCAAGTGTCGAATAACTTTATTTTATTTTAATACATCAAACTTAACTCCTTTGATTCATGTGATATTGCTATATTGAATAGCCTATAACTTTTTATTAATAATAAGTATGCATTATGCAACCTACATTAATTTATTTTTAATTTTTTATGGGTAAAGTTTAAAAAACCTCGTAAAAATATAAAATATACATTCATAATTAATACCTTATAATATTCATATTTCAAAAATCTAGATTTGATTTACCACACCACGTGCGGTGTGCAACGAAAACACCACCAACGCACGTCCGGTTCGTGTGGCTTACCACTTTCGCGCCACCGCCGCACTACCACCACACTGCATTCACATGTAGTATAATTATTTTTTCACTGCAAGTGAACCTAAGTATACCAACTCTAAATTATTAGAAAACTAATTTCCATTTTTTTTAAAAATATATATTTTTTTTAATTAACTAAATATTATAAATAGTGATTAATTTGTGAGGGGTTTTCAATTCATTTTTTTTTAAACACAATATTTTTTTACTTTTTTTTTTTATTTATTTACAATCTATACAAAATATGTATAATCAGCAAGTCTGATGACAACGATATAATGACATAATGTGTGAATAGGAACGCTCTCAGCAGTGCCACCTGACCGGAAAAATTAATATTTATGCGTTAAGCAGGTCCCTGGGCATTGCCTTTTTAGCCTTCTAGGAATAAGTGAGACAGAGGATAATTTTTTAATTAGAGGATTGGAATGGGAATGTACTTTAGAGTAAAATTTGGAATAGTGGGATTTGGCCAGTTCGTTGAGGGTTGGTAGTTTTAAGTCTTTATGGAGTTTATTGTTTGTTACATACCTAGGGGCAGAGGTAATTATTCGTAGGCAGATTGACTGGAACGCTTGGAGGGTTTTGGTGTTGGACGGCTTAGCAGTCCCCCATAGTTGGATACCGTAGAGCCAGGCTGGACGAATTATTGACTTATATAGTTAGCTTATTTGATAGGGTCAATTTGAATTTTAAAATTGGTCTTAAGAAGTGCAATCTAGAGTTGACCGATTTGCGTTATTGTTTTAAATGCGAGCTCCATGTAAGACGTTTATTAAACGTTAGCCCCAGGTACTTGACTTCATTTTCTGCGGGTATTACTTTATTGTTGAGCGAGACAGGTGGACAGTCGGCATTGCGCAGAAACACAATATTAGTAAACATATTTCACATCGATCATAAAAAATACAAATACTAAGCATAAAAAATATTATATCAAATTGACAACTGACAATATTAAAATAGTACACTACTATAACACACACAAATGTATAATATATTTGGACTTTTTATTTAATTTCATATATTGGGGTAATTATATTTACGTACAAACACTTAATTTTGTGTAAAATGCATTACTAACATTGGTACTGCACCTGTTTTGTAGATACAACGCAACAAACATGCTGCATGACTTAAGGGTTGATTGCCCTATAAGTTTTGGAAATTTTTGCCGATTATCTTTGAGTATCTTTTGTGCAAAATTGTAATTAGGTACAAGAGAGAATGGCGATCCTTAACCAGTGGAGATAGTTTCCAAAAATAATTAGGTACAAGAGAGAATGGCGATCCTTAACCAGTGGAGATAGTTTTCAAGAAGTCTTTCATATTTGTTCAAATTCTCTCCACAAACCGTGTCGAGATGCATTTCAGATGTTTGTGCAGCTCTTATCAAAGAGCTTAAAGATGAAATAAAGGTATCATATATTTTTAATTTGAAAATAGAAGCAATATAATAAAAATGATATTTTCAATCTTGTAGTATAATAATATATTTTAAAAAGTAAAGATGCTAACATTTATAAAACAAGCAAAATAAAAACTATTTAAAGAGGTTAAAACAAAATATGTTAAACTTAAAATACAACTTTAATAATTTTATTAACTTGATAAAAATTAAAAAATAATATAAAAAATATTGTTTTATACAAAATGCTCAGGTATAAATGACACAATTATAATAATACAAATATGATCTTGGATACGTAAAAAATGAGTCTGATTGTTATTTTGGGTATTATTCGGTGTTACGTTATTATATATTATGGGATATTCATAATACGTTGGCAGTGCGTTTTGATTTAAATAATTTATTGAACCGTGTTGCCTTTGTTGTGTAAAGTTATTGTTGTGTGATTGAGATTCAGCAAAGTTTATTTTACACGATACACGATTTGATCAATTTATTTTTTATTTATTTTTTTATTTAGAAATTATACAATCTGTAATATATTTAATTACAATAAGCATAAAAGATGATTTTGAAGTAAACAGATATATAATAATATATTGAGACAGTAGGCTTGATAGAAGGGGCCAGCCAGTGCTGGTACTTCATGACATGTGAAATCGCAGATTAGTCAACCAATAGGTCGCGACACCACGTTCGCTTTAGGCGCCTTCTGGGGTCACCAGGGATAGTATGGACGGATAGTTCAGAGATCAGGGGGTTTTGATGGTTGAATGTTTTGGAGTGTAGGCGCTTGTAAAATGTTTTGGCAGTTTTTTGAACTGTTGGGATGGAGAGATCATTATGGAGGGTATCATTGGAGACGTAAAATGGGGCTTTTGTTATTTGGCGGAGGCATTTGTTTTGGAAGGTTTGTATTTTATTAATGTTGGATGATTTGGCAGGTCCCCAAAGCTGGATGCCATAGGTCCAAATTGGTTTGAGGAGTAGTTTGTACATGAGGAGCTTGTTTTTGAGATTGAGGTGTTGTGATGTGAGAAGGAAACGCAATTGACGGGAGCGATTGTTTAAGACGAGACGTTTGGCATGGATATGAGTTGCCCAAGTAAGGCGGCGGTCTAGGTATAGGCCCAGGTATCTGACATTTTGAGCGGTTGGAAGGGGTATGTTATTGAGGTAGATATGTGGGCAGTCTGTCCGATTTAGAGTAAATGTGCAGTGGATGGATTTAGACTCGTTGATTTTGAATCCCCATTTTTTATACCAAGTTGATAACAGGTTATCAATTTCTAGCATAGTTTTCTCCCGCGAGTATTTTCATTTAGTGTCCGTAATTTTTGAGCTAAACATACGCCAAGAGACTCACGGCTAGGCTTTTCCGTCTTTTCTAATATTTTTTCAAAAAAATAATAAGCTTCGTCCATTTTTTCAGTGACATTTATTTTACGTTTCTTTTTATTACTAGTAGCTGGGTCTTTAAACGCGGTATCGGTTGATGTTGATGGCGTTAGCTCAGTGAAATCAGATGTTACGTTAATTTCGTCTTCATCAGCATCTTATTCCTCCTCCTCCACATTCTCGAATACTTCGCCGTCTGACTGCGCAATCTCCAAGGCGCTCTGCACGAAAACACGTGGCTGCTGATGTTTTAAAGGAGATCTTGACTGGTTGTTACACGAGTTTCAAGTCTCTTACACTCAATTCTCGTGTGAACACTATTTTAAAGGGATGCATTTTCAGCTCTTTATGCAAAATTCTTCGAACACTTCGATCAGAGATCACTTCAGACTAGCCGCGTTTTTTCGTGCAGAGCGTCTTGGAGACTGCGAAACGCATGCTATCATTGCAGTCATATTTTCTGGTCCCGTAACAGTCCTAGGTCACCCAGAAGATTTTCTATTTAATACATTACCAGTTGTCCCGAAGTTGGATACCCAATTTTTTATTGTTTTGGTGTCTGGAACTGGATCTTGCCGACGTATCGCAAATCGTATGCGAAAAAACCGCTGTGTTTTGATCGGTGATTCGCCATTTTTAATAAATTCTTCAGCGACAAAAGCGCGATGTTCTCTTGACCATATCATGTTGTTTACTAAAACCGGCATGTGTCAACAAAAACAAAGCCGTGGTCCCCACTACTGTACCCCCTTCACATCTAAAGCAACACGTCACCAAAATCAGGGAGATCTTTCTGCCGGACCCTGTAGTGTAAAAATTAAAAATTTTTTTTTTACTTAGGATGTTATATTTTGTAAATTTGTTGTAAAATTACACTACTTAATTTAAGTGTACTTTTTCAGAATATCCTTAAATTTTTTTTTTCAAATTTCTTAATAGATTAAAATTAAAAAACAAATTCGAAATTTTATAAAATTCATTAAATTTGTATACTTACTTAAGGTCAAAGTTTCAAACATTTTTTACTTTATTCTGACACATCATTCTCTACTCTTTTATTAATAACATTTTTTGGACAATTTTTTTTTATGATGTATAATTAATTTTAAAGTGTGGTATTTTACTAAAAAGTGCTATATTTAAGAGTCTATAACTGTTACGTTACTTACGGAGTAAGTACTAACAACAGTTGACGTTACCGATTGAGAGTCTGTAAGTGTGGCTGTTTAACGTGTTGCGATTGTTTTATTTAAAATTGTATTTTCATAAGACTGATTTACTTTTACCGATTGACGGCAAGAACAGTTTTATCCCGTTAATCCAACGACGGAACGTAACGGGCAAACGAAAAATCGGGGGTAGGAATACACACCGAAAAACAGTGCACTTTTTAAAGATAACAAAATACCTTTATAAAACTCATGAAAAAAAATGTAATGCAGTAGTTTCAAATGGCTGGTTGTTGCCGTCGGCGAGGGTCGGGGCTCATCGCGACTCTTCAATAACGTGCCGGCGTTGAGGCGCTGCCAGTATTCCGCCGACAGAGAAGCGGTGCCGTGCAACGCCAACACACGCTCGAGTCGAGAGCTTGCACACGTTACCCGCGTCGTTCGTACAGTGAACCGCCGCGTGACCACAACGAACGTTAGTGGTGACCAGCGGCCGTCCGCTTTAGGCGCCGTCGACTCCGACTACGACGAGATTACTCGCTTGCCACACGGCCGCAAGTGTGTTATGCTGGTGGCCAGTGCCGTCGGCCGCCCGCACACGCGTCCCGCCACATCAGCGTGGCCAGAAACGTGACTGTATGGTGGGCTCGCCCGGTGGGTAACCCCGCCTGTTACGGCATGCCAATACGCCGAGGACATGTCACCCAGCGCACCACTGTCATAGAGACCATCATCAAGAAGTTCGATACGCACAGTAAGTATTACGCAATGCGCGGTGCCGGGAAGATGAATTACCGGTGCACCGTAAAATTTCACCCTCAAATTTCAACTATTGTTTGCGCAAACGACCATCAGTGCCGCAGCAACTGTCGTTTTGCAACTCAAACTCGATAATTGTGATAATCATCTGAGCAAGACAATATCTGTGCTCACAGCTCGAATAATAAACTTCCTTCATTTTTTTTTTTTATTACAAAATAATGTTATATACTATCACTATTCGAGTAATGTAACCACTAACATCGTCTTAACATTATGCTTTATGCCAAACCCAAGACGATTGGACAACAAATAAGTTTAATAAAAACGTTGAGACCGGGTAAAATAAGGCAAAAAGCAATCAGTGCGACTCTTAATCTCAGTCAATATGTTTTGCTAACCAAATGGCTGTGTAGAAAAGGAATTAGACATTTTCCTTTTCACAGCGTCAAACTTGTTTAGTTATGGGTAAACTGATTAGACAGTTATTATTCTTTCCGACCAAATAATAATCCTGTCCAAATCCATTATATAAATGTTAGAGATACGTACAGACGTTCAACCGAAGCAGATAATGCTTAAAAAATTCGAGGCAATATAAAAACGAAACAATCGTATGTTAGACAACATGTATGTTGCAAGAAGTCTTAAAAAACTCTCCGAATGTTTAAAATTGCAAGTTATTTTAAAATCTCGAAACATTATTTTTTGTTCATCTCGAATTAAGTAAGCGTGAGACATTTCAGCTGTTAACTGATGTAAAGTTTGTAACGGGTTTAACATCAACAGCATATTATACCGTTTCAAAGTTTTGTCAACTAATAATCATCTTAAAGTTAAATTTTCGTTGTACCATATTGACTTATTATTAATTTAGTATAGTTCGTTATTTGAAAGTCAACTAAAATATGTAAAGCATTTAAGTAGTAAACAAATATTTTTGAATCTAAACAATTTTGTTTTGTAATTAATTTCATACCAATACGATATTTTTAATTTTGATGATAAGTATAGTAAATATTTTTTTTTTCCTTTATTAATACAATATGACTGCTCAACAATTACAAATTAATAAAAAAGTTAAAAATAAAATTGGAAATTTAATGGTTAAAACTAAAAGAAAAAACCGCAAAAAACGGCTGACTGTTAAGCTCCAGATTTTTTTCACAACAATTAAACGCTTGAGTACTAATGTAGAATGTTTACCCTACTACAATGTTCCAATGCTAAAGTTGTCATTCGACTAAAGCAATTAACAGTAGAGGGTAGAGTTCTGAAGGATCGAAAAAAAGTTCATAACAAAGATTCATGTGATGGTTTATTTCAATTCTACAAGTACTTAGTTTAAAAAGTTAATACTTTATACAATACACACCTTTAAAAGAAAAACTAACAATAATTGAGTAGAGTTGCTCCTTATTTTTGTTATTTTACTTCGGGTATGTTAGTGTCCACCACGAAAAATTTGAAAATATTATATGTCTTCGCTAAAGCGTCAAACACGAGTGGAACTAAAAAATAATTAACTTAATCGATGAGTATTTCGAAAATAAAACGCGTTTCTGAGCGCTATTGTTAATATAAATTGTAAAAAAGCCTTTAAAAGAAATCACCGTAGTAGCTAAAATTATCAACTTCCTCGCTCAGAAAATCTTTGCTCTAATATCAATATTGTACCAACTACCATTGAGAGTAGACTGCTTGAAAATTGAAAGGGCAACTTTTTTACTTTTATACGATAATCGGTAGTGTTTTGACTTAATTTAGACGTTTGGTCTAACTTTCAGTTTTAACATTAATTAATTAATCCCTGTTACAACATTCAATGTATTAGGAGCCCTGACATATGCGATCATCAACTCTGACACCAATAGCAAGCGTAAAAAGGGGCTGATACAGGTGGTCTATGGGGGCTGAAACCCCTCTCTTATGTATTTAAATTTGATGCATTAAAAGTGTTTTCTTATGTTTATTTTGTTATAATATAATATGAATTTATCTTACTATGTAATTTTTAATTATATGACTATTGCTTATGTTTGTAGTGAATTCCCTCTTTTATTTTATTCCTAGGTTCGCCTCTGAGCGTAAACTATAAGGTACATATCATAATAATACCATTATATTCTATACAAATATTATACGAATTATTAAATAAAACTAATTAAATACAACGGCTTAGAACAAAAGGGACCAATGTCACATTTTGCGACTTTTGACATATTATAGATTATAAAAAAGTTTTTATTGTCCGCAGCTCAAAGGATACATTATACCGTGAACTATTTTAGTGAATATTTTAAATTTAAATCGTAGAGGTGTAATATATTTGTGCAAGTTAAATATATAATACAATACCTCTTGCAACTAAAAAAAAGTAATTTGTCCTTTTTGCACTAAGCCGCATGTTTGTTCAGTAGATATATTTATGTACATTGTATACACTAAAGTCTGAACTCTAGCTAACGATTGTATAGTACTAAGCCCGGCAATACTTATTGTTGGACAAAAACATGGTAGTCGACTAATTATCATTACCACAGCGGTGCTGTGGAGTTTTACTTGTAGAGCTAGGCTATGTGTGTGTATAAATGTTGAGTAATATCATAAGGGTAAAACTTTCAAAGCTTTTGGGTTTAAGCATATATAGTTGAATGGCCAAAACAAAACAAAATGTATCATACCATTGAAAGCCGCCCACCATTCTACTGACTGTGTGAAGCGTCGAACGGTAATAATAAACGTTGTTTCGAGTATTATAATAATAATCAATCAAAAATCTGTACAAAGCGGAAAAGGCTCGCACAGACGGTGTATGGACGGTTTTTAATGTTTTTCTCCTTTTAAGTCTACGTGGTAGGTAGGTACGTTTTGGTGATTTAAATAATAATCTCCAAAACAGAAGATTCGTTATTGAAATCTGGAACAAACAACAGTTGCCCGGAAACGTTTTAAGTTCATGGAAAACGTCGGACGCCGTCTCAAGTACAAATATTGTTCAAATGCTATACAACGTTGAATTCTCAAAATCTACACCCAATACCAACTATATTTCGTCCAGACTTCATCAGTCTACCCCGTTGGATTTACTTACTGGGCGATGGAAAATAATCCATACGAGACTACATAAAATGCAGTTGCAATTTCCGTCAGTTTTTGACGCGGGTTGATCGTTTACAGTCTAAAAAAAACCACCTTCTTATCCCGTCAAGCAGTACTTAACCACAAACACAGAGTTATAAAAAATACCCAAAGCGACTGACCCAGATACCATAAAAAAATAGTGTACAAATTATTCCACGGAATTTTCTTTAAAGTGTTCAGACATAGTCACGTATAACTTGAAAGGAATTTTAAAATTGTTTAGTCTCAAGTTAAATAATGACATGTGACCGTAAAGGCGAAAAATGCTGTTCTTAAATTTATCCAGCTATAATACCATTGCTAGTGTGTTTTACAATTTTGTCTCGACTTTTGAATGACTCGTCTTCTTGTATTATAAGGTGATTTAAAAGTTATTTTATAACTTAAAAAACAATTTTTAATGTTCAGTAAAAATAAATTAAGTAGTCTTCGTTAGGTGGAATTCCACCTAGGGCGATTTTAATACTATACACCCTGTTTTTATATACTAAGTTAAATAAGTCAAAGTGTCAATTATTTGTTTTTTGTTTCTAATTACTTATTATAGGCATGGTTTCCGGCGAAACGATCAGACCTACACGGTGTATGCTATGCGATACTTTATAGCTGCAATGCCATTGGATTTCTATAAACGAAAGGAATATGCGCGAAAAAGTGAGAACAATAATAACTAATGTTTATGTATTCGCTATATTACATTCGATTATTGTTACCAATGGCTGAATTTTTGTATAATATTAATAATTTATTATATAGTGTTGTTAGTTGCACTTAGATATTGGCACTAATCGCAGCGATTAAACGTATCACAGAAAAGTCGAAAAAACGGAAAATTATCTATTTTTTACACACAATTATTTCAACTATTTTGATTACTGTGATCGTTTTTCCCGTTTTTTCGATGATCAATTTGACGTAAGACGCTACATTTTTTGGATAATATTTAAAATGAGTTAGGTTTTTGTGTAATTTATTTTAAAATATCCCGCTTTTTGCTTTTTTAATATATTCTGAGCTGTGTCCACTTTCAAAACTCAATTATATCATATATATTTTTTAATATTAAAAAAAAATGTCTACAACTACGCATACAGCCGAAGGAACTCAATGGGTACTTCTATTTCCCTTGTGCTATTTTTTTAGTTGTTATCGTTTAAACAAATTAAACGGGATTGGTATTGTAATTGAGTAATGCGCGCATACAAATTGATTTAAGTGATACATTCGTTTCTCAAAAAATAATTAAAATTTCATATTTCATCGCTATTTTAAACACTAAATGTTAGCGTATAAAATAAATCATTAACTTTTTAAATCAAGAATAATTTATTAATAATAATGACTGTCGAGAACCAGTTTTGAATAATTACTTTTAAACTATTACAGTTTAAAAGTTTAGAGTGAAGATATATTGAAATTTAGTATTATTTTTCTATAATATGTAGGTGCATTACTCAACCACATTTTACCTCCCGTCTAATTAAAAGTTAATGAAATATTTAAGTTTCAAAAGTTTATATATTTAGAAATTTTATGATATCGTAAACAAAAAAATTTTCGAAAAAAAAAATTACAGAATAGCAATTATTTTCAGGAAAGAATAGAGCGACTTACATTGATAATTCTTTAATCGACACGATGCACTAATCAATAGTTCAGCAATCTGCATTTAGTTTAATTTTGCCGTAAAATTGTGTTCAACATTAATATTATACCTAGTGCTGCAAAACGTGTACGTTATTTAACTGAACTATATTAACTATTAACTGTGTATAGTTAATAGTTGTAATTTTATTTATTAAGTAGCTAATTCAACTGGCCGTAATGTCCACAGTAGGTAGTTTTTTTTTG